GGAAACGGCTGTCTGACTGTTCGGCAGGGGAGCTGGAGCTCCTGTAAAGCCACCTTGGACAGCGGTCCAGAGGATACAATCACAGATGGTACTGAAAGCTGCTGAGATACAAACATGCTCCAACAGAGGCACACTCTATATGAGCAAACATAAAGGGTGACCAAGGCAAAAGCCAGGCCTGAACCTTGACTGAAATTAATCCTGAAAATCAGGAATGACTGGATCTGATTAGCAATCACCTGCTGAAGGATCTTGCTCAGGAAAGGGACCTCTACAACTAGTCTAAAATTGTTCTGAGCTTGCAAATCCAGAGAAGACTTTGCAAGGGGTGGTCTTGGGACCACTCCTTCTAGTGAGGGGCAGGGGGTGTTCCAGAGAGTTGTCCCTTGCCTGCTGCATGTCACCAGCCACAAAGGGCAAGGATCCAACAGACAAGGGGTCACAGGTACTCCTCCAAATTTCTTGTCCATGTTGAACTGTCCACATTAGGTTGTTGCAGGTCGTGTTGGATAAGGTTGCCCATAGCAAGAACAAATGATCCCTGAAGAAAATTTGCAATGCAGATGGTGGCTAGCTCCAAAGGGGTTCCCTGCCCCCTACAAGAAATCCACTCTGAGCCAGGCTGGCCTTCTCTTGCTGACATTCTTCCTTGAACAGCAATTGGTGGCTTTTGGCCACTGGATGTGGCCGGGTCTTTCTTTCCTTTACTTCTATAGTTTTTAATGCAATATGTATTCTGCTCTCATGGAATTAAGCATGCAGGGGTACAGTCCAGTGGCTCCCAATATCATCCGAGGAGCCATAAGATTCTGTGGAGTTCCAGCACCAAGTATGGATGTAATGTACTTTTACATCTGCTAGCAGAAGATAAAATACATGCTTTCTGTTATTATGAACAAGAAAAGGGGGGCGGGGGTTGGGTGGGGATAAAAAATAGTAATTTTTAATATTTTTTTTACGAGAAGAGACTAGTTATATGTAAAGATTAGGGTCAGAGTCTGCGATTTTTATGTCAGTACCTAGAGGATCCCAGGAAGGGGAAAGGTGCAAAAGGTCTCAAGTGACCCCTTCTGCTCCTTTCTCTGCTACCTTCTCCTCCCTTCTCACTGCTGGGGCAACATTATTTCCCTTTACCTCATCAGGTTTTTAGAAACATGTGAATGAATAGGCTCATGTGCAAACACACATGTTCTACATCATAAAATGAAGCTAGGTTCCCTTTTCCTGCCCATGTTTTCTTTCAGAAGTCATTATTCTTCTGCTCAAGATCAGGCTAAATCCTGTAAAACGGGGTCAGGTTCTGTTGCACATTCATTTAGCAGCCATTAAGGCAGAGATACCAAGAAAGAAAATCGGCCGTGGTGCTCATCAAGAGAAATCTGCAGGGGCGCAAAAGAACGGCAGATCTAAGAAAACGAGCATGCGCCAGCTCCCCTCCTGTGTCAGTGCCCTTGGACCTCCCACGCTGCTATCAGCAAAAGTTATCGTGACCCAGGAAGCAGCAACAGGTGATGTCATGCCTGCGATTGCACAGTCACTGAACACACCTGGGTGGGGAAGGAGGTGTTGCCCTCCCCATTTCGAGGGCTGTAGCAGAGACGGAGCCAGCAGTAGAAAAGACTTAACTGTTCTTTCAAGCAGGACTTCATGTCTGCTGCCATTGGAAGGACCACTGCTCAAGGCTGGCAGATAAGTTAACATTCCAGATATGGTAAGAAGCATTTATTAGCTGGTGATTTTGCTATGGTTTCAGTTTTTAAAAGATGCTATATATGGATCCTATAGCCAAAGCACCCAACGGCTGCTAATTCCTTCTCTATTATCAGTCGTTAATGTATCTACAGATAGATGTTTCACTTCTCTTGAATTTCAGTGCAGACGATCTTTCTACTATTATGAACAGGAAAGCATGTTTTGGTGGGTAAGAAATGGTGAATCCTGTTATTTGTAAACAGGTTAGTGATCTACAGAGTGGTGACAAAGTGTGCCACTACCTGACTCATTCTGCTTCATGTATCTATATGGATAATATTCAAGTGAAGAAATGAGTAGAAGGAAAACCTGAAAATTCATTTGAGAATGCTCATTTTGAAAGAAGTACTCCTGTTATTAATTAAAAAAAACATGTTCAGGGATCATCTGAAAATACTACCATTCAAGAATTCTGATGAGGAACAGAGAATTGTGTTACATGTCTAACATTCCAGCTTACAGAAATAATTTTAAATTTTATACTGCTGCTGCTTGTGCATTATGCATGTGGAAATCATTTTTAACAAGCATTGAAGGAAAGGAGAGGGTAGAAGGAAGAAGGGGTGCCTGTTTTTCCATTTCTTTTTTGGAAATGAGGAGGAAGACATAGGTACCCTAAAGGACGGTTAGCAAATTTAGTGGTGAATACAAAAAATAATTGGAAAGTTAACATTAAGCATGTTTAAACCACTTGAAGATATTTGCTGTCTGATGCTGGTTTCTGATGTACCTTCCTCAGTTCTTTTATTCCCTTGCTAAGCACAAACCAGACTTCCCATACCCTGCTGCCCTGCAGAAGTGGCAGACTACAAGACTCATAATCCCCTTCCTGGAAGATCATGAGAGTTAGAGTCCAACGCATCTGTAGGACCCAGATCAATGAAGGCTAGTGCATGTAATGTGTATATTTATTTACTGATCTTATAGACCACTTCAATAGTCCTATTGGACTCTTGAAGCAATTCACAATAATAGCAAATAATAAAATAGTTTAAACAATATACATACAACAACATTATAAAGATGACAAATACAACAGCTGTGAATATTAATCAAAGCATGGTAAATTAAAATATTTTAAAATAATTAAAATAAAAATCAATCATTAAAATGTCTGGAAAATAAAACTGGCTTTGCCTGGCATCAAAGATTTTAATGAAGGCGCCAGGTGAACTGCTCTAGGAAGGCTATTCCATAGGTGGGGTGCAATCACCGAAAAGGCCTCCCTTCTGTTCGGCCCCCCTTCTCCTCACCTCCTTAGAGAATGGATCTTTCAGAAGGGTCTCTGAACCTACTCTAAGGGGCCCAGTAGGTATATAAGGGATATAGAACTAATAGCTGTATTGCGAGTCATGACTTCTTAGCATAATTAAACCTAGACTAATTCAGACTCTCACTGTAGCACTAACCTCCAGGTAAAGAGAAAAGTCCACGTTCATACATTCATATAGCAAATGAATACAGTATCTCCTACCCAAAGAGGAGATAGCTGTTGATTTAACGGTCAAAATTGCAGATGGTGTGAGGATTTCCCTACCTAGCGTTGTGTTTGCTCAATATTTGAACAGGGGACTAGTAACTGAAGTTGAGAACTTGGAGGAGGAAAGAGGAATGGGCTGCCTTTTCCTTAAGAACATATGAAGAACCCTTTTGGAGCAGACTAAGCATTCATCTAGTCCAGTATTTCAGTTGTCTTCACATAGTGGCCAACCAGCTGCCCACAGAATCCCACAAGCAGAACACGAATGCGCCCCACCTGCTGTCCACATGCCCCAACCACGGAGGAGCGTGAGCACACTGCCTTTGTTACTGGAGGCAGCATAGAGCCACCAGGACTAGTAACCATGGACAACTTTCTCTTCCCTGAATTTGTCCAGTCCCCTTTTAGGGTTACGTGCCATCAAGTTGTCCCCGACTTATGGTGACTGTATGAAAGCCCTCCAGAAAGTCCTCCTATTCATGACAGCCCTGCTTAGCTGTTCTAAATGCAAAGCTGCGGCTTCCTTTATGCAGTCAGTTCATCTCTTTGCTTGTGCCTTCAACATTCCCTGGCATGACTGTCTTCTCCAGTGCGTCTTGCCTGCTGATGATGCACCTGAAGTAAGACAGCCTCAGTTTTGCCATTTTTGCTTCTAGGGAAAGCTCCAGCTTGATTTGATCTGCGAACTGCTTGTTTGTCAGTCATTCCAGGGTATCTGCAAAGCTCTCCTCCAGCACCATGTTTCAAAGACATCAATTCCCTTCCTCAGCTTTCTTTACTGTCTAGTGTTCACTCGGACATAGACAATGATAGAATGGTGTGAATTATTTTGACCTTGGTCTTTTCTAGTTCTTTAATTGATATCCTTCCATTTTTCAGATGTCTTCAGATTTCTGTAGTCCCCCTTTGAATTGATGACTGAGCTAAGGTATACAAAACTTTTCACAATTTCGATTAAAAGCCATCAGACAGTGGCCATTGCTATACCGCAGGAAAGCGTATTCCATAGTTTAACTGCCCAGTGCAAAAAATGGTTGTGAACTGCTCAGAAAGCTTCAGCAACTGGACGGTACAGATATTTAATGGATAAGGACTTCTTTTTCTGTCTGAATCTCCCACCCATTGTCTTAATGGGGTGACCCCTTAGGGTTCTAATAATATTTAGTAGCTTTATATCCCACCTTTCCTCTTTTAAAGAACTCAAGGCAGCTTCCATAATTCTCCTACTGCTCTCTATCTTATCTCCACAACAATAAATCTGCGAGGCAGGCTGGACTGTGAGTCTGTGGCTGGTCCAAAGTCACCCAGTGGGCTCCATGGCTGAGTGGGGACGAGAACCTAAATCGCCTGAGTCCCATTCCCACGTTCTTCAACACACTGGCTCATTAGGGGGAAGACGATTTCCCTACCTATCTTTCCCATCCTAGCCCTAACTTTGGACACGTCTATCCTAGCGTGCCTACCCTTTCCTCCTAGGGGAGTTGCCCCAGCCCCTTGGTTCTTTTGGTTGCCCCTTTCCGACACCCTTCCTTAGCCTCAGACTCTCGGCTGCCGCCCCCAACCCTCCATTTCTCCCGTCATGCCCCTCTTCGGAGGGGTTCAAACCAAGCAGGAGCAGAACAGTTGGAAGCCCCTTCCCTCCCCCGCCTCAAGTGCTCCGCGCTCCCCACCATCGCCAGCAACAGGCGGACCCGATCCTTATTGGCTGGCCGTTCGGGTTCGCCGCGCTCTCACTGGCGAGCGTTCGCGAGGGAGGCGGGGCGGCGTGGTGCGTGTCTGTTTTTCTTGGTAGGCTTGAGTGGGTGAAGTGGCCGCCATTTTGTGTGTGAGGTCGGATCAGCGGAAGGGAAGCGGCAGCTGCGACAGGAGAAGAGCGTGGATCGGGTTAGGCTGCGCCTTTAGGTGGGGCGAAGAGCGCTGGTGCTGACTATGGCGGTTTAGAGAAGGGTGGACGGAGGGGAGCCCGGGGGCGGCAGAGGAGGAGGAGGCGGAGGGGGAGGAAGGCGTGGGGATGGGTGCACCGCCATGTTGTGTTGCTCCATTGAAAAGCTTCGGTGAGGCGCATCCCCTCTTCCTTGGAGGGGCGCGGCGGTGGTCGTGCCTGTAAGTAGGAGAAGGAGTTCGTCTTTGTGGAAAGGGATTGGGGAATCCTATCCTATTCCTCTTCGTGTTTACACGGTTGTACACTTTTTAGCGTTCATTGAAGGCTTACACCCAGCTAAAGGTGCAAAGGGAGGATGACTTGCCTTTCACTTGGGGTGAACTTCTTGGGGCTTTTCTTTTGAGGGGGTGTGAGGTTTTGTGGATTTGGTGAGATTAGGGCTGTCAGGAGCCTGTAGTATAACCCTAATCGTGCAAATAAAACACCGGTGGGGTTGCGATACATTTATTTGTTACACGTATATCCTGCCTTTTGTTCTTGTAAAACGTTCAAAGCGACATACACGAGCTTTCTGTGTTCCTCTTCATTTTATACTTGCAGCAACCCTGTGAGGTAGGTATGGCTACGAATGAGTGCCCGACCTAGTCACCCAGTGAGCCTCCTGGCCGAATGGGGACTAGAATCCAGATCTCCTGAGTCCCAGCTCCACACTCCTAACTACTAGACCACACTGGCTCTGTAGCTCTCTCTAGTTGTTATTGCATTACATTTCTGTACTGCCCGTAGACGAAGCTCTCTGATCGGTTCACAACGTTTAAGACACCCCGATTTCAGTCAGGCCCAACTCTGCTCAGTTGCTAAGATTAGGCAGGATCAAGCACTTGGATGCTGATCATTACACTGCTTTCAAGTTCTCCCACTTCATTTTCTTATCTACCCTAGTGATATTGAGAATAGGAGTTCCTGGTTTGTATGGTGTGATGGTTACCTTGTGCTAGTAGTGAGTAGAAAGGGAAAGTTGAAATGCCCTCTTTAATGCTAAGCTGAGAATAGATGAGGGCGGAGTGTGTGTTAGTGGGGTGTGGGGAAAGGGTTCATTTCCTACCTTATGATATGGCTTGGGAAATTCCCTTTGTGATTGCGTGTACCATAGGGTGGCAAAATGATCTTAAGAAAGAATTGCACCCTCATAAGTATAGGAGGTGGTGGAAGGCTCCTCCTGCCTTATTCAGAACCCAGGATGGTTTATCCCCTAATAGTGGGTGGGTTGGCAGCACAGATAACAGGGGCAGGTTTTATCCTTGTGTTGTTTGTGGCACAGAAATGTGAAAATCTGTGATATGTGTGGTGAACATTGTTTTCTGATGGAGTCCTGGCAGAGACGATGTAGTACTTCCTGGAAAGGTGATTGTTGAGGGCTGTAGGTGCTGTAGTGTGTCTGAATGCACATGTACGCTTTCTTTGTATCTGCTGGACTACTACAACTGTCTTGGTCTGTGTTGGCTTTGGATGATAGAAGTTGTAATCCCACCTGGAGGGCAATAAGTGTAGGGACAGCTACTATATCCTAGGGCATTGTGTTGTTTAAACCTCATTAGGTCTATTTAAGTCATAAAAGCAAGGATATAGTGTTAAAACAATAAATAGCTCATGGAAACAGATTTTATGTCTGCTTCTCTCCTTCCGTTGTACTGAATATTTGCTTTGTCACTTTACTGATGGACAAGAGCTGCAATCCTCTGCACACTTACTAGTGAGTAAGCCCTATTGAATGCAGTGGGATTTAAAAGTAAACATGCATAGGATTTGGTTCTTAATGCCTTGTCTAAAAATAGAAGTTTAGACAGAAGAATTGCTGGGAGTGGTACGCCTTTCCCTCTGTCTAAGTTTGCATAGGATTGTGCCTTAACATAAATGGGGTTGGGTGCATCTAATTGTCAGTATGGTATCTGACATAATGTCAGAGAATACCAGGCAGAGGAGAAAGGACTTCCTTTTTTGGTGGTGGTGGTGGGGGCCTGATACTGCCATGTGATCACTTCTGGAAAGTGGGAAGAGATGTTTTGCATATAGATGGTTCCAGACATAATTGCTGGCATCTCCAAGCTGAAATAAAAAATAAATAAATAAAATCATGCCGCCTTTTGAAATCCTAGCAATACATTCCCATTTAGAGTAGGCAGTATTGTACTAGTTAAACAATTTTCTTGGTACAAGTCAGCTTATGGTTCTTAGCTGTATGTGTTGTTTGTTGGGAAGAACTGGCTTCTTGTAAATCCTTGTCTGTCCAAAGACCTATCCATTTTTTGATAAAGTAATTATGTTACTTGGGGGATTCTGAAAGCTATCAACTTTCTGGAAGTTAATTAATTGATACCAAGGTAGAAGATAGAAACCGTGTAATTGAATTTCAACCTTGTTAACCCGACCTTCTGTTTAGTTGACACATAATGCAATTTAAGCACTGTTGCTTAAAGGACTGTGGAACTCCTGATAGTGCAACTCATATTAAGGGCTTCTGGAGGTATTTTGACGAACTAATATGAGTGGGGATATATAGGCAGTAGTTCTTGGAAACAGAGTTAATGTTGCTACCAGTCATTTAATTGTACTGAATATTCTCTTTGTAAATTTGCTGATGCATAAAAACTGCAATCCTTTGGACACTTGCTTGTGACTAAGCCCTGTTAAGCACAGTGGGACTTAGGAGTAAACACTTGTAGGATTAGGTTTTTCATGTCATTTGAAAACCTTCAGCTCTCAAATTTAAAACTCTCTGTGAAAGAGACAAAGAATTCACAGTGAGTTTGTATGTATATATGAATGCTGCTGGTGGTATATATATCTTAAAGACATGAATGTATCTGTAATATTCTTTAAAAGACAGGCAAATTTGTTCTCCAAACTGTGTTTCTGACTAGGAGCTGTCTTTGATTTGCCATTGTTCAAACTTTTACCTTTTCAGAGCTGGGACTTCTACACTTGAAGCCTGTGTGCCAAGAATCCGATGTTGGGCTTGGCTTCATGGTTGAAAACAGCAGATCAGCCCATGAAAACTACCATTCCTAGCCAAGGGAAGGGATCCAACAGGAGTCAGCATCTATTCTTTCAGGTTTGGCAGCAGGAAAGAGGGCAGGAGGTGGAGACTGTAGAATCTGAAAAAGGAACTGAAAGGTAAAGAGGACAAAAGAATATTGGAACATGACAAGCTCTCTTAAACTTCTGCAGCGGAAAACTAACCTTTGATCTAGGCTTGAGACCTGCTTTGTTAAGCTTTTTGAATGTTGCAAATTACTTGATGAAGAACTAAGGTTTTCTTGTGTAAAATGTACTTTCCCATTACGAAGCCATTTCCCATTGTACATTCCCATTACAAAGCCATTTCCTCTTCAGAAAGGCATGGATATCAAAATGGTATCAAAATAACTAAAGGTTAGTTCTGTCATATGCTTTGCCACCATCAGTGTTTTTGCCAGTCTGTTAAAACACCTAATTAGCTGTTGCTTGTAATATTCCTTTGCACCAACACTAAATTGCATTGTTAACATTTTCAGTGTGGATAAGTAGTGCAGATCTGTGTATTCTTGCACATTTCAGTGTTGCATAACATAGCCCAACGAAAATACTTTTTTTTGGTGCCTTGGTTTTTACTTCTGTTCTTCGAGTTATTTGGGATGCCGATTCATAAAATTGCACTGACTAGATTGCATTGGTTCTAGTTTCTTTGATGTGGTTAAATTTTATAGATAGAGATATAGATAGCCAGTTTTTGAAAAGATCTTGCTGATCAACTTGTTCTTCTGTTAACTAGTTTGTATTTTTGAGTACAAGTTTACATACTTCCAACTGTAATTTTACATCAGAAAATTGGATTCTGAAAGGTAATTCATTAGGTGTATTAAAGTTATGAATGGGACACACACCTTCTATACCATCATATCGCTTCATTTTTGCAAATTAAGCACCATAGAGATGGCTACCGTAGTGATGGTGCTGCCTGAATCATTCCGATGTATTTTGAGTATTTGTGGGGAGTATACCCTGAAAGCAAGTAGGAAACCTATTTCTGAGTTGTGAAAACAGCATATCTACGTTATTTTGGTGTCAAGCTTGGAGATCAAGATAAGCCATGGGTTCCTCATATTGTGTGCAAAACGTGTGTGCACAGCGACCGTGATTTTAAAAAAAAGTTCACATAGTGAATGTATTGACCAGAATGAATGATCTGATTAGGAACATACATCTTTCCAAGAAGTCTTCTGAATTGCTAGCCTCCAGACTAAAGGAAAAGAATGTACTTCAACCTGGAATGAAAATTACATTTCATTGAAGGAGAGAGAAGGATTTCCTGCCATTCTTTACTGAACACAACAACCTAGTATTCTGCAATGACAACAGAGTCCTTCTAAAGGAAATGGGTCTCTCAGAATATAACACAAGTGCCTTTTCATCGACAGTTTGAAATGTAGTTTGAAATATGTTCTTTTAAACAATGGCAACAAATATGACTCCATTCCAGTGGGTCACTCCACCAGGATGAAAGAAGGCCATCTCCTTAGTCTTGGGAAAGATAAATTACCAGAAAAGCCATTGGGTGTAATGTGTAGATTTGAAGATGGTTAATTTTCTTCTTGGTCAACAAAGTGGCTACACAATGTGTCCTTGCTTTGGGACAGTAGAGCCAGACATGAGCATTGGGTAAGAAAAGCTTGGTCTCCGAGGGAATATGGTGGCTGGAGAAAAAAAATATAATCAGTGCATCTTTGGTAGCATGAAATAGACTCTTCCCTCCACCATTCCATATAAAGCTAGGCCTGATGAAATGATTTGTGAAGATTTTGAATAAAGATGGTTTGTGCTTTGAATACATAGTGCATATACCTGGACTTACCATGAGAAAAACTGAAGGCGGGAATTTTTGATGGGCCACAGATCAGACAGCTCATGAATGACCCACATTTCATAGAATCAATGAATGAGATCGAATCTTGTCCCTGGTCTTCATTTGTTCTTGCTGTGAAAAACTTCCTTGGTAACAAGAAGGCGGACAACTATACTCAATTATTAGAGGAGATGCTCTTTCGCTTCAGCAGACTTGGCTGTAAAATGAGTGTTAAAATCCATTATCTGCACAGTTACTTAGATTGCTTTCCAGTGAACCTTGGAGACTTAAGTGAAGAGCAAGGTGAAAGATTTCACCAAGACATAAAAACAATGGAAGGCAGATATCAAGGAAGATGGGATGCACACATGATAGCAGATTATGTTGGAACTTCATGCGGGATTATCCTGGCAGATCCCACTCCTGGATTCTTGCAAATGGAGCTGCTGCTGTGTTGAAAGATTGGACTGTTTCTATCAAACCTGTGCTTTTGGTTTGAAATAAGCAGATTTAGTGTATTTCACTATTTATTTTTTTGTGTTTCTTTCATGCTATAAGGGGATTAAATAAAATACTACACTAAGATACCCTGATTTTTGACAGGTGCCCAGAGTGAAGAGTGGTATAAGGCATTTATGCTGTATCTCAAAAACTGGAGCTGTTAGGGAAAAATTGGTTCCATTTTTGGAATCAGTGGGTCAAATATACCAAGGTCTAACATTCAGGGCACCAAAACCTGAGTTGGCCAGTGTAATGTTTAACATAGGGCCAGTTTATCCTACAAGAAAACTATACTATATTGAACGTAAGAAAAATTGTATATTAAACAACAAATCTGGTGGAATGTTGTTATAGTTAAACTTGATAGCGTACTGTAGGAGAGAATTTAGGAGTAATCCTAAATTGTATGTTCTTTGTCTAAATTTTACTGTAACAGCTTTGCTGTGCAAACCTTTGTTTTCCGTTTTGCTTTAGATCAGTTCTGAGCAGCTGAGTACCCACAGGCCATTTGGCTCCATTTCACCAAAATGCAGAGATGTGACAAGAAGCAGTAAAGCCATTTTGGTTTTTATCCAGTTTGTGAATAGCTTTCATGTCTTGCCATTTTTTTCCCTGAAGGAATAATATTCTATTTACATTTTGCTCCTTCAAAGAAGTATTTTAGTTTTCTATTGAAAATTGAATTTGTTCTTTTCCTTTCCCTTTTCCTCTCTGGATAGGTGACATTTAAGTTGAAGATGGGAGGTGGAGAAAGGTTCAACATTCCATCTACCCAGCCCAGAAATGCTACCAAGAACCACCAACAACTGAACAATAGAAAAAAGAGCAAAGATCAGAATTCCCAGATGAAGAAAATCCACAAGAAGGAGAGGGGACATGGGTGTAGCCCATCATCTGTAGCATGGCAGGCCATGCAGAACGGGGGGAAGAACACAGGACATTTCCCAACTAACCAGGCTTGGAATCCAACTTTATCACATTCACTCTTCATGCCTCAAACCAATCAAAACTATGCTGGAGCAAAATTCAGTGAGCCGCCGTCCCCAAGTGTTCTTCCTAAGCCACCAAGTCACTGGGTAACTGTTTCACTTAACCCCATTGATAAAGAAATCATGACTTTTCAACTTAAAACTTTGCTTAAAGTCCAAGCATGAGCAACAGTGTTATACTGGAAGAAAATTACACACACAGATTTAAATTCCGTAGTACAGGTCCATGTTTGATTTCAAAATGAAAACAAAGACTCACCTTAGGAATTTGGTTTACTGTGTATTAAAGGTGGTTGAATTCTCCCCGAGTTGGAGAAATGTCCCCACCCTCTGGAAATATTTTATTTAACAGTTACTGGGTTATGTGTGCTGTATCAACTGTGTGCTGATGCAGTTGATGCTGTAAGCAGCCTGAACTAATCCCACAGTGCAAACAGTTGAACCATTTAGTTGCAGTTGCTTTTATTTTTAAATCTGCTTAATAGAGTAGGCCTTTTTCAAGGGAATTGAAATTAATGTTCAATGACCAAATTTGCAACAGTTGCAAAACAAAATTCTCCTGCATACTGTGAAATACTATACGCATTGAAGTCATTAGTAATTTGTTTTTCGGCTAGAGCCCAATCTAAAAAAACCAACCCACCTAACATTGTTTAAGAAATCCACTTCAAATAGGGTTTTAGTTTATTGAACTATCTGACACAACCATAATTTGAACTGGTGATTTGGGCCAGGCATTCATCTGTCCAAAGCCCTGTGACCAAAATGTAAACACTTGCATTAGGAAATTTCAATCTGTACAGCACTTGTTTAAGAGGAATGGAAACATAGTATGCAATTGCTAGCCAACCTTTTACACAAGTCTACAAATGTATTCTGTTGAACAAGGCAGACTCTTAAGTCACTACCCTGTGGCTGTTGTCTGGATGGCTACAGGATGGAAGTCCCAGCTCTGACTTCAGAGTTCTGAAGTCAGAGCTGTGATTTCAAATTCAGAGTGTCTTTTGCCCTGCAGCCAGTGCTGCTCTTTCTGTCCTGGCTGTAGCTTCAAGGTGACAAGATCAACCCTAGAACTGGCATTGGATGGATGCTCGGGGGAAAGGAGGGAACAAGGCACTTTTGGAGAAATCCCTCTGGCTTCTTTTTGTGAAACAGTATAAAACATTTAGAGGGCTAAGCGAATCAGTGTGGGAAGAGCACCGAGGCAATCCTAGCCATTCTGCTCCTTCAGTTCTCCATTGGGTGCCTGTAATCCTTCAAGTTTGGACAGTTGGAGGAAGTTGTGTTTGGATGGTACCTTAACTGTACCAACTGAAACTTTCCATTGTCAGGTGACTGCCAAAAGCCTGAGTATTTCCCTTCATGGAGAATTGCAGTGAGCTGTTTTTTAAACACATTCTGTAAGTTTTGTATCACTTTCTGAAATAGTATTGTTGAGGTGAGTCTGAAATCAAGACAACCTGTAATATGAATTTGTTTAAATAAACTTCAAGTGTGAAACATCTCTAATGGAGGGAAGAAAGAGCCATGTAAATAAATGTAAAACTTGTAGCATATGTAAATTTATGCTGGGCTTTCTTGCCAAAATAAAGTATTTTTAGTACAAAACTGCTGAATGTAAAAGGACCATGCTAAGTACATGGCATTTTTTAAAAAAAAATAATTTTGTTAAAAAAAAAAGGCTTAAAAGCACATGTCTGTGCCATTGCACTTGAGTATCTGTGAGGGTATGTGCCCATGTTTGGCTTAGGTGACAAGCAAACTTGGTACAATAAGTAGCACTGCTTTTTTAAGGTAAAACAACAAAAGATTTTTTTTTTTAAAGTTAGGCGTGTAATCCAGTTCCTATTAAATGCAGGAACAATACTCTTACTAACTCAGTGGAACTGAATTGTATCCTCAGGATGCAGTCCTAAAAACACTTGAAAGCAGGTAACTGATTACAGTAGTATATTAAAGTGTGTTTGTGATCGGGCTGCATTCTAGCACACTGTTATGCATCCAGTCCTTGATAGAAGAGCCTGAAGCACCTGACTGCACTTGATTTCATCTAGTAAGGTTGCTTTCATTTTGGATGAATTAAAGACAAAGCATAATTAGAAAGTTGAATATCTAAATGGTGGTAAGAGTTGCAAAACCCCCATGTTGTATATGTGAAGGTCTATTCTTGTGATTCCTGTTGGATATTGATTTGCTTTCAAACTATACATTTAAATTGGCACGTTTCTTGGTAATTTGTATGAGGACACTTAAGTGAGACTGGCTTTTTCTGGCATACCTTTGAAAACCAATTTTCAATCTGGTCTTCCTTCTGAATTCTAGGGAGCATCATATTTGGCGAAATTTCAGGTGTTCTCTTTCATGTCTGATGTGGTAATAATTCACTAAGGGTGAAGTCCTATGGCTGGTAGACTTTGTTGTGGCCTCAGAAAAGCCCTCCATGGGGGTAATTCCAGGGGAGGGGGAAAAAGGCATCTGTTTTCCATGAAAAGTCAAGGCAGAACAAAGCATTTAGGTGGCCAAAATCTTCTGAACGCATATTTTGGAGAGGGGAGGTAATTTTAACCTCCATACTTGATTGGATGCCTGTAAATTGAGTTCAGAGGGTTACAGAGAGCTGCACAGAATGAGGATGACCCTAAGGAAATTAAAATTACTTCCATAAAGATTTAGTTGTGATGATAAAGATAATATCCAACAGTAGTCTGTAGTAATGAAGATGTGTACACGTTCTATGACTTTCAAAAGCAACTTTCTGTAAAAGTCTCAGGGGTGATTGGCTATGCATCATTGCACATTTGAGCTACTTAGACATTCAAAATGTTTTCGGAACCATCAAGATAATATATGTCCAAATAAAACAATTGGACATTTTGCTTAAAATTAAATCTCTTGTACCCTAAGTTTATCCTTGATATTTTAAAATCATTATGTCCCAAATGCAATTTTGATGTTCTAAATTCCATGTTTAGCATATTGCTTGGATTTGAATTGGAAACAAAATCTAAATAAAAACCCCATACCTTTTCTCCCCCACCTGTGTTGTTGTATTATTTCACAAGTTTTAAAAAATTGGAGTATGTGTATATGTGGGACAGTTAATATTTGCAAGTTAATACAGCTGTTAGAAACTTTGTAACAGTGGTTACTAAGTAGCATTAAATAGCCAGTTTATCTGAGTTGATAGAAAGCAGCTCTCCACAAGTTAGCACAGCAGTTTTGGAGAGTCCCAAATATGTGGAGATCTATTTGATGTCAGTTTAATGAAAGTGTGGTGTTTGCACTTAGATGGTTACAGTTGTGACTTGCAATCTTCAGGTATCTGGTGACTCAGACAAGCTTTACAGTCTTTTATGAAGTGAAGTTCCACAAAACTGCAAATCAAGTTTCTGCAAAATCTCAGGGCCAAACTAGTGAAGGCAGCATTGGAAAGGTGGGAAGCTGCCCTGGGAGTGACTTAACTCTGCCATGCTATAGTTCCAGTAGCCTGCCATCTCTTGCAATTTGCAGTGGCGGGGGATCTCCAGAGGCCATTCTCACAATATGCTTAAAAGTGTGGGCAATAGCAAAATGTTAAGCATTCTTTACTAGTCCCATGACTTAACAAAACTAGAATTATGTAACGTTGAAATCATTGTAGAATAAACTTAAGCCCCCCCGTTTGTATAATTTATCCAAGTCATAGGATTTAGTCTTTAGTGCAGAAGCTTTTTGCACATTATGCAAAGTCCTGTCTGCTGCCAGTTATGCCAGTCTTATTGGCCAATGAATCTGAGTGGTGCTACTGCTAGTACTGAGCAAGAATTTTCAGGGACTTGCTTAGTAGAGAAGGGGACATCCAATAGGTTTATCCCCCAGCTCTCAGGTTGCAGGATAGCACCTCCATTTCTAGCCTAGGTACAGTTGCTAAGAGGCAAAATAATTCAACATGAACTTGTAAGCTACTGAGGGCAGCAGGATGTTGAGAGTAGACACCCAAGGAAGAGTTGGAAGGGGCGAGATGAAAGCATTGGCTTTCATACTGATTTACATTTGCTGGTATAATTACACGTTAGTATTCATACCTATAAATTCCAATGGCATGACAGGACTACTAAACTACAGCTGAGGAAGTCACACAGCAACCTGAAATGTCAAAATATTCCATGTAGTCTTAATACAATCATTTTGCAATTGCAGGAACAAGGGCTCCCTTGCAGGCATTACTCTAGAAGGTAACTAGTGTCCAGTATTTCCAAGGGAGTTCTTTCACCCCATCCCACAAAATCCATGAAGCTGAACTGCTATTTATCAAGACTCAGATTAAGAAGGAATTATGAAGCAGTTACACAAAAAACATATCTAGAGCAAGGCTGACTGAACCTCAGCTTTGTGCCACTCTGTGCGCAACCATGAATCCTGCAGCTGCCCACTGTCCCAGGGCTAATGACACAAGAAAAGCAACCAGTCATGGTAGGACACAAATTGCTACTGGTAATGAAAGAAAAGCAGGACCACTGGGCGTTGCTGGAAAAAGGCGTTAGCCATCTCCTTCCCCGTAGCAGGCTGGGAATTGCCTCTTTCCTACTCTAATGGCTTTTGACTTCTCCATCCCATAGTATCCTTTATGTGTAGCCATCAGACAGAGAAGTGTGTACCTCAATTTTGAAAGCAGCTTTTACTTAATATACCAAGATTTAGGAGGTACATCGCCAGAATAAGTTACAATTTTGTTACTGAAGTGTACAATCGAGCAACAGTATTGCATGGGTTAAGGACAGCTTTTCTATGTAGTATATCAACATGCTAAGCTTCACACTGGAGCATGCATTTCATACTGCAACTTTGAATACAGTCGAACCCACTTGATCTCAAAACAAGTTGATTCCATTTTAAATATGTATTCGGCAAGGCTGCTCATTTGTCTGAGGCTGCAGACTAGCCTACCTGAACCTCATCTTCGAACAATGGCATATCATCTCACCAAAGCTGGTTTAAAGGAAACACACCAGGTTCCCCTGAGGCGCAAATGGATTTCTTTTGCTTAGATCTTGCTAAGAGACAAGTGCTTGCTGGTAGTATGATAATCAGAAAGTTGGTTTAAAGACTTGCCTGACATGGTACCTGACAAAGTTTGCTTTTGACTACTTAATGGATCATAACCTGCTTCCTTTTTACTGAAGGTGTAATGCAACAGGTGCCTGCAGGCACTGACATGGACATTTCTTTGTGGCTGCTCCCATTTTTTGTGGTGCCTTAAGACAGTTCCTCAATTGCCAAAATGTGCCCACAAGCCTGAAAATGTTGCCTGTCTTATTTGTAAGCCGCTTGCAATGTTTTACTCATTCTTACAGATAAACAGGCATCTATTTAAAAGCCTTCTCTACTACCATAACACATACATTTTCCCAACAGTGTTGGTTAACCTTTTAAGCTTACAATAAAAGATTACTGGATTTCTATTTCCTTCTTTATTATAGCACATTTGCTAGTAGTTTACAGCAAGCAGAGATAAGCTGGATGTTGCTTGATCAAAACACTTATGTTTAAGGTAGTACACTATTTTAAAAAGAACATATAAAAATACCTTTGTAGAAGCTTCTATAAGAAAGGAAATACAAAGTTTATTTCCACAACTTTCTCTGACCAGAGCTGCACAGTTACACCACAATTTTACACTTTGTTTTAAACTATACATCAGAAGTCTACAAAATTAAAAAAAGGAACCCAAGTTATAAATGATTGCATAGCAGAACATTAACTTTTAACATGAAAGGAAAAGTTAGAAATACTATCAAATATACAAAGGTTCAACAATCACCCCTCGGAACATTCCACATCCAGAATTTTAAAAGCCACCTTTAACTCCTGAGTGGCCTGTGCGTAACTAAAATTTAAATCTGAACATTGTTTTCTACAGAAACAGGCAGTTCAATATTCAGTTGCTCTACTTGGTGGAAGCTGAGGACCTTTCAGGGTTTGTTACTGGCTTTCACATTTCAATAGAAAAACTACCTTATTACAACAGGGTGCATTCTTCAGAGAGTACTTCTGAGATTATGCTATGGCAATTGATCATATGCAGTCTTGATATTGGGTTACAACAAAACAAAAGCAAAGGATGCAGCTCTTCTTCACACACACTGTGAACACACAAGTTGAGGTGTGCTATATGGTAACTGGAGCCCTATTTATAATCCATCTTTTGAACAGACAGGCTTGCTTGACCTACTTCATAGGTTCTGATGCATTACCGTAATCATGTTTAGAAAGACATGGCTAGAAATAGGTATTTATGGGATTCACAAGCTATCTAGGAAGTAAATGGCATAAATTTGGTTTTTACATGCCATACAAACTAATTCAGCATGTTCATTTGACTTAATGCAGCAAGAAATCTTAAGCAAGTTGTGATCAACTGCTCACTAAAACTTAAGATACACCACACTGCATATAGTTGTATATATTTTTATCTAATTATTTAATGGAATATTTTTACTTTTAGGGATTAAATTATCAGTTAGGAGGAAGCATGAGAAATCCTGACAAAATCTACAATAAGTTCTCACAGTAGATTCCTGCTCTAGTCTTCTTTGTTATACTACCAGAACCATCACTTCAGAAGTTATCAATGAGTACCTCGATACCATTTTTCTCAATACCCCAGAATCCAGTCATCTTGGCACAAATGCGCATGACAAATCCAAAACCTCATTTTGAAACTTGAAATTATTATAGTTTATACTTCACAGCAGTCACTGTTGCATATGAGCTCCCAGTTTTCCAACTGTACAGCGGGGATACCGAACAATTTAAATATACAGGGAACAGTTATTCTTTATGGATGAGATTAAAATAATTCTATAAACTATGGTGATAATCAAGGTACCATTAATATTTGAAGCATAAAAATGCAAGTCTTTTACAAAAATATACATAGAAACACCACAAGAACTTCAGTAGCTGCCCATGACATTTAACAAAGTGGACTCTTTTGTATAAGATTCTCAATATTGTATTTTAATAGTAATAATTTCCCGCTACAGGGATAACTGACAATGTTATTTTAAAGCAATGTTGCAACATCATAACTCAACTGTGTAACTGGATGATACATGCCTAAAAAAACAAGGTACACTGTTAATGGCCACTGGACTTGGGACTAGCCCATGACCTGGATCTGGATTTTGATCTAGATCTAGAATGCGATCTCGACTGAGATTTGGATCTAGTTGGTTCTTTTTTCCTTGATTCTTTTTCATATCTTGAGCTGGATTTATATTGTGTCTTAGAATCCGTTTTAGAGGTGCCTCTAGATTTAGTGCGAGATGCAGACCTAGAACGTGATTTAGCCTTCATTTCTTTTTTGGGTGGTGACTTAGATCGTGATCTTGAATTGGACTTTGACCTTGAAAAAGATCTGTTACGGTGTTTGAACCTATCAGAAAGAGGAAGATAATACATTTGAATATGGACAAGCTGCTGGGAGTTGTGTAGCTCACATTAAAATGGCTTACTGTTGCAGGCAGAGACTGTTCAGATTTTGAATTTGGTATAGAAAAGGATGTTTACCTATCATTATCTGAACGACTTCTGCTACGGCGACGTCTTCCAGCAGGTCTACTGCTAAAAAGGTACATCAGAAAAAGTAAACAGTGGCATATACCTTTAGAATTACTCACACACCCCCAACTAAAGTTTCTTGAGAGCTGCATTTGTTTTTCATTTTTCTTCAATGATGTACAGACTATTTTTGATGGTTCATGCAAGGTATAACAACTTCCATGCATGTTATAACTAAGGTGACTTGATATCTAGGTGTCAGACAGTCAATATGATTTCTTCTCCAATACACGGCAGCATAGGTCAAGCCAAGTACAACACTTACTTTCTAGGGCTATAAGATCTGCGATAGCTGTAGTCAAAAGAACGGCTTCTTGACCTCCTCCTTTCATAACTGCGGCTTCTAGAACGCCTGTATCTGTCATAGTCATCATAACGGGAAGAGCTGTACACATTTCTTCCTTCCTTTGCTTTCATTTGGTTTGGTGCTGCAGAAAAATGGAATAGCAATACTATAACATAACATTAATATTTGAAACCGTATATAAAACTTTTCAGTTGGCTTCTGTACAAACAAAAGCATCCAATTATCAAGTTCAGCCAAAATGCTTTTTATACATTTAATATTCTTGTTGGCATCATCCTAACAATTTTATTTACTAGGTATTGTTGCTATCAAAAAAACTGACTGGGCAGGAGAATGTTCTCCTTCCCATTTATTTATAGTACTTTTTAATTAAATTTTAAAACAGTACTAAAAACATCAATCATCACAAACATCAGAACTACTGAGTCAGCCCCTTACTACATATCTATTAACATTCTGTAATCATATTCAGATTCATTTATGGAATCTTAAAAAATATTTTTAGATCTAAGCCAAGTCCCGTTTCTCCAGTCAATAAAAAAAAAGTTCCAAAAGTTCCAAAGATCAGTCCATCCATTTCTTACAGAGTCCCGTTTTCCTTGACCAATATTAAAAGAAAGACTCTCCAAATTTGATAAAAGTCAGTATCTTCTTTCTTCTTCAATCTAACCAACTCTACACAATTCCAGATCTTTTCATTTTTCTAATATTAAACAGATAAATTCCTCATTATAATAGTTACAAATACAATCAAATACATTTTTTGCTTACTATTATTCCAGTCTAATATCCACTAAAAAGGAAAGTGAAAGAGAAGTTCCACGCTTAAAAAAGAACTAAACACTTTTAACCCAATTTATGTTCACATGTCTAAAATCCATTTAGGACATCTTATCTAATCTATTTAACGACAACAATTATCTATGATATCTTTTAAACAAATTTTCTTTAAGCTAATTTATTAAAGTTTCATCTAGCTTACACTTCACTTAATCACATACAATTAACTCCTTATAAGAGTCCAGCTCCTTACAATCTTTAATATATCTCGCTTGTAAAAAGAACTCTATTTAGTACAGCTCCTCCTACTCCCACAATAGTCATTTTCTAGCATAGCAATTCAAAGACAAAAGAGTCATGCAACTTAGCTTTTGGTCATTCATTTTTAAGATAAAAAAAGAAAAAAAAAAGAAAAAGAATCTCTCATTTTCCCTTATATCACCCACAAAGAAGAGAGAGAAAAAAAAGGGGGGGACTTCACTCCTATTCTTCTCCTTCTTAGTTCAGTTTAAATCTTATCTTATAATCTCTTCATAATTCAACACATTTAAATGTAGAAAAGCTTCCTCAGTTAAAATCATATACCTTAGCCTTTCCATACCACAATAAACATGCCAACCCATTTATACCATTCCTTTTTAAGATTTCTTTTTTACACCTCTTCCAAACTGCTTTTAATAGGGTTTGTTGAAAATCAGTATTTTTAAACTTTACATCTCCAGCCCATCTTTCTCCCCTTGGTGTTATTTGTTGAAAATCAACCAACTTCAAAGTCTGTATTTCAATCTTCACTATTTCCTGCTTTATCTTCAGTGATTGTAGCATTTGTTGTAGGTCAGTATTTATTCCCAATGGCTGTGTTTTTTGCTGCAAATCAACCTTCACTCTTTCTTCTTCCTCAGAATTAATTTTAGTTAATTCAGGATCCACCCATCCTTCAAAAAAAATTCCTTCCTTTAGTGGCCAAATTTGTTTCTTTTCATCCACAGTTTCAAATTTTTCATATACTTGTTGCCTTTCTTGTATATTCTGTTCAGTTTTGGATTCTACATCAATCACCATCTTCTTAAAAGAAGCATCAAGCTTATCAAAGCGCTTTTTCTGTACAATTGAGAAGATTTCCTGTTGTCTCAACATCACCTCTTGGGATATTTGTAAAGTTGTTAAGATTCTTGTATTACCAAAAAAAAATCTCTTCAGCTCTACCATCGTTGCAATAATTCCAATAGCCACAAAGTGGCAGCCAAGATCAGTTTCACTTTTTTTCTCTAGATCACTAGCTGTCAGGTTGGCAAGTTGCCAAATACTTTGGCAGGTCCCAGAAACACAGGAGAGGAAATGGAGATTCTTATATCCTTCCTCTTTTCTCCCTTTTCTCTTTTTTTAATGCCAATTAACAACAGATACAGTTTTTCCACAAGTAGTAAAATAGGAAAGCTCACCCAAACAGTCAACACATTAAAGAAGCATCCGACAATGTGAAAAATATCCTGGTGAGTGTCCAGTTGATCTTGGCAGAAGTCCAAACAGATATCCAAAATGATTGGTCAAAGCTTTGAACTCCTATCACGTAACTGCACCTTAAAAATTTAAACTAATTTTATACCCTTAGAGAGGTTAGAGGAAAAAGTCTTTTTCTTCGGCTTCAACTTGGACAAAAGCCTCAGCACTCTCTCATCTCAGTCGCCGCCTAAACATCCGGAGGGTTTTTCTTTTCTTAATGCCAAATTATAAACAAATACAGCTTTTCCACGGGTAATATTGCGAAAGAAGTAAAAAATATTTACTCAGCAGTTCCAATGCTTATCTAGCTAATAAAAATCCTAAGCTAATCTTCTAAGATGTCGAGAACTTGAAGGGGCTGAAACCACCCCCTGTGTTACTCGGTTGAGAAATACCTGAATTGCTCTCAGCAGATATGAGATTGCCATCTCACATCAAGCCAAAAGTGTGCCCAGGCAATCTGTCTTCACCCCGACAGGGCTTAGATGAGTCTCCCACGACTTGCTGCCGAGTAATACCGGCGTGATAAACGAACTCCGTTAATCACATCTGTCTCGTTCCGACGCCATCTTGCAATCCTCCTTTCCATTTATTAATATGGTGATCCTGTTACCCATTTTAAATTTTTGACCAAATGCCTGCACACTAGAGGTTACTTTGGCACTTGTTTAACTTTCCAAGCATATGTGACCAGTTAGGAGATGAGAATGCAAGAGCTGTGTAAGAGCAGGACCAGTCCAACAATCCAGTCCAACAATCTGTTCACAGTGGCCAACCAGAAACTTTTAGGAAGTCCATAGGCTGAAGGACGGCATTCTTCCACAAATATTTGCTAGCAAACTCTGATACCTTTTTATTTAAGCGTCATTTTAATTGTTAATATTATTTGCTTATTTTATCTGGCCAGGGCGACTTATTTTATATTGTTATTTCTTGTATTTTAATTTTATGTTGTGAGCCGCCCTGAGGCTTTGGCGAATGGGGCAGCATAGAAATGTTTTAATAAATAAATAAATAAATAAATAAATAAATAAATAAATAAATAAATAAATACGGGCACTTATACCTTACACGACTGATAGTGGAAACAAAGTTTTCGATAGCTAATTTCACTTGTACATCACTCCCATCTTCTGGTAGTGAATTACATGGTTTAATTAAACACAATGCAAATTCAATGCTTCTACTCTACATAGGATTACCATTGGATACTACTATGTAGCTTTATTATCGTTGTTAGAAATAGCATACCAGTCTAATGATAGAGGATCCATATCCTAATCAAACCGTTTTGTAAGCATACATGGTAAAACAAAGGTGGATTCTTTGCTATCTTTGTCAGAATTAACTTCACCATTTTGTTGAAGTTCAGTACATAGTATGTAGTACATTATGTCACACTTCAGTAAAAAATATCTCTACATTCCAGGCTTGGGCATGCGGCATAGATATGCATATGAGTGAGGACAAGTGTTAACAGAACCCAGAAACAGCTATTCTGTGTTAACGGATTTTAAACGTTATCTGTTCTAAGGCTATTCACTACCATTTCACAATTCAGCCTAAGGAAGTTTAGTGCCCAGTGTGCATGTGCAACAAAAGCTGCTGGATATGAAAGCAGTTTAAGTTTTTCATGAGCCATGCAGCTCTGAAAACAGGACAATTATACTACTGACCAACAGCAACCTTATTCAGTTCATCTAGGAAATTAATAGGTTTTACACTTACTTATTTGCGGTTTGCATATAACTCCCTGGTAGGGAACCTATGTGCCTTTACACTCATAATCAATTAATAAAATAGAAAATTCCACCAAGAACAGTATTCTAGGGCTACCATAAATTTGTGATTGAACACTTAGGTATGTTTTTTACAATATAAGAACATATACAAAATGGAAATGGAGATGTTTGAGCTAAAATAGATGTGTACCTTCCACCTGCAACCTGTTTACAGAAAATTACCCATTTTAATTTCTTTGAATATGTTTACAGGTTTCTGGCTAAATTCAGACAAGATCAGAAAACAGATAACAGGATTAAGACTTCAAATATATATATATACTTGATTTAATAGTTTAGTTCAACTTGGCAAACATGAACAGCAGTCCCAGAAAAATTCCAGCAGGCTGTACGAAGAAAGAAAACCTACTGTTGCCGACCAATTTCTGAGTAGACCAAATTTTAAAAATGGCTTTCTTGACCTTTACCACACAAGTTACACACTTGTAACTAAACACATTACAAATAATACTATATTTATACCGGATTTTGTGGTTGTGTGACAAACGGTCACCACATATACACATGTTTCAAGACCTGACTTCCTAAGGAAGGATTCAATTACATGTAGAGAGAACACATACTTTTCCGATCTCCTTGAGCAAACTGGATTTCTATTTGGCGGCCACAAATCCACTTCCGGTCCAAATTATGAAGGGCATCTTCAGCATCACGAACGTCTTCAAATGTACTAGATGTTAAGGTACTTGGGAATTTGAGGTATTTAGGGCTACATAATTAGCAAGCTTTGGCTTTCCCATAATGTCATCACACACTGTTTGTTACCAACTTGTCCACATTTTTGGCATGTTCTATGGCATTACAAAAATTAGCTGACATTAACAATGTCTATTTTATATTTTGAGACAAGAGCAAAATTTCAGTCAAAGGATGTTTATTCTTAATGAATGCCAGATTTCTCTCAAATATGCTGACAGTTCAAAAAAGGGTTCTTTTTGAACATTGCTATCCTTATGCTTATCAGTGTTGCATTTTGTTGATAAACTAGTACTAAAGTTGATTATTTCCTATATTTGTCCACTATTAAAACATTAAGTCAGTATTAAAGTTACTCCTAATTTTATGACAAAAGCACGTATCATATAAAATGCTAACTCGAAGTACTAATTCTGCATATTTATAAGTACCAAAAATAATTTATTGCACCTTAGATGCCCATGTATCAACTTTTAAGGAGAAGCCAAGGTCACCCTAATACAAGTAAACTCATCTCAAATTAGGAGTTACTGCATGTCATTAGGAACCACAATTTCAAAGGTACCACTAATATTAAGCAAATTATCACAGCGCCCACAGCTAGACTGAGCCATTAAAAAAAGAAGGATTGGTTAACCACTTACACAAGAAGCAAGAGAACAACTCTTATTCTGTAGGATACATCAGGCATGGCTCCTTTTATCTTGGCCACCAGTCAACTTCATCTTGACCTTTAACTCTTTTAAGTGCTTGTCAGAAGGACTTGTCATGAGATGCTTGGTCAAAAATGACAGATGGCTTTATCTTTATACTTTGAAAAACAACCTTTTTCCCCCATTTGCAGATAAAGCGAAGCTTTGTCTCCCATTATGGCTTGTCCTTCTTCCAGCTTTTCTTTATCTTTTCTTTTCCCAAACTTTCCCTTCTCTTCAAGCCTGATCCTTAAGATGTCTTTGGCTTGTCTACTTGCCTTAATTCTTGAACTCTACTCTAAAAGGTTCTTTCATGCTTTCTCTTTGGGGTCGCCATTACTGTACAGCTTTACACTCTGAGGCAACAACAGAGGACAGCACATTAGGGGACAATAATCAGAGCAAGACTTTTCACCTCATTTCATACAAATCTACTTTTGATCAAATTAATCCAGTTTCCATGAAGTTAAACAGTAAAATATCAGCCACATTTTGCAAGCACAAGAACACGTTTATCATAAATACCCATTATATTTAACTGCAAAAAGACAATCTGGAGGCAGCAAAAAATGTCATTTCAATATTAAAAGCACAAGCCCAAAAACGAAGCTTGCAACAACAAAGCAGGCTTTTACTGGGTATGGTTTAAATTTTAAGGTATGGAAATCTGTTAATATATTAATTTGCAGGGGAAATGGAACACACCACAATATGACATTGCATACAACACAGAAGAAAACAGCTTTTTCATTTAGGTTTGTTACCTCATACACAAATGCGAATTTCAAACTTCAACACCCTCACTAATCAGTCATCTGAAGAAAGGATATTGAACATAAGCAAATCCTCTTGGACGGCGAGTGTAGAAATCCAGGGGCACATAAACATCAACTATTGGACCATAACGACCAAATTCACGACGCAAGTCTTCTGACCTGAAATAGAACACTTCACATTTGAATGTCTTCACTAATTATGAAAGCAAACTGAAGTTAGGAAACAAGTCTATATGAAAGCACAGGAACTCCATAATGTCGACTTACTTTTTGAAAGTTAGGTTACTTTCTCATGTTGACGTCAAAATAAGCATGAATGGGACTGAACTGCACACATTTTTGTAACAACTTATGATAACAATCCAATTGCATGGATTTTTGTTCCAATTGTTTCCAGGATTGTGCTCCTAACCTCATTCAATATATCCTAAACTTGCAAGCTATTAAAGCTGAATGGATATAACTAATTTGAAGGCCTCTCCTTCCCTAGCACTGACCAATATAGAATTTAAAACCAGTGAGGGACTCTTTCTTTGTGATGCGCATGCTTGAGGAATGTGGCCTGCGGGGACTACCACTACCGCCTGGTTGGCTGTGTCACCCCAACTGCAGAAGTCTCTTCCAGCAAAGACTCATCTGTTAACCATGTGGTGGAAATTCACAAACAAGTTAAAAACATTTATTTATATTTATCTCAGGCACAAGAAAGTGTTTTATCTGTTCGTGGGTGTTATCAGAGTGTTTGCTTTATTGTGCTTTATGATGCGTTTGTAATTTTAGAGTTATGATTTTCAGTGTTCTTGGTTTTGTGTTGCTTTTCTATGGGTTGTTAGCTGACCTGAGATTCTTGTCAGAAAGGGCAGGATAGAAAAAAAAAATAAATGTGAATACTTGTGAAGATTAAAATGCACATTATTCATGCTTCATTTTAAAAAAGAAACATTTATGCCCAAGACACTCTCCAAGTCTAAAACTTAGTGCAGAAGGATAACATGCTACCACTCCACTACTAGGCACAAGGACATAATTAAAGACTAAAACTTAGAAAGCTATATGCATTGGCTAATCCAAGGTAACACATCAGAAAGTCTGCTCTGCCACGCGCTCATGGCAAGCCACTCTTCTCTCAGCTTTCATCTACATCCAAGTTGTGCAGACTTTGGCTGTTCTCAGTGGCCAAACCAAGATGTCTGGTTTCCAGGATCATGCCCCTGACCTCATTCAATGTACCTTAAACTCAGCACAAAGTTAGTAACATTTCCGTACTACCTTAGAACATTTCCCTCCGAACTTGCAACTAGAGAGAAGTTGGGAATAATTCCTGCAACCACACCGCACTTCTGAAGTTTTAAAAGGACCTAGATGTACAGAAGGAAGCATCTTGATGCCTTCTAAAAGTTTTGGATGGTAACTTTCATAAATCTCCACCAATCTGTTCAAGGGCCTGGAATTCTGAGAAGACACCAGTTTGTCCACATCTAAATTAGAAGCACAGTGTTATGTATGGGGTTGGTATGTTGCCTGTTCCCTAGCTCCAAAGCTGGAAGAAAAGATTTGGTTTGTCAAACTTATCATGGTGAGTGGAACTGTGGGCCACTGGGTGTAATACTTTACACAGAGGTGGTAACAAGTACCAAGACAGCATATATGACACTTAAATCAAAGGTCACTTCATCAATTCTACTTATATGTAATGCTATAGATTTCCTCATTTCCCCCCTTCAAAATACAACCGTTTTCCCATCCCTCAGAAACCTTTAGAAAAGCACCAACTGAATTCATGACCTTCAACCACTCTTCATTATCACATTGCCTTTACATCTAATTCTTTCCGACATCAGTTTTAAGCTGCAACTCAAAGAAAGGTGATCCAGTGTTTACTAGTCTGATAAAGACTTCATCTTCAAATCAATAGTCTGAGAAATATCAAGGAATAAAAATTTTCCAGAAATTGCGACTGGGTCTAGACAGCCTTGAATTATTTACTGTAGGGGAGCTAATTATAATTTCCCCATTATAAAGTAGAATCACTACAGCGATCACTGCACTAAAAGGGAAAGACGTAGTCTTGCCATGGAAAAATGCTGAAGGAAGTACCGGCTGAACTGTACTACAAATTTAGCCAAGTGGCACATGACAGGCTATGGTAGTGAATACCGACACTCACCCTATGTTTTTCTCTATTACTATCTTAGTTCTAAACTACACATTGATCATGATTCTGCATGGAGTGTCCTCATATAATGAGAAGAGTGAAGCAGTCACTATTTCAGCCAGGAAATATATAAAATGCACCTGAAAGACCAGAGAAAAACTACTTGGAAAAACTGAATATGAGCAGTGTCCACAAAAAAATGTGTTTGTAAGAGTCAAGGTAACGACTCTTTTCAAAAAAAAAAAAAATGGGAGTAAGTACTAAGACAACTAGTTTCTGAAGTTCTCCGACCTCATGGGGTGGCAAAAGGGAGAAGAAATTCGGATGATGGCCCTAGCAAGCAAGAATATCTAGGCAAGGAATCAAGCTGAAAAAAGAAGACTGTAGATCTGTTCTGTCAAAATAAAAAAAAAGTAAAAGGTTAGGGGAAATCTTGAGAGTGGTAAGGTCAAGAAAAAGAAAGCAAGTCAGCCAAGATGATTAAAGATGATAAGGGTAGGCAAAGAAACGAAAAACAGAAACTGGCAGGAACGGGGAGGGGTAAGAAAAAGTACGAAGGAGTAAGGCTTTGAAAAGATACCCTTGCAAGCCAGCAGTGGTCGCTTAAGATAACCGTTAGAAAGATTTGATTCCTCTTAGGAACTGGTAAGCTTTTCCTGGGTTACACTGTTATCCTTTGTAAGCCACCTCTGGCGTCACAAGCCGAAGTCTGAAAGCACAGGCGCAGAATACACGCGAATTTAAGAACAACATTCTCCTGCCCCTCACTCGGAACTGAAGGCACGGAAAGGGACTCTCGCGAAGCGTGCTGCCACCGGATCCCTGCGGCGAAGCTCCACTGAGCGGAGCGGGGTTTTCTTCTGGGCAAACACGTGCCCACGTTTCGGGGCCGCAAGCTGCGCGTGCAACAGCGGCGCCTTTGGCCTACAGAGCCAGACCGAGCAGATACGGCCAAGCCAAGAGGAGCGGCGAAGGCGACCCGGAAGGCCTAAGCCGCACACGCTCTGCTCTCGCCGGCTGGCATGTCGGGGCCTCAAGGGCCCGCCGAAGCCTGCGACGGCTGAGGGGGAGGGCGGAGGAAGCGCGGGCGGCAGCGCGCACCACCTCACTCCGCGCCTCTCGCGCCGGCGCCATCGAACCCACCGGGCCCCCTCCCGCTCCTCTCGTACACGCACCTAGTGTCGTCGGCCACGTTCCGCACGAAGAGCGAGCTGTTGGGAGGCCGCAAGTAGCGAGACATGGCGTTTCTGGAAGGAAGGAAGCGGGCGGGCGGGCGGCTGTCTCGGCGCACAATCGGCGAAGCGACCCTCGGCCGAGCAGAGACACGCAGAGAGCGCCTCGGCGCAACCGCCTTGTGGCAACCTCTCGCGAGACCTCGACCCGCGCGCTCGACGGCGGGCGGCAAGACGTCGCTCCTCGCTTACAATAGAAGGGAGGGTAGAGACTGCGCGCATGCGCGCAAAAGCTCTTCGCCTGCAATTGGGCTGGCGCGCGGGGGAAATCGAGCTTTTTGCGCATGCGCTGTAGTCTTATTTTCTTCCCACCCCGTTTTTCAATCTTCTAGGATCACCGCGCTCCCTTCTTTATCTTTTCTAGAAGTAGTCGCGCCAACGTGCGCATGCGCTTTTAACAACTGCCACTCTGGGAGGAAAGGTCTTTTTCCCGCCTTTATTGCGCGCGCGGGCGGGCAGCCAGGTTGCCATTAGCAACCTTCTGGGCCGTTGTTAGAACGGGAAGATGTAGAACTACTTTTGAAAATGTGTGTGGTCAGAATTTCTGTTAGTTATAGTTCTAGCGCATAAAGGACTCAATCTTATACAGTCTTGGGCAGAAAAAGTCCTACATTTCCCAGCATCCCAAGCTGGTTGGGGAATGCTGGGAGTTGTAGGTCTTTTTTTTCCCTGTCTGTCTATATAAGGTTGCCCTCTTAAATGCTCACTAGGAAAGCATTTTGCACATGCGCATAATATTTCTGTTCTGACGTTACACTGAACCAATTGTTCCTATTGATGCACAAATCAATAGGTAGATTTTTCATTGATTAAATCATGCAATCATTGACACATAACCAGGCCCGAGGAAAACCCTGTTTTCCAGAAATCAGCATGTGCACATCCTTGAAATGTAGCTGACACCGACCATTCCAGAAAAAGCTAGTGTGCACCTGACAGATAACAGCAATTCAAACAAAGGGCAATTCACACCAGCCCAGACCATCCTCTTCCTCTTCTATGTAGTAGAACCTCATCCTCCCCCCTCCTTTGGAGCATCTACTTTTGGAGTATCACACTATTGCAACTTTTTACTTCCGTAACCTTGTTGTAAACCATCCCGAGATGCCAGTAATGGGATGGTCTACAAAAGCTATAAATGAATGAATAATAAATAAATGAATAATATACTGGAAAGAGCTAACTGTGTTATGTGCAACCCTTTAATGATCAATGTATAAATGGGCCAGCTGAAGACCATCTGGAGTGATTCGTTGATAGCTGGTTATTCCTGAGAAGAAATCCTTTATTTATTTATTTATTTATTTAGTACACTTATAGCTGCGTACCTTGTCCTTAAGAGGGAGTGCAACCCCATTCAGGACAAGGTCAAGGTCCCCTTCCCCGAAGCCTGATCCACCCACCAACAGGACCTCCGTCTTCTCTGGATTGAGCTTCAGTTTATTGACCCTCATCCAGCCCATTACCTCGGCCAGGCACGGGTTCAGTACATCCACTGCCTCACCTGGATTGGTTGAAAACGAGAGGTAGAGCTTTAAATGAAAACCTTCCTCTGTTGTGTATTTTAGGCATGTTCACACCAGAACATTTTGCTCAATGCTATTCAAGGGAAATGTACTCTGCATGTGCTCAGAGACAGTTTTCTTATGCAGCCACTTTTCAAAAATTGGAAGTGTACCACCTTTAAAAACAGAAGCTGGAAATGCTTTGTGGGGGGGACACTCCACATACGCTCAGAAGCACTTAAACTGCCTTTCAGTCACCAGTGCTTTTCAACTCTGACTTTAAATATATCAGCTTGCAAACACAGAGAGGTGATTAATACAAAAATAATATGTAAGGAATCTGTCTTCATTGGTTTCTCTGAACAAAACCTATAGTGCTTGTTGCTCTCACATTGCAAGCACCTGCTTGCAGAAATACAAATGCTGCTATTAACTCCCACAAGGGTATTATGCCAGAGTTATTTTTGTCATACTTTAAAAGCACAAGGGAAGCAAGCTCCCACTATTAAATAAAGCACTCTGGATAGGAAATATCCTGTATGCGCAAAAAATTGTAATTTTTTGCTCATATACCTCCAAGACACTTAACATCATTGTTTCCTGAGACCTCCAGGAGATTCAGTGCTCCAAGTGGAAGATCTGGGACTCCAGCCCTGCCCTGTCTCTGGCCACTCTCAGCTCACGTGGGGCAACAGTCATGAATTGCTTCCCACAAAGAAGAAATGTAGGACTTTTCTGCCTTTGGAAATGATTGGAATGGCTCTCAACTCTGACACCTTACTCTGGACAAAGGGGAGGGTGAGGGTGACAATTTTGTATATATGCCCTATTTTTATGTTTAATACAGTCATTAACTGTTCATACATGTCAACAGGTTGTATTATAATTTCCCTGAATGTTGATTTAAACAATTATCATTTTTTCCATGTTATCAGAGTTTAGTTCATCTTTATGACCCTTTAGAGGCTTCCACTATTTTCGTAATTTCCAAGTTTGTAGACAAGTAAAATGGTAATACAGAAACTAATTGTTTTGCTGGTGATTGTTGAAAATCCAGATGCTGCTTTGTTCCGAGGCTCAGAAAGGGCAGCGGACCAAGGGTAACACTGGTCCATGTACTGCAATTGTTTGTGTGTCAAGGAGGGAAAAAATAAATATACAATTCAAAACACCTACTGCTGATTAAATAGCAACAACTTATTTTTAACTCAGCAATTTTTGAGGAGAAGCAGTCTATATGTGTAATGACATGTCTGAATTGTAGTATTATTTGCCTTAAAGGACAATAGCAATTCTTAACTTGCCTCAATGCCAATTTTCAGAGGAGAGGGCTAAACCAGCTGTTAGTTAGGGCACTAGAAGAGAGTTTTAGGTATGCCTCACTCCTGGTATTCCCTGATTATGTTTTCTGTGAAAGAAGCCTTCATTTGTGCCAAGACTCAGCTCTAGAACAATGTCTGAGTGTCCACTAAGCAAGAAAAATGATGAATGTCTGAACAAATGCAGAATGCCTCTTCACCTAATAAAGCCATAGACTAAAAAGTATGAACCTTCTTGCTCCAATCCTGCTATTTTCTTCTTAGCAGGACTGGAGCAATTCACAGGTACTGGTCAAAACCAAAAAAGAAATCCAGAGCTGTATCATCACTGTATCTTGTCATAACCTCAGTACCACCACCGTAAGCAAAATAAAAGCAAGTATTCTGATTCTTAAATTCTCTCTCTTTTAGTTTATCTTACCAGTGCAAGTACCATTTTATAGTTGTTCTCTCCATATTTCATGCTTGTGATAGAGGGCAGGCCTGGAGCTGAGAGTGACTTATGACAATCCTGCTCTGTAGTCTAGTGTTATTCTTCCCACAGTAAAGCCGAGAGATTTATACCTCCTGGCTGTAGTATTCACTGGGTTTTTTTTCCTCAGCATGTGTGTGTTTAGGATATGTACAAAGAAAGCTACTGTATAACAATTAGGGATGTTTTAAAATGCCGCACAGGAAAATATAAACTCGCACACAAACCTACAGTGACATACCCCGAGGGTCCAACTGGTTTTCCTAGCTGTATAGTGTGCAGCTTTGCCTAACCTTCCTTCATGCCGTCCTTCTTTGTAAATATTAGAGTAATGGTCTGTTGCCCTGATCCGTGTGTACCAGGAAGGGAAGGCGAAGCCTCCTCCTCAGCATGCCCTTGTGCTCCCCATCGTACGGTGAGCCAGCGTGGAGGGGAGAGTATAGGACCGGGCACCTGGAAGATCTGGGCTCTAGTTCCAGTACCCACTTGTCAATGTAGTTCACTGGGTGACTGGGCAGTGACTCATTCGCAGCCCAACCTACCTCACAGGGTTGTTGTATGAGGATAACATGGAGCTCTGCAGGCCACTTTTGAGTTTCTAAAGAGCAGTCAGCATTGATCTCCTCTAGGACTGACCAATTTGATCGCCTTGCGGTCCAAGGGACTCGCAGGAGTCTCCCCCAGCACCACAATTCAAAGGCCTCAATTCTTCAGCGCTCAGCCTTCCTTATGGTTCAACTTTCACAGCCATACATCGCAACTGGAATAATCATGGCCTTGACTATACGCACTTTTGTTGGCAGGGTGATGTCTCTGCTTTTTAGTGTGCTATCTAGATTTGCCATAGCTTTCCTCCCCAGGAGCAAGCGCCTTTTGATTTCTTGCCTGCAGTCACTGTGATCTGACTTACATACAAATTCGACTTAAGGACCTTCTCAGGCACAGAATTTGTCCGTCGCTGGGGGACTGCCTGTGTAGGGGGAAGGCTTCAGCTCTTCAGCACATTTTGCCCTCCTCGGCAAGAAGCACAATAGCGCTTCTCCTGGCTGCTGCCTCTGCTCTGTACATGCGGCGTCCAGGGAGATTGACAGCACCAGGCAGAGGGGGGCCAATCACGGTCAGAAAATAGTTTCCCTAAACTGAAATGTCGATAAATTCAAATATAGCACAGCTTGTTTAAACAAGTTGTGATGGCAATAAAGGACTTCGATGCATCACTGAGATATGTGCAGGTGGGAAGACTGGGGTGGGGAGTTACAACTCTCTCACCTTCCCCCGCACCCTTTTCTCTGAAAAGGCTGGCTCTTGAGACTTGAGAAGAAACTTGAGACTTGACTCAAATATTTCTTGCAGTGGCTTGAGACTGGGCTTGGACTTGAAAGTAAGACTTGTACTTGACTGCCATACTCCAGATGAGGCCTAACCTGTGCTGAGTTAAAGGGAACTAGCACTTCACAGGATTTGGAAGGGATGCTTCTGTTAATGCAGGCCAAAATGGCATTTGCCCCTGTTGCTGCCACATCACATTGGTGGCTCATATTTGGCTTGTTATCTGCAACAGAGTGTTGCAGATAACACAACTCCAAACAGAATGTGGACAAGTTCAACACAGACAAACATGCGCATGTATCAACATGGACTCAGTTGCAGGCTGCAGCCATTGCGTATCTGGGTTTGCAATGTGTTTCATGAACCAAAAAATGTGTTTGACGGCATGTGTACAGATTTGAAAATGTATGTCTTGAAAAATGTGCACAAGCATGCTTCAATCAATGGGTGAAAATGTGTACAGAAACGGTGCATAATGGATGCATATATTTGAAAAAAACGCACGCAGAACTGTGTGTGAATTTTTGTACAAATAGGAAAAAAAGGTCTATGAGTCAGCATGAACTTCCGTGTGGAACTGAGGGGCTTTCCACTTGCATATTCCAGATTTAGACTGGCCTTGTACACATTTTCTCTAATGAAACCATTTTCTCTGATTCGAGTTATGGTGAAAAAGGCATCGGGATGATGCATCCTTAGAAACATGGCCAGGCCGTGGGGAATTGTATCCCTACATATCCAGAGAGCACCAGAGTGCAGAAGACTAGTTGCCAAGCGTGTTCTTTGACGTGGACGCTCCTAGCGGCGAGATAACAGCCTGAGCCTTGGCAGAGCAATGCGGGGAGCAGCTCTGCCCGCTCCTGCTCTCTGAACTCCGAGTATGAACGCCTGGTGAAGCCGTCCTTTGAGCGCTGGTGGCCAGTGCTGTATCCGTGCCGAGTGGCATGTATTGCTTGTCAATGGAGGCCAGTGCAGGGAGCGATTAAGTGGAAGCAGACCCTGCCCTGGAAAGGCATCCGATTTGCAAAGGCATTTCTGACGCAGGCATTTTGTTTCCAGGGTGCATGGACTTCTGCCCAGCCTGACTGGTCAGACGATGGTGTGGTTCCCTGGGAAGTGTGACTGCCCCACTCCATCCGCCCAGCCTCACCAGGCATCCCAGCAGCCCTCACAAGTGAGATCTCGGCCCTTTCCCTCGTCTTACATATGGACCATGGCAGCCCCTCCTGATTTGTCCACTGCAGTCCTCCTCCTCCCGAGTATACCCGCACACCTGCAGTGCTCCCCAGCCACTCCAGCCTCCACAGAGATGTTTCTTAAATGAAAATAAGCAGGCTTGCCCTGATTTCCCCTTTTCCCTCCAGAAATTCTTGCACTGCCTCCCTTGTTTCTGAACATGAACAGGAAGATGGGAACAACACTTGGCCAATGGAAATAAAATTAGCAACGATGTGTCTGTTGCTAAGGTGATGAGGGCAATAGAGATCAAAGGCTAGAATCAGTTACTTTTGTGGCTGCTCTTGCCAGGAGACTCTATGGTATATCTTTATTAACTGAGGTAAAATGGCAGTCCTAGGTCTGGACAACCAGAGAAACTGCACTGAAGTGCAGAAAGCTGAGAGCAGACTCTCTTAGTCTAATTCTCGCCACAGTTTCAGAAAACTCATCCCTCCATGCAGGAAATGGGGAACAAGGTCCAGACAACACAACACACCCACAATAGGAAGATTTCACCATGGCTTCTTGTGTTGTGTGAGCACAACCGGTAAACGGCTTATGTGCAAAGCAATAGATACTAAGATTTTCCTGAAAATGGAGCCAAAATACAGAGGACTCCCACTTGTAGATCAGTCACCCCTGGTAATGCATTTTTGAGTCCTGCTACATTTTGTTTTATCTAGTGAGGATTTTCTGGGCGCCTTCACAAAACTACAATTCCCAAAGCCCTTTCTCAGTTGAGAGGCAGTGTGCTGTAGCAGTTAGGGTGTGAGACAGGGTCTCTTTTGAGAGATGGACTACTAGGCTTTACAGTTCACTGAGTGACTTTGAGCCGGTCACTCTCGGCCTGACTAACCTCACATCAAGGACACAATGACTGCCCTGCAAGAGGCCAAAAGGCATGACATGGTGTTGAATAAATGCATGCATTTCAGGCCCCGAGGCAGCAGCAACGCTCTGCGCTTTCTTTGATGTAGCAGCAAAGGACAGACAATGAAAGATCAATGTTGGACACGGCACACTTTATTTCGCAAACATTAAAACATCTAGAGCAAACTGCTGCCTTTGGCTTTCTAAATTTTCCTGCTTCTTCTGGTGAACCTTGCTGTGCCAGATGTTATGGTCTGCGGGAAGATAATTTGGAAGCAGTCATGAACTAGTGGGTGAAAACCATCTCTAAGAAGCATGAAACACTGCTTGTTGCACCAAGGCCAAAACTTTGCCAATGTACTCTCGGTAGCAGGTTGATTCGCTACTGATGTGGGTAATTTAATTATTTCATTAGCTAATGACACTCTCTGAGGGTATACATGCAAAATTTCAAATAAGTGTGATAATTAGTTCCCTAGTGATCCTCAGTGAAAGACGACCATGATGACTGACGCGACAAAGTTGAAGAAAATGGAGCACTGCGCTGTGATTAAGTTCCTTACAAAACAAGGAAAAAGTAAAAAAATCATTCACGAAGAGATGGTGGCCATTTACCAGGACTCTGCACCTTCATTATCTACTGTTCAAAAGTGGTCAAGTGAATTTAAAAGGGGCAGAGAAAACATTGAAGACGACCCTTGCTTGGGCGGGCCGGTTACTGGCACTACGAAAGAAGATGTGAAAAAAAATTGAGACACCTGTATTGGAAGATGCTCAAATAAAAATAAAAATGTTACCAGAGATGATACACCTATCCGTTGGTACCATATTTACTATTTTTCATGACCATCTTAACCTTTCAAAGGTCTGTGCAAGATGGGTGCCACAAATGCTCATGGTGCCTCAGAAACAAGTGCGAGTCGAGTGCTGCAGGGAATTTTTAGAGCTCTGTGGTGAAGTACTTTGAGTACTTTCGACCAGATTGTTACTGGAGATGAAACTTGGGTTCATCACTATGACCCTGAAAGTAAGCAGGAGTCCATGCAGTGGCATAAAAAAGGTGCTGACCCTCCAAAGAAATTCAAAGTCACTCCATCAGCCGGAGAAATCATGGCCGCAGTGTTTTGGGACTCAAAGGGAATTTTATTGATCAAGTACATGAAAAAAGGTGAAACCATAAACGCAGTATCTTATGCAACCTCTCTGCATAATTTAAGAGAAGCAATTAAAGAAAAAAGGCGGTGAAAACTGACCGCAGGTGTGTTGGTTCTTCACGACAATGCGTCCGTTCACACGGCGCGTGTTTGGAAGGCTGCTGTGTGAGACTGTGGTTTTGAAGAAATAAACCACCCACCCTATAGCCCGGACCTGGCCCCCAGTGACTACTACGTATTCTCGAATTTAAAAAAAGATCTTCGTGGAAAGCAATTTTTCGACGATGAAGAGCTCAAGGCGGCAATTAATGCACATTTTTTAGACAAGGAGGAAGGGTATTTTTTACAGGGAACTGAAAAGTTAATTTCTAGATGTAATAAGTGTATTGAAGTTATGGGGGATTACACTGAAAAATAAAAATTATTTCAATTTATTATTCCTTTTTCTTCATGCTGATACCGAGAATACATTGAACGCCCCTTGTAGGTTGGGAAAGCGAATGAGGCCGGTTGGTCCTGGGAGAGCAGAAGCAGTAGAGACAATCAAGGTCCTTGTGCATTATTGTGGCCTGTCTCCGTGGCCGTCAGGGAGCCGGGGCAGGTGCTTGCCCTGAGATTTCTAGCACCGAGTGACAATTCAGGGCTCCGCTTCCACCGGGCTGGGTCCTGCATCGGCTCCTCCAGAGCTGCCAATCTGGCCCTCTGAGGGTCCCTGGAAGGTTGTGCCCCTTCCCATCTCCACCCCTGCTCCCTGAAAATGGACTGCTCCGAAAACTAGGCTTTCGTGTAGCTGCCCCCCCTTTCTAAAGGTTAAAGGGTCATTCCTGGGACTCAGCTACTGCCAGTAAGAGCTCCAAGCTACCGTTGGCTGGTTGGTTGGTTTCTTGGGTTTTGCACTGGCCCCTCCCCCTTATCTTGGGCCCCATCCACCATGACGATGCGGCACCCGAGAGTTTCCCTGGGGTGGGACCAGGCTCTTGGACCGAAGGAGGTTCTGCACCCTTCCCTGGACACCTGCATCACTCACCTCGACCATCTCGTTGCCTATGATTTCCTGCTCGTGGACAAATTTGTCTGCTTTGGCGACCATCTTTCCATCCAGCAGGGTGACTGTGCACTGCAAACCAAGCCAAGATTGCATCCCTGAGCAGGGGCTGTGCCGGCGACCCAAGGCGAAGGGGCCGCCTGAATGGAGTCTGCAGGCACAGCGGTCAGCAGGAAGGCGCACTGCAGGCACCCTGCCAGCCACCCGGCCTTCCGACCCTCCTCCGGAGGGTGCGGTGGGCGACCCAAGGGAACCTGGCCTCGGGGAAGGGCTTCTCCCCAGAAGAAGACGGGCTGCCCTAGGAGGGGGGCAGTGGGATGCTTCCAGGGAATATTCACAGAGTCAGATCCAGATTGAAGCTGGAAAAGCTCCCCTCCTTCCAACCGCGGCCCCTCCAGCCCCCAGGGATGCGGGAGCCAGCAGGTACTAATGAATGGGGAAAGAGGGGTTCCCACAGTCCACAAAAGGGTCTTTTTTCTTTTGGAAGGTGGATCCTGGGTCCAACCCAAGGGCATGAGGAGATGCCCACCAGTTCCCTGGGTAGCCCAGATTTGCCCTGCTCTGAGCCAGTTCTACTGTCTCCTGGGAAGCTTGCATGGAAGCTGAGACAGGGGGCGCACATGTGTGCGAGCACATGCACACACGTGTGTGTGTGTGTGTGTGTGTGTGTGTGCGCGCGCGCGCGTGTGCTCTCTCATTCTCTCTCTTCCCCAACCTGGTGCCCTCCAGATATACTGGACTGCAACACCCTTTGATTCCCTGCCAGCTGCAGCAAGATGAAAAAGGCTTACAATCACTGTGAAAAGGGAGAAATAAGTTAGTCCTGGCCTGGTGTCCCCTGGGATGCTGTCTGGAGTACAGGCAGGGGAGAGGGTTAAAAAACCCAGTCCCAGAACGACCTGCCCATCCTTGCCTATTGCCAGGATGGGTTGGCCTGACATGCAAGCCCTAATACATAAAGGACAGACGGGCTGCGGATTTCTTAGACCTCAGGACTAAATGCAAAACAAAGCACACACCTCAGTCAGAGGGAGTCCTTTTGAACTTGGGGGTCGGGAAGTCATATCCCATTCCTTGGGCCCACCTGCCTGCAGCCACTTTTGGTGCCCAGTAGGAAGGGCAGCTCCTGGAATGCCTGACAAAGAGATTTTGCTTCTTCAGGAGCTTTGTGGACATTGCTGCTTCTCAGGGGTGGCCAGACACTGAAGTGCATTTGGAGACAGAAATTATGGGAGCTGTGGAAAGCCAGCTCAAGGTGGGGAAGGCCAACTGAAACCATGAGCCTTGAAGCTGCGAGCCCATGAGGCTGCTGCCCTGGCCGCCGCTGCTGGCTTGTTACCTTGACCTTCTTTCCGTCCATGGTGGTCATCTCTGCTTCCTTCCCCAGCGTGAATGTGTTGGTGACAGACTTGTTGGGCGTTTTGGACGTGATGACGAACGTGTTCCCAGTTTGGTGGATTTCGGTAATGGGCTTTATGTCTTTGGCAACCTTGATGATGTCCTCCGGCAAGGCTGAAGTGTGGAGCACCGGGGGGGTAGGCAAGAGAAAATAAAGCCATGCGTGGTCAGGCAACAGCCCAGTCAGACAAAATTCAGTGTCCATCTCGTCTTGTGGTGTCAAACCTGAGCTGGAGGGCTAAGCCCAGCTTGCTGAGGGGTCCCAAGCAGCCCCCTGTAGCTTTCTCAGTGGCCGCATTCCCTTCCCCCAGTCCTCAGACGGTTTCCTGGCTTCCCCGGCACCATTCCGAAAGATCGAAACACCTCTCCTTAGTTGCTCACACCCACATTTTCCCATGAAAATAAACCGGCACTTTTGCCATGTTGCCTTGCCCCTTCAGGTCTGCCCTTGTCCAGCACTGGAATGCCTCCTCTGAGAGCTTTAACAACATCAGAGCATAGGAAAGGCCCTGCTGGCTCAGACCTGAAGTCCATCCAGCCCAACACTCTGTCCACGGAGTGGCAAACCAGCCGCCCACAGGATCCCTCCAGCTGCAGGGCTGCCAGACCTCCTCCGGCCCAAGCTCCTCAGCAGCTGCTGTATACAGGGACACCCCCTCTGGTGACGGAGGGAGCACATGGCCAGCCAGGCCAGTAGCCACGGGGAGCCTCCGTCAGGAATCAGTCCAACCCCTTTCTAAAGCCACTGGCCATCACCTTCCCCCAGTGCAGTGAATGCCATAGTTTAGCTATACATTGTGGGAAGAAGCACTTCTTTTCTCTGCCTGAAACTTCCCACCAATCACCTTCATGAGATGATCTGGCTTTGAGTGGTGCTGAAATTTAACGAAGCCCTTGGGTTAGAAGGGGTTCAGCCTATCGAATCCACCTGCACCCGAAGCCATTTGAACAGGGGGCTGGCAATGATTGTAGCTCAGCTGCCTGCCATGCCAGGGTTAAGGCAGGCTGCTGCAGGACGAGCTTCCCTGGCCGTTTGGGCATGCTTGGCATTTTGAAAGACTATCATGGGCATTCTCACAAAATGGCCACCATGAGGGTGGGGCTTGCCGGCCTTTTAAGTGGCTGCAACAGCAGGCATTCTGGGTCACAAAACATTCATCTTGTAGAAAAGTAATCTGCCCAAGCATCAAAATCCCAGGCAGAGATGGGGAGACAAAAATCCGCCTGACACGTAGAGGTGGCGCTGGAGAACAGCTCCTCACTTTGAGGCAGGCTGGTGTCCCAGCTGAAGCAATAAAAATAAAAAATGAAGATATACAGTAAAAAATACCAGGTGAGTTCAGGTACCTAGTAGGCATGAACTGCATTAATGACCTCAGGCACTGCGTGGGCTTCATACACTATTTTATACTTCTGCTAATACACCTATTTTTCTATACCATTTTACCTGATACACACATTTTGCAAACTGTTCTACATTTTTCACTTTATTGTCACTGATATCCAATTTTTTTGCCTTCACCTTTTCCCTAAATACATGTGCCTGTCCTGACCGGATAGCTCTTTGCAAAATGTGGAGATCAGCACATTTGGTAGAGTAGCTACATTTCATTGTAGGTATTGCTCTGAAAGGTGAAATTCAGTAAGTTCACATTCAGGTGTGAATGGAATACATTTTTTCCCAGGCCTAAATTTCAGCCATTATGGCAAAATGGACAAGCCACTTACCAATCGCTCTCAGGAATTCTTCGTACTTCTCTTGGGCATAGACCTGCCATGTGCCGTTGAATGCCATCTCGGCAATGCAGGGGCAGAGCTGCCTGTGCTGGTGGGGAGGAAACGGGCCGTGCGGAGTCCTAACAGGGAGGTGCTACTTATAAAGAAGGGGATCCCATATCCAGCCCCGACCCTCACTGCAAATGATTGAACTGGCGGCAATCAATGATTAACCCTACACGTCTGCCTTATGGAAATAACCCTCTGTTTCTTGAGTTAGAGAAAACTGCAGCCGATTCTGCACAGGAATCGCCACTGCCAAGTTACATAGTCAAGATGCGGGGTTCAAATCAGGCATGAGCCACATGTGACTCTCAGGGGCACCCCCAGCTCTAGAGTGGCCCTGTGTGGATGACGATGGCCAAACATGCTGCAATTTGCCACTAAATGTCTGTGGAAAACAGCAAGGGAGGCAGGAGAGCAGCAAAATGAGTTCCCTTCAAAGTGCTTTTGCTGCCCACATGAGGTTATGTTGGTGTGGCAACAGCAGCGGGAATGTGGCCCTTGGGATTGATGTGGGAGTCGGGAGAACCTGGGGATACAAAACAGCCCTTGGTCCTGCCGAAATTGCACAGCTGGGCTGAAGAAATAGCAAAGGCAGAACGCCTTGGCATGTTTTCATTCCAAACATCATGGATGCACATTTCCTTCAGCGCAGGAGTGATTTTGTTGGCCTCTTCATCCTCCAAACAACCTTCTGATAGAATGAATGCATTGATAAATAATTGCATTCTGTAAAGGTCATAGCAATATAGCATCTACATGTTTGTTAATACAAAAACCAGAACTATGCAAGGCATGCAAATGGCTCTCCCCCAACCTGCTGCCCTCCAGTTTGAACTTCAGCTCCCTATATTCCAACCGACATGTCCAGCATTCAAGAATGTAAGGCATTGCGGTCCAAACATCTGGAAGAATCTGGGTCGGGGGGCTAGTATTAACTAGAAAAAACAGGTTCAGCTAGATGCGATGCCAAGTCTACTCTCAAATATCATCCAGCCAGTGAGATGGGTCATCGTGTCCATTTTACAGGTGGGGAAATGGGCACGGAGTGCTGGATCATGACTTAGACCTAAGAGACAAGAGCTGCACCCAGGGCTCTGCTTGAGAGGGACTTTCATGGTGCTGATCAACAGTCAAGGGAATTGTCTGCAGGCCACCAGTCCAACAGGCCAAGGGCATCTGCCCAGGGATGGTGTGCAGCCACAATCATTGCTAGCAGCAGCAGTGTTGAATACGCGTCTGCTGCTCATTAGCTGAAGCTTTTGGGGCAGTTTGCAACAACTGACAAAACCACACAACAGATGAAAGATGATAACATGCAGCATTAAATTAAAATAATCAACCATTTACACCACCAGCAGCATTATCATCCTCACAGGAGGCAGACGATCAAGGCCAGGGCCACATGGCCCATTTCATGCTGTTGCATATGACTTCTCCACTTTGCTTTTCCAGATCTCTCCACCACAGAATCAGTGGAGGGAGGCAGCTGATCCTCAGCAGGTGCTTAGTTCACCCTTCTTTGACCTGGTGCCTGCAAGATATTTTGGACTTCAGCTTCCAGCGGACCCAGCCAGCATGACCAATAACCAGGAATTCTGGGGATTGTAGTTCTGAGTACCTGGAGGCAGCCAGATTGGAGAGGTTTGTCTTTAGTTTCTTCAGTAGCTGCCAGCTTTCTGCTCCAAATGCTCCTGACTGGCCACTTTTCCCGAACAGCAGGGATTTGGCTCTCAGGAATCAGACTGCTTTGCCTCTAGAGGGTGATGGTGGGAGCAGCCTCCACGGCAGGTGAGTTTGCATCTTCCCATCCCATTCAAGTTCACACCGTCCAAGTGGTCAAGCTACTATAGAAGCAGATTCACTTCCTGTCTTCTTATACTTCTTTATCTGGAAACCAGACTTAAACTGGACCGCTCTTCAAATGAAGGATGGCTCTCCACCAAGTAGGACACATGGCCACCCCACTGTCAGTCACTGCTGGTCATGCTCAGGAGGAGGAAGAGGAGGAGAGTGAGCAGGCAGCCCACACACAGCCCATGCTGTCTGAACCCAGTGTACTGGCAGATAGAGCAGAGCACCATCTGCCTATGTCCCTGTGTGCCTGCCTCGCGACGCTGAAGGAAACTGCCCCCTTCCGCATACTCTCATCCGGCTCTGCTGCCTTCCCCTGTGACGTTCTGGGGTCCTTACGCAGGACCTGGCAGCCTTCAGCGATGCTCACCTCAGGCACAGGCCAAAGCCCAGGGATGAGTCATTGCTCTAGGACCAGAAATGGTTCATGAACTTTGGCTGTGTCTCCTTGCCTTTGAGCCTTGTTTGCCATGGCGTTACTCAACCGGAGCAAAGTTTGTACCCTCCTGTCTCTGATCTACCTTGGTCAACATTTGTACTCACAGCTGCTACACCATACAGCTACACAACTAAAGCGATTTATCTAGGAGGGTCCATAGCCCAGTGGCAGAGGGCCTGGTTCATATGCAGGTTCTAGGATCAGTCCCTGGCACCTCCAGGTGGGGCTAGGAGGGAGCCCTGCCTGAAACCCTGTGGGTTCTTTCCTGGATTGTTTGTAGTTCACAAACCATGGCTTGTTAGCACAGCTGGGTTCAAACAGCACAAAAACCTGTTTCAGCATTAAACATGGTTGAATGGGAGCCCACACACAACCTATGTTGCCTGAACCCAGTGGACTGGGCTAGATAGACCAGTGGTCTGCCTCTTACATTCCTGTGCGCCTGTCTAGCTGCACAGAGGGCCACTTTCCCCCTTCTCCAGAAGCTTGTTTGGCTCTGTGGCTTTCCCTGTGACGGTCTTTGACTTTAAGTTCCTATGCCAACATGTAAGAAAGGCAACACTGTTTGTCTTGGCGGGAACATGTGGCCGCTTTGCATCTGCAGAATATTGTCCAGCCAAGCTGGCTCAGATGGCTGCTGTCTCTGTGAAGCTGGGTTTTTCCATCCAGCATGTGCAGGCCATTTCTGTATGACAGCTCTTTTTCATGTAAAAATAATGGAGTTATTATTAAGATGGGATGCTGGAAAGGAACCCAGCGTAACACGGCCAAGCTCACAATCCCTGTATACCACTCTGTGGTATGTCTGCACTTGGAAAATCATGTGTACGCAGCTCAAAAAGTGTCGAGCCAAAATGGAAAAGGTGCAGAAAAAGACAACTTTGGGCACCTCTTACATCCCCGCCTCAGTGCATGGCAGTGCTGGGCTTTATTTTCGGCTGTCTAGATGAAGGACTCTGGAGTGGCAGGGGGGAGTCTGGAGCGCCACTTGGAAATGACGTAGGTCACTGACATCCATACCTCCCCTCCCAGCTTCTCGAACACCCCCTTTCCTCCTCTTTGGGGCCAATGTCAAAGCTCGGCATGCCGCTTTCACTTTGTGGGCAGGGCAGGGGCCCAGCTTACGGAATCCTAGCTCCACGGCCACAGGAGCTCAACGTTGGGACTCTGCATAATCCTATGTGTCTGCCCCCCCCCAAATGATGTTGGGGGGTCATAGGATTGTGCATCTCGATGGTTAAAGGGCTGGAGAAATTCCTCTATGAGAAAAGAGGAATTTGCAGCTGAGGGAAAAGGGGGACTTGTGAAGGTGTACAAAATTATGCGTGGCATGGAGAAAACGGAAAAAGTCCCCCCTCTCAGAGGGTTAGAACTGGGGAATTAGACCTTTCCATGGAGGACAGCATGAGCAGTCCTGATGGCACCATATTAACCCCATATCTGAGGCCGGGGGTGCTGCTCTTCTGCCCACGTACCTGGCATGTCTGCTCTCTCTGGGCTTCCTTCCAGGATTCTGGCTGGCCTTTGTGAGAACAAATACCAGACCAGGTGGATCTTCTGATTTTGAAGCTACCTTGGGAGGCTTTTCAGTAGAAAAGAAGGATAAAAGTGCTTTGAATGAATGTCCACTCAGAAGTAAATCTCGCTGGTTAAAAGGACTTACTCCCAGGAAGGTGCGCATAGAATTGCATTTCTGTCTCCAGCAAGCTCCTTCTTTCTTTGATGCTGAAAGCCAAGTGCTTTGGCTCTCCTTGGGGATCCGGCAGGTGGGTTCTCCCTTTTCACGGGAACATCTCGCTCTGACACCAAGTGACAGGGCACTTTTGGGTGTTGCCACCAGAAATGTTCCTTTAGTCCCTTCAGTGAGCATCCTGCCGCTCCAACAGGGCATGCATGACTTAACTAGGAGTGTGCAGATTTAGTTAAATCTGTTCTGTTTCATGGGATGTGAGGCCAATTTTACCCCACCATCTGCTCATCAGTGGAATCAACTTTTACCAGCACTTTGATCCACTTATGCTAGTGCACTCACACAAAGTCACATACGAGTTAGTGCTAATGCCAACCCCAGGTGAAAAACCACTCTGCACATCTGCTGCCCACTGCAAACGCCACCAGCTGGATTCCAAGCAATCCCACCAGAGTCCACTGAAGATTTCTCCACTATTCCTTTTAACAGTGGAAAAGTTCATAGAGCAATTTTGCTCAACTCTGCTAGTGCTCCCTTTCCTCACCTAGAATGACCTTGGGAGCTAAAATTTAAGCCGATCATGTGCCAGGTGGTCTGATCGATTATGTTACTGAACCAAGCTCTGTTCTAGAGGAGGGGAACAGTGCAGAGATATGCTGAATGGCCATACCTGTGCTCATGCACACAAAGTCAGGGAGTTTTAATTTAGCAGTTTCTCAAAAAAGGAATGATAGAGGCCATTCAAGTGCTCACAAGAGCAGAGGAAGGTTGGAACATGTGAGCTAGCCCTTCTTCAGATCTAAATAGCACAGTGGACTGAGGGATTTAGGCTGCACCATTAGAAATGTACACCTTACCGTCTTTGCTCTTGCATTACCTCTACATTTTTCTGTTTATTTCAGATATATCTCAAAGGTATAGCACAAATCACAAAATGCAAAGTACAGATTCTTGATCAGCAACACCATCAAACAAAGGAAACAGCATTCACACAGGCCTTCCTTTTGGAAGTATTTCTCATTATTTGCAACCTCTAACTGTGTTGCAGCGAGGCCTTTTGACGCCCTGAACTTTACTGGCTTATCAAAGACCCTTGGAGAGCCATGCACATTCTTGCAGTTCTTCCTTACACTGCTTGCCTTAGAGCTGCTTCTCCATTCTAGATAAGTTAGAGCAGCAGCAAACTACTAGCTCACTGTGATTTAAAGTGATGCACCCTGAGCATGTGTACTTTTACATTTTTAGGCTCATGCCAAAAAAGCACCATCATGAGTACAGGAATAAAGTGGAGCTTCCTTCTGCAGCATTTGCCTCGCCCACCCCTTGCCCCCAGGTCCCAGGTCCAGCCCCAGCTGCACTGCAGATAACCATGCGCAGAGCAAGGGTGTGGTTAGAAACATCCACTGATGAGGCCATGTGGATAGTGGCTTGACCAGAGAGGTTTCTTCGAGCACCACCATGCAGCTTGCTCAGAAGACTGTCCGATACCTATTTACCTAGAAGTAGCCCTGCTGAACTCACTGGGATTGTGTCTGAGTAGACATATATAGGGTTACTCTGAAAGTGACCTTGGGACCGATGCTGCCTCTAAGCCTAAGCTATCTTTTGGGGATGCTGTGGAGGAAAAACTGGGAAAGGGAATCATCAGTGCTTCTGTGCTTTCCTTGAAAGACGGGATAAAATAACAGAATAATCTGTGTTGCAGTGGATTTGAGGACTCTGTTTATGAACCAACCCATCATGTCAGCTTGAACAAACTAAATAATATCCTGGTGCGTAGCTCAGACCGGGCTTATGTCTGCCCTGCAGAGAGATACAAGTGCTTCTGCATATCTCTCACTCTCGCTCTTACTCCAGGCTCTAAAGACCATTTTCTATTTTGTCTGCCTGGGATGGTTCACACATGCAGGCTCATCACCACAGAACTGCCACATCAAGTGGGAATCTGCGAATGTGCACACAGGTCACACAGATCCATACTATGCCAGAAAATGCTGGCAGGATATTGCTAATGGCAACAGAAGTCCTAATGCATAGCTGAGGAATTATTCCTCCCTAGCATTTAATTCCTAGGGAGAGAAATGTGCGGGCTTCAGCCAGTCTGCTCCGGAAGCACTGGCACACGGTGGCCATTTGGTAGCAGGGGAGAGAAACAGTCTGTACTCAGAGGAAGAAGCCAAACTCTGCTCATCAGTGATCACTGTGTGTGCCCTGCAGGTGAGCTCAGGGCGGAAGCAAGGTGGGGCTAAGGCTTGGCTTTCATCAAGGCCAGCTCCTCTTTCAGTTCCTTCGGCTCCTCCCCTCGTTTGTACACGCTGACAGTAACCCTGCCCGTTTCAGAGCCCCATTGGTTCTTGACGAGGATGCTGAATTTCCCAGAATCCTCGCCAGTGACATTCTCGATGGTGATTGTGATCACGGTCCCTTTCACCTCCATCTTGTACCGATCTTTGAATGTAATGACTTTTTCGTTCTTGTACCACGTGATTTCTGGGTAAGGGTCTCCCGATATGATGCACGTCAAGCACAACGTCTGTTTCACAAAAACAAACAAGCAAGCAAGCAAACTGTTGATTAGCTTTAGAAATTCAGGCCTGATGAAGAAAGACAATTTGAAAGTCTTGTGCAGCTACCCCTTCTTTTAGCCCTTAGTGGGCTTTACATAATAAGAGAAAAGACAGAAGAAGCTGTGGGAACACACGGGAAGTTTATGAGTAGAGGATAAGATATGGACCACCTATGAATTCTGTGAATCAGGAAGCACTCCAGTACACACAAAGATGAACCGCAGTTTCTAGATACATCTGAAACCGGCCTGACCCTAAGCTAATTGTGTGGATGCCAAGACTCCTCTTGGAGCTGTGCATGCCAGGTTCCCCATGAGAGGGGGAAACCTCCGAGCCAATTATCAATAGCACAGACCCACACGCCACTGATAAAGAGGGAGCAGTTTCTTGAAATGCCACACCACATCCACAGAGGAGACAAGGGGGGATGTAGAAAAACTGTGTTGCCTTTGTCTTCTCTCTCTCTCACACACACACACACATACACATGCACACACACACACAGAGAGAGATATTAAGAGAGAGAGAGAGGGAGAGAGAGAGAGAGAGAGAGAAATATCAAAGAAGCTTTAAGATCTTGTTACTGTGAGGCAGGGCAGGGAAAAAGGGAAATGGGGCTTGTATCTTTAGCAGAAATGCAATGCATAAGAGTTTCTTCTGTGCAACTTTGGGACCAAGATATGGCTTCCCCCATTAATAACATGGAAAGACCCTGTCCTTAACAGTGGCATTACCTTAGTCTCCATGATGGTGGCAACATCAGGAAGGCCACGGACAACTTTGGCTCGGCCTGGCAGAAGAACAAAGAGCAACATTATTTATTCAATTGCTAACCCATCCTAATTCTCTTATTAGAATCAGAAGCCTGATTCTCTTATATGTTAGTAGAATTACAACTCTTGGTTAGGCTGAAGGCTGATAGGCGAGGCAGTGGCACAGACAGAGCGTCTCAGAAGGTGGGGAACTGCCCTTAACTAGAGGCTTTTAAGCAGAGGTCAGATGGCTTCCCATCACGAATGCATTCGCGGTGGATCTTCTGTACTAGCAGAAGGTTCCTTCCAATGTCATCATTTTAGAATCAGCTGATCTACACAAAAGAGAGTGGATGACCAGAGACAGCCCTGTAAAGCTGGGAATCTCTCCCTCATTTTGGAATGCCACCCACCCCAAAACTTGGGGAAGATGACATCTCTCTAGCCAGTGAGAAGGGGCAGAGGGACAGCAAGAAGCCTGAGGTCTGAGCTTAAAGCAGCTGTTCAGAACTTGGTGCTTTCCAGCTGAGCTGGGCTGCAACTCCCAGGAGGCTGCGTGGCCACTAGTCCACCATATTTGGAAGGCGCTCAGCTGGGGAATGTTGTCCTGGAGTTTCTAGCTGAAGTTATCTGGACTGGAGGCTCAGGCTTGGTTGTGGGAGGAGAGTCTCTGGCCTTGTGCAGGGTGCTTTCTGGGGGTTTGCTGCCACTGAAGGAATCTTTGTTTGCTTCCCAGATGTTCTGTTTGAATATCGGTAACTGTAGACTGTATTAAAAAGACACCTTAAGGCACTCAGATCCAAAGGGAACTAAGTCCAGTAGAATGACCACCACCACTCAGGAAATGGGGGGGGGCAATAATGCAATAAGGGGCAGACAAGAGCCTTGGATGCAGAGGGGTTCCACCACACACATGTTCCTTTATATACTCACGCTCTTCCACCATAGCTGCTTGCCTAAAATGAAAAATTGAATAAGAATTAAACATGACAAACCACTGAGGAAGGTCAGGCTGAAAAGCAGGGAGAGAGAGAAACATGGAAGTCTTGAGATTTCTTCCAGGATATTGAAATTTAGGTTCATGCAAGGCTAACAGTGACCATGCTAAAGCTTGAAAGGCGTTGGGTCTCAGAGAGATGGGAGGAGGTCACGGTGCTTCCAACGTGATCACTAAGTGTTGCTGAAGGGAAGCTGCTCTGAAATTTATTTCATCAAATAAATTTTGTAAGTAAAGTCATCAAATAAATTTAGGAGCCTGCCTTGCTTTTCTCCAGAAACCTTTGCTCATTATCAAATGTTACTTCTGCCTTCATATTTTTCCAAGTGCTCTTCTCATTCTTGTAAAAGTGTCTGTTCTTCAGAGATTCTGAGAACTCCTAATAAAGGCCTGAGGGGCAGCATCTCACAACAATGGCTGATGAGATTTCTTGGTCTTTGAAGACATTTTTGCCTTCCAAAGAGGGATAGGCTGGCCAGTAGGGAGGCCAACATCCTTGGCTACCCCATCAGCTTTGTGGTTAGACAGGGATTTGAACTCTGGTCCCCCAGTCTAGGCCCTACACCCTAACTGCTACCCCACACGCTAGTTCATCCATAAGAAAAAGCAGTCCCATCGTAAATCTGTAACAAAAATCCCTCACAATTAACATTGTAGTATTTACAAAGCCACACATCCCCAGCGTGGGCAACAGGCCTGAGCTTGGAGGGGAGCCCACCTGGGACCACATGGGGCTGCCCTGGGTTCCACAAGGGAAGAAATCAATCAGTCAATCTCCATGGCACCTCATCTACCACACAGGCACTGCGCTAATCTTACTGAATAGGCCCAGTAGGTTACAAAATCTGGGAGGGAGGGATATGTTGATCCTCGAATGAATGACCAAATCTATATTTAAAAGAGCTTTAGGAGACAAAAACTTACTTGAGCCTTTGATGCTCAGCGAGCGCATCATCAAACGCTGCAATGAATGAATGAGAGAACATTGGACAGAATGCACCATGACTGTTTCTATTGCTAAAATGCCAAAACAACAACTGGTGAATACAAGAGTTCGGAACCCTGATCTCTACTCTATGAATACTATTACTATTATTGTTACATTACATTTATATCCTGCCCCTTTTCCTCTTATGAGGAATGTGAGGAGGTGTACATAGGTCCATTTTTCCTCCCAACAACCACCCAGTGAGGTAGCTCAAGCTAGGACTAAGTGACAGGTCCAAAGTCACCCGGTGAGTTTCATGACTGAATGGGAACTAGAACCCAGACGTCCCAGGTCGCAGTCCAACTTTCTAACCCCACTCTAGCTCTACTTGCTTCATCAATAATATTTTATTTCTGTAGGTTTTCAGGAACATACAGACCCAGCTGGTAAGGTTGTTGGCCGTGGCCTGTTTCTGCTGCTCCCAAATCTGAACCAAGAAAGGGCAGGCGCACCCCCAACCGCCCGCCCCCCAAATGGGTGAGGCATGGAGATTCTCTCAGCAAACCCCTCAGCTCAGTTTGTCTCACTCCCATTCCTGTTTGCAACCTGTTTTTGCCTTTCTTTTCATTCCAACAGGAAAAGTATACAGTTTGAATGGGAAAACTGTATATTTTTATGTGCCTTTCCCAAAATTATAGACTTCCTCTCCACTCAGATTGCGTAAAACACAATCATTTATTATTATTATTATTATTATTATTATTATTATTATTATTATTATTATAACATTTCTATGCCGCCCCTTGCCAAAGCCTCGGGGCGGCTTACAACACAATAAAATACATTGAAATACAATAGAACATAATAAATTACCACTAAATACAAAAATACAAAAAATACACTGAGATACAAACATAATAATATAAAATTAAAATTAACAGTATAAAATAAGTAAATTTATATTTTCCGAAAACTGCAATCACAAGTTTGGGAGTTCGTGGACCTTTTTCAAAAGCCCGTGCTCCCATCTGCATTTGGGATTGCAAGCAGGGCAAGTTTAATCGAGTGCTGAACCGAAAGGAAGTGGTGGTACCTCCTCCGTCATTTTCTAAGGCCAGGGCAGTTACTATTTTGCAATGGAATCAGGGTCATCAAGGCTGCCATCACCTTTAGCTAGAGGCTTGGATGCCTGTAACGGTTTCCCGTTTCTCTAATGCGGATGCCACCCCACTGCTTTGCTAACTGGTGCCCTTCCAGTGTTTCAGTTGCACGCAGATCCTGCCCTTCCAGTTGCAGTTCAGAATGGCCTGCCTGCACCTCCCAGGCAGTCTGAGCGAAGGCGCTAGCTGGACCCAGACCTGCCAGTTGCAGTGCAATCGCTGCTCTGGGGTCTTCATACCACGGCCTTAGTTTTCCTGGGTCATTTCTTTGCAGCTCAACGTTAGGAAATGGGCAGCTGAACCCTGTAGATGTTCAAACGAACAGCCATGGGTGAACATGCAGTAATGCTCGTTCTGCATGTTGTGGCAGAACACCCATGCCTGCTGCCCGCTGCAATGATTTTCTGGGAGTGCTGATGTGCAGGCGCACGTTGCCGAGAGAAGATGAATTCTGAATGACTGGGGAGCCAACAGTGATCTAATAAGCAACAGCCAGCCAGCTGCTTACCTTTCCCGGACAGGTCGGTTGAGAGCTTGTGTGGCTTTTCCCCATCGAACAACTCCAAGGTATATTTGCCTTTGTCGGATTCTTTGGGATCCAAGATGTGTAGCCAGACCTGATCCATGGTGGTTCCTATTTTCAATCGGTCCCCTCCTGACAGGCGCTTGTCACTGAATGCAAATAAGAGCACTTGATTACTCTTAAAATGCCTGCAAAAGCATTTGTTGACTAGCATATCGGCCCTGGGTGACAAAGAACCCCTTCAGTGCCAGGCCCATCTTCAGTCAGGACTGATTGATTTTTCACTGATTCCATCTGCCATTCAGCCAACTGACTGATCAGTTAAAACGCACAGTTCACGGCTCTCAGACTAGATGTGTGACAAGCTCCTCTATTCTCACATGGCACAAGAGCATCTTCTCAATCATCTGATCCTTTGGCATCCTGTCAGGAAACGGCAAGCGGCCAAGTCACACCCTGCATTCTCCCAAACAACATCCAGAACACAAGTATCATTACACATGGGGTCGTCCAGTTTAAACTGCCCAGCTATGCAGTAATTCAAATGCAGATTTGTTAAGAAGCTGAGCCCGGCCATGCAGTAATCTTCCGGTTTGCCTGGTAGACCCCTGACCTCCAAAATGGAAGGGTCCCACACCACAAGGTGAATGACCAGTCCTTGCTAAGGGGCTGGTTTTACTGAGCTCTGATTCCCACTAAAGCAAAAGCACATGCTCACTCCCTCTTTTGCAAACCAGACCTAATTAGGAAGCTGAGGATGCTCCCTCTCTGCAAACAGCTGTTGATGCTTTGAACCCCAGACTCTACTCCTGGAGGTAACATTTATCTAAGATACTGTGGCTTTTCTGAGTTTTACTGGGAATTCTCGAATGCATGCGGTGCTGCCTTCTCTTGTTTTTCCTGTTTACCCCTTTCCACAGCCAAAATTTCTCTCTGGTATTTGAACATTTGCCTCTGTGCATGCGTGCGTGCGTGCGTAAGGAGTTTCTTCGCCATGGGGAGGACTGAATGGTCCCACAACAAGCTGCTCCCCGAGTTCTTCCGCTTTGTCACTTGTGCGTGTTCCTGCACTCTGTGAAAGGACACATTTGTTATGCTGGGGACGTCCAAACACACTCTGGGAAGACGTACTTGTGATACCAGGTGGCATTCATGGCATCTGTATAGTACTTCACCTCGCTGTAGATCTTGATGCCTTCCACAGTAGGTTGGACTTTCAGAGGCGACGCCAACAGAACTAAACAGAGGATCGGAAAGTGGAGGATGAGCGTGAGAAAAACAAACAGCCTCCCCCGCTTTTTGGCTCTTCCTCTTTTTTAAAAATGTCAGTTATGTCTTTTTAGAATGATCACGTCGCTGACTTGCATCCTTTATGCCATAATATGGCCACCGGAACGCGGGTGCTGGAGCAGGCAACTTACCGCTGATCCGGGCAAGTTCCTTGAGGATGTCATCAAAGGCTGAAAAACACAATTTAAAGCATTCGAGGAGTGATAAAAATAAGACAATTGAGAGCAGCAGGAGGAGAATGATGCAAGCTGCTTTGAGTTTGTTTTAAGGAGAAAGCAGAGTATAACTCTAATAAATAAAGACCAAGCAACCAGGGCTGGCAACATTTTCAAGCTGTGCTGCAGTAACCCAGGTACTCCTTGGAAGTATATTAGAGGAATAACTTGCTTGACTCAGTAATTCCTGAATGAGAACCACCTGTGTCATTTAGAGCTCATGGAATTCAGGGCAATGAAAAGCCCTTTTCGGGCTGAGGGCCACATTCCATTTCAGAAAAGGACTTGGAGGCCACTTCCCAGAGGTGGACAAGGCCCAAGACAAGAGGGGTGGGCTCAGGGCAAGTGGCCCTGAGCCCCACCCCCCACCCCACCTGGGTTTAAACCTCTTACTGCCTGTAACTAAGCCTCAGGAGAGCTATTTGAGTTTTTCCAAATGGGGGGAAACTGCATGAAAGGGTGGTCTGGGAATTCCCAGAGGAGCAACAGTCCTGCGAGGAGCGGGATGGAAAGGGTCACCTAGTGCAAGAGGGAAAGGGTCACCTTGCACATCCTCTCCGGCGCGGCGTACCTGCAGGGAGGGCTAAGCGGTAGAACCTGGTGACTCCAACAATGTAGGGGCAGTGCATCCCCTCTGAACTGCAGCCCGACCTCTCACGGAGCTATCCGTGGTGCTGAAAACTAGCCCTGCCAAGAAGCCCAGGTTCAGCGACCCAGACCGCCAAGGGGGCGGCATCCTGAGGACACGGGAGCCACTGGGCTGGTGCTAAGTGGCCCAGAATCGCAGGCCTGGTCAGCCTGCTCGGCCGAGCCTGGGTGGTGCCAGTGCTCCCTTGGGCCCCCAGAGCCCTCCGCGCACAGGAGAGGAATTTGGGGAGGTGATTGGCCTGCTGGACTAGAACTGGGGAAATCCAATTGGGCAGCCTCTGCCTCTCTCTAACATACCAAGCTGGGAGGGTAAAATGGAGAGGAGGGAGAGTGTGTGTTTCCTCAGCTTCCTCGCAAAAAGAAAACAGTCAGGATATAAATCAAATGGATAATAAATCTCCTTCTCAGCAGCTTGTGTGCAAAGAGGACGGAAATCTGACCAGCATTCCTTCATGCCAGGAGTGGGCAGAAGCTAGATCAGACCCTGCAGGCAGATCTGCAAGGATTTCTGATTCCCAGTTGTTTCATGGCAGCAGCCACAAGGGACCTTTCCATCTAACAGAGCGCAAGTTGCTGAAACGGAGAAAGCCACGAGCAGGAGTGGATTTGTGCATGAACAGGCCAAGGGTTCGCCTCAGCTCTGGCTCTGAGAGTGAATCCCTGGGCTCAGAATCGGCTCAGAGGCAGCCTGGCCTTTAACGGTGACGTCCCACGCTCACTTTCCTAGAAGGAACTCTCACTGAGCCCAGTGCAAAGGAGGGAAGAGTACGCCAACGAGCAAAGAGAGGCATACCTTCCTTCGTGAGGTCCAGTTGAGTCGTATCTTGGCCTCGCTCATCAGAAACCACAGCTTTGTACATCCCTTTATCCTCTTTGGCAATCTAACAAGACAAGTACGCAGAAATAAGTAAATGGAAAGTCTGTCAGCAGCTGTGCAGCATCTGTTGATGGGCAGCCATAATCAACCATAATCATAAGAAAAAATCATAACCATAATCAAAGAAAAAAAGAGAAAACGATGAACACCCGCAGAGTGTCCGCTGATTCCACGGACTAAATGCCGTGTCAGGACTGGCTGTGCAGCCACCGCTGCAAGCGGTTGCCTCTGAGAGGCGGGGGCAGCCCCACATTCTGTCCTTGGCGTCTCCACATACGGCTGAGGAAGACCTTCATCTGAGCATCTGGAGAGGCCACTGCCTTTCAGCACAGACCAGCCTTCCTTGGCCTGGTGCGCCCCAGGTGGCTGCTGGGAATGGCCAGAGCTGTGCTTCCACACATCCGGAAGGCGCCCTGTTGTGGAAGGCTGATGCCGAGCAGGATGGACCAAGGCGTAACGGAGGCGGCACGCAGCTGCCTCGGCCTCGACCACGGCAGAAAAGGGTTACAGGAGCTGGCATCCTCCCTTGAGTACAGATGGCTGGGGTACCGTATTATTCCTCATCCACCAACTTTGGAGTGGAACAGAAAATGGGGTTCTTGCTCATCATTTCTAGGGGGCTCTCATGCCTGTGATAGCTGGATTATGGACTATTATTGGGCAGAGAGGACAATCTGTATTCCAAAATATCTGGACAGCCAATTTGGGTTGGCTGGATTAATGTTTCTATTCCTCTCAGTTTTTCATTTTTCCAGTCTTGCTTGGATCATCCTGAAAGTTGAGAATTAAAATAAAATCAAGTGAAAATTCATATGCATTTCTTTTAATATGTGCAATTATTTATGCAATAATCAACACATGTTGTGCCCACGTCTTTCTCACTCATGCATGCACTTTTATGCACCTTTTATTGGACAACTCCGCTGCAACATGAATGTCTGCAGATAACTGATTTCAATTTGGTCTTGACTCAAAAATACGAAGTCTGATACATTTGCATTAAAATGCAAAGCCAACTGATTTCTTCCCTACCATTGGCCGGAGGGGTAAGTCGCCTTACCTGAGTACAGCAAAGCAACTGCAGCCGCTTTTTCGGCAGGCCTTGGGCCTCTCTCCAGAATAGGAGAGAATCTGCCAGTGAGTCTTGCCCCTTAGTATGAGGGTCATGGTCATGCAGAGAAAGCGACCCTTGTGGATTTTGAATTTCTCTCTGCTGTGCAACTTTAAAGGACACAGGCAGAGGGAAACACATAGTGGCTCTGTCAATCAGTCATATCTTTTGATGCCCTCCTCTCCATCTCAGCCTTGCCCTGCCATACGTTACAGGCCCAGCAGTCTCTGATATGCCGCTCACCTTCTTGATCCGTAGAATTCCGACGCCTGTTGCAGGATCATACTGACCATCTGAGCGAGCTTTGTTATCAAAGAACCATTTGAAGGTGCTGTCTTTCTTCATGTTGGCCGCCTGTTGGGGAAGAGCAGCCTTTACCAGAAGGCGGCGAAGGGGAAGCAATGCAGAAATGAGCCCTTCCTTGCTTGCCTTTTTCCTCCTCCCTACCCATCTCTTTCCTTGTGTCTTTTTAGATGGCAAGTCTGATGGCCAGGATGGTTGCAATTAATGATTCTTGTCAGCTGCTCCAAATGCCTTTCCACTAAATGCTGTGTAAAAATGCGTGGAATAAAGAAACGCCCCAGGAGGCACTGGTGGCCCAGGTCAGACTTCCATACTACGGGGAGATGGATGGCATGTCTATTTCATAGCATCTGAGAAGGGCAGAACTGGAAGGGGGCAGAGGGCCATCGGGGGCAACCCCCTGCCCAGTGCAGGACACCGCGTTAAACCGTCCCTCCGGGATGCCTGTCCAGTTGCATCTCGAATGCCTCTAGTGTGGGGCAGTCCACAGCTTCCCTAGAGCATGGTTTCCATTGTTGTCCTGCTCTCAAGCCAGAATCTGGCTTCCTGTAACTTGAGCCCATTATTCCATGTCCTGCACTTTGGGATACAAACACAGAAACAGAGCGAGTCAGAAGGGGCCTCCTGGGCCATCTAGTCTGACCTCCGGCACCAGCCGGCTCCGCTCACGACATGCCCGCCATGTGCATGATAGACGATGGAGAAGAGATCCCGTCTTTCCTCTTTCAAGTACTTGAAGAGTGCTATCACATCTCCCCTCAGTCTTCTCTTCTTGAGGCTAAACAGGCCCAGTTCTTTCAAGCTCACCTCACAGGGCTTTGTTTCCAGTCCCCTGATCATCTCTGGCATCCTCCTCTGAACCCTTCTCAGCTTGTCTGTGTCTTTCTTAAACTGTGGTGCCCAGAACTGGCCACAGGACTACCCAGGCCTACCCAGTGCTGAGTAAGGGGGAAGTGGCACTTCACAGAATGCCGCCTAAAACAGCATTTGCCCTTTTTGCAGCCACATCATTGCTGACTCATATTCAGCTTGTGATCTACAATAATTCCAAGCTCCTTCCCACTTGTGGTGTTGTTGAATCAGGTATTCCCCATCTTGTAACAATGCATTTGGGTTTTTTTCCTAGGAGCAGAACTTTACATTTGCCCCGACTGGATTTCATTTTGTTGTTTTCAGCCCAGCACTCCAATCTATCAGGATCACCTTGAATCTCATTTGTCTTCCAGAGTATTAGCTTTCTCACCCAGTTTTGTGTCATCTGCAAATTATAATAACTATACATTTGCATCGCTGCCTATCAGTTAGCCTGTGCAACGTTTACGGAAGCTCATTTCTCCTTCACTCCTCTTTTTGGGCGATGCATTTTCCCCTTTTGGGTGATTCATAAATTGCCAGGGTCCATGAGGCAACAGGGACAGGATCCGCTAATCAGACATGGAAATGTTTTGTCCGCAGCCCCCACTCCCTCCAGCGCCTGCCAAGATGCCAGCAGGTGGGAGAATGCTGCTTACCTTGCAGGTTAGCCACACTTCACAGTCCTCAGTAACCTTCCACTGCAGCTGTTCAATGAAATGGGGGCCTGTAGGTTGGAGAGAAGCACATCTTGGCCACCTTGGCACGCCACCTGGCGGCAAAGCAGAGCTAAGCTTGGCAGGCCTGCAGCTGGCCTGCTGCTCTGTTTCTCTCTTGCCCTCTGTGCCCTTTCTCTTCACCCTACTCCTTGCCAGTGGCTCGGCATGAATGGGGGTTCAGTGAGCACAACGCCTCCAGCTGGGGTAGAAAAACAATCATGGAAAAGGAAAGTTGTACAGAAGTCTTGCAAAGGCTGCTAAGGGCTGCAGGGCTCACTTGACCCTGGAAGAATTTCAAGATCGGTCTCCATCTTCACCTTTCCAAAAGCGGTACCGCAAGGTGGTCCCGAACATTTTCCGCATGCTTTGGGGCAGTCAGTGCTCCCTGGCCGACTGTAACAGCATGCGAATTGGAAGCGTCCCACTGGAAACCCTTCTGAAAGAGACGCTGGTGGGGTGTGAAGATGGGATAAAGGCATCTTAGACAGGATGCCAGGATGCAAGGAACGGCAGCCTTTCCTCACGCCATGCCTTTCAAAACAACGCGGAGGAGGAATTCTTTGCAAAAAGCTCTTAAGCATGGCTCTTCTTGCATTCTGCGTGGGAAGATCACAGCTAAAATGCATATCCCTGGAGAATTCATTGGTGGGGCCAAGCTGAGTGCAGACGGAGAAGGGCACCCCCCGATTCCCCCTCTGGCTGAGGCGCACAGCAGAGGACCACAAAGGAAGCCACTGCAGGCTCCTCGTTCACCTCCTGTGTCCACCTCCTCAGGAAGGACAGGTGACCGTTTGGCTACTGCTGGGCTGCGACTTGGGAGGGAGCAGCACTGACTTCTCACTTGCCCATGAAGTCGCCTGGATGGCTTTGGGTCAGTCTAGCCTACCTCACAGGGTCATTGTGAGGATAAAGTGGGGAGGAAGAGGATTGCTTGTGTCAGCTTGCCGGAAAAATGGTGGGATATCTATGCATCGCTTCAGGAGTCTGTGAAATCCATCGAACCAATCTTGTTGCTGGTTTGGGGCCATCTTCAAAGTAACCTGCACTGTTCAAAAGGGGTTTAAAAAAAATCTTCCACCTTCCATTTGGACACACCCTTCGGCCAGTTTCCAGCCATCCTACTTGTCACAGCTTTGCTCTGCACAAGCCCCGCCCGGCTCCATGAGATGCTTGCCATTCCTTGGCCAGGGAGGTGTTTTCTGAGACATGCAGGGACGCTGTATCTCAGGCTCTCTTACCATTTCTTCTTTTCCAGTCTTTCTTTTTGGCATCAGCCTCTGCTTTCAGTTTATCAAAGTCTAGAAGAGGGAAGACAGCATTGGATCAAATAAGGAAAAATCAAGAAGGTTAATGCTGGGATTTCATATTTTAACCGTATCAATGGTTTTCCCAAATATTCTGGTCTCTGTGTTTTCCAGCTGGGTCTGTGCCATAAAGACATGGACACGGAGCTTTTACAGTTGGTCTGGAGTTACACATTGCTCACTCCATTACTCATTGTTCTAAACTCAGATTTGATTCATGCTGAATTCTAAGAAGTTTAAAAAAAAAATTTGCATGAAAATTTGTACGTGCTTATGTGTGTATTTCCTCTAATTCATGTATTTTTGCATCCTAGTTTGCTCGTGCTCCTCACAGAACACCTTCTTTTTGTCCTTTTTACTAATAAATGTTTGTCCCTACATGTCCCTAATACATGAATTTTTTGATTGGAGAGATCCCTTGTAAAAATTAGTGTAAATTCTGGGAGAGTTTTGAGTCATGTATCAGTCTAAAAATGCAAAATTAGGTAAATCCAGAAACCGAATTATTTTCTCTGTTATGTCAACAGGCACACTTCCAAATCAAGGTAATGCTGAAGTTATTTTTGCCCCCGAGGAGGAAAATCCCACAAGTACCTCTCTGTGCTCCCTGGGAGTAAAAATGCAACAATAGATTTGGTCGCTAACGTCCAGTGCCCTTTCCTTGCACCCAAAACCAGATGCCCAAGCCACTAGCTCTCACTGCCTAATGGTGGGGCCTGCTTTAGAAACAGCCTCCTGCCAGCATGTCCGTTCCTGTGCTTACCATCCCCAACCAGCACCAAAGTAAACTGGTTTTCAGCTTTGCCATCCTTTAGGTGAGCAGTGTATGTCCCCTTGTCATCCTCACAAAAGTCCTGGATGATCAGTTCCACAAGGCCATTCGCTCGGTCAAAATTGATCTTGTGTGTCTGTTGCAAAAGCGGGACAAAATTAGCTGTGAGCAAAGGAAGCATTCTTTGGAAAGCAAGTGCACGGTGCATTGTACCTCTCGGCTCTCACCGCAGGACACAGTGAGGGACACTTCAGGCCCGAGAGCTGGGTCAGAAGCATTGCTGCGCCCTCGGAGCTCAGAACCCGAGCTCTGCCTGCACAACTGGCACAAAAAGCCAAGGTGATCCAGGCAAAGGTGATCCAGGTGATCCAGGTCCTGGTCTCCGCTCAGCCATGGAGCCATCGGTGACTTTGGGCCAGTCACGGACTCTTGGCCCAGCCTCCCTCCCAGGGCTGCTCTTGTGGGCGTAAGACTGAGAGCAGGAGGAGGAGCATGATGCAAGCTGCTTTGAGTTCTTTAAAAAAGAAAAAGGTGGGATATAAATCTAATAAATAAACGGGTACATGGAAAGAGCCAGGCTGGCTGCTTCTGTGAGGTCAGGATCTCAGTGCTGCAGCAAGGCTAAAGCGGATGTCCCAGCGGGCAGGGAGGGGAAGAGAAGCAGGGACGGGATGTGCTCTGAGGCCATCCACGTTCTTTTTCCTTCTGCTAAAATGTCTCTGGCATGGCCATCTAGAAGAGGACCGTCTAGCAAACATGCAGGGAGAGCACAGCACGGAGGGGGAGGTCAAGGCAGCCGCTTCTCACAGCCTGCATGGGATGCCCCTAATCCTTCAAGCCAGCACTCTTGGAAACACACCAATTAGATTGCAACCTTATTTGTTTTCATGCCATGCTTTAATTAAGATCTTGTTCTTAATCTGGTTTTTATTTTAGCTGCCTTGAGTACTGTTTTTGGGTGGAAACACAGCATATAAGTTCCATTAAAAATAGTAAAATAAATGAGTCCCCACCCCCATCCTCCACCTCAGTTCACAACCCAAAGCCTTCCAAAATAAGAAAAGGACCTTGCCAGTATCTTGAACACCTGAGAAGAGAGAGCCTGGTGCGGCCCCTCTTGGGGGTGGGTCCCAGCAAGAAGAAGCCACCTTGTCTTAGCAGCACCAAGGCCTGCTCTCTGCCTGTGCCAAAGCACGGGAAACTCACCGGAGTGCTTGAAAGCTCCTTCCCGTTGAAAAGCAGGTGCAGCTCAGCCTCTGGAGAGAGCTTTTCCACCTCCAGCCACAGGCGCACTTCCCCTTTCTCCAGAACCTCGATGTTCCACCCAGATATCAGCTCAATCACTGCAGGGCAAGAGAAAGAAGAAGAAAACAAGGCAGGTTCTCAAAGCTGGGGAAATCAGAATGGGGTTATTAGAATCCAGAGTGGCAGGGTGAGCTCAGCATGGTCTCGGCTCACGAAAGAACACCTACTTCCCATTACAGGATCCCATTTGGATGACAGAATCACTGAGCTTGTTCGCTTTATTCAAGGAGTTCATACCTCCCTTTGATTTAAATTTCCAGGGACGCTTACAAAAATGTAAAAGCCATGATAAAAATATCTAAAATATTCAAATTTTGAATAGACTAACATCTTCTAGGATTCCCCGTCTATTTTAAAATACTGTTGACACAAGAAAGCAGTGTGTCATTTTGAAAATTATTCACAGGAACTTACATGGGTTGCGAATTTCATGGCTGATCTTTCGTAGCTTGTCCAGTTCTGGAAAAAAAATGTAAAGAAAAACGAGCGTTAGATTCAGGGAGCTTCCAGATAGAGAATTCCCAGCACAAACAGTTTTGAGGCATCGTGCTGCTATCCCACCTCAAAGAGCAGCAAATATTTGGGATGGAAGCAGTGAGTCCACTTGACCTGAGCCTAGAGAGATCCAACGGGATCCAGTCGAGGATGCAAACCCATTATTACTAGAGAAAAAACTGAGGTTACATTTGCAATAACATTTTGAGGATATTAGTTATGCAAGCTTGTTTCCCTGTATCTATAGAGCAACACAGAAGAGGACCGTTCATGACAGGAAAACCAAGGACTTGTAATTTGAAAAATTTGCTGGTGAGATCTAGGAATGTGAAGGGGAGTAGCAGGTCTTGGAACATATGAATGTGTCTGAGTTAAGGGCCCTTCATCTCCTGAGCTGGATGGAGAAAATGAAAAGAATAAATGCATCATATAAAAAGAGGACTGAAGAGGCTGGAAATTTGCCTGTGTATAGACACACTTTTAGAAATACTGGCTATACTGAAAAGTGAAGCACAATGCATCTCATTTATTTATTTATTTAAAACATTTCTATGCCCCCCCCATCGCAACAAAGCCTCAGGGCAGCTCACAAAGAATACATAAATACATACATACATAATGATAATATAACAAAAAAACAAAAAAAATCGTTTAAACCCTCCCAGTGTATTCTCTGCTAAAAATTTTAAATCCTAATTTAACAATTAATAATTTAACCATTAAAATAAGTTTTAATTAAAAAGGTCTTAGTCTGGCACCAAAATCTTAGCCTGGCATTAGTCTTTTAACTGTCAAAAAAAGATGGAAAATTCATTACATTGTCATGCATTCTTTCTAGAAGCAGTTACATAATTTAAAATAGCATATGCCCCAATAAATACTAAAGTGTATTCCAATACTAAAAGACTTAGCTAATGGATATTACCAAAACAGATGATTAAAGGAAGCATTAGTGGTATTAAACCTCCAGCCATTGGCCACCCTAGGTACACCCTTGTTAAAAAGATTTTGTGGCATCTAATAAACACAAAGCAAATGTGTTTTGTTGAATAAGATGAAACCTTAGATACACGGATGTTTCAGATATAAATACTAAAGCACCGATTGCTTAGACTGAATATCATTCCAACTCACTATTTCTGCTTAAGGCCTTGTGTAACATACTTATTCACTGATAATAAATATTCATAAACATGGATTGTAGGTCAGTATCATTGATCAGCCTTAACGAGTATTTCCAATCTCATTCAGGTGGGAAAGGCTGACTAGGTGCCCACCTCCCCAGTCCAGGTCCTACAGGTGGATGGGCAACTCCAGGGTCCTTTCCGCTCCCCCTTCGTACGGTTCTTTATCTTTAAACTGGACTTGCACTGGACAGCCCTTCAAGCAAAGAAGAATCATGGCCACCCCAACCCAGAGAGCATAAAAGAAGCGACTCCAGAGGTGCTTCCCACGAGGGCCCATAATGCTGAAAGTAACACTGGGCTGGGAGTCCCCCATTCACAGAATTTCTATGGCCGTAAAAAGCAGTGGGAAAATACAGGAGAGCAACCCACTGAAGACGAGGCTTACTGAACTTCCCCACGAGCCCATAAAATTCTGCAAACGAGGCAGGGAGTGCAGCATAGATGCCTCATCTGGAAGTGACCCAAGGGGAAGGCAGAAATAGGGCCACCCCTCGCTTCGTTCACTCCGTTAGGGGTGCTGTGGGCTGAGGAACACTGTCCAAAGGAAAGGGTGCGCCCAGTGAGGGCATTCCTGTAACGACGGCCCCGGCAGGTGCAGCTTTTCCTCTCGCTTATAATTGCACAAACGCCAGGACAGCGGTCAGGGCTAGAACCCGAGCGCGGGGGTGGAGGAACCTTCAACCCTTGTCCTCCCAGTGAGGGGCCCAGTCTAGAGCAGAGGAGCCACACGTACAGTGGGAGGGACAAAGTCCCGGCAACCCCCATGCCAAGTTCTCGATCCAGATCAACCCATTCACTTCCACAGTGGCAAGAAAGAGCAGGCATCTTTCACGTCATTCTGCTTTTCAAGTGGATAATAATAGGATTGCTGCCTGGATTTTTGCTAAAGGAAATCAGTAGATGATATTGGCAAAGTGTCTTCCCGGCTGATGGGGACAAGTTTTCTCTACTGGCTGCTGAAGAGAAGCTGTGTGCAACCTGCCACCTGCCTGGCCAGACACAGGCCAGACCTGTGGTAGTATGCCAGGAGGGGACAGACAAAGCTTTGCCTTTTTTCGGCTTCTGATTTTTCTAATCTGAATTTCATTTCCTTTTATGTGCACAAGAAATTTTTAGTGTATTTCTGCACATTCCACCAATACCTGAGTTATTGCATGCATTTTTGCAAGCAATTTCCTAATACAATGCACTTGTGAATGCTATTTTTCCTAACAGATGCAAAACTATGTAAGATGTAAGCTGCATTAATTTCTCCCCCAGCCTTAAAGTGGGGTCCCTGGCAGCCTCCCCGGGTTAAATCACGCCTGACAGACATGCCTTCGTCAGTGCTAGAGCCTTCACTGCTGGGAGGGTAGAAAGACAGTCATGCAAAGTGCAGATACAGATTCAGTCACCAAATACATTATGTCTGAACCTTCAAACATGCAACATAGATATATTATTTACCTTCCTGGGTTAAGACATGACTGGCAGAGATGTCTTCATCGGTGTCAGTGACTTCTACTGAATAAGTGCCCAGATCCCTTTCAGTGGCATATTTCAGAATGAGCTTAGACCTGAAAGGAGAGAAGATGCAAACCACACGGTAAGCCGGACTTTCATATTGATTCTAAGGACCGTGCATTTGGCAATTCCACAGTAACACGGCAAAAGTACAAACTGTTCTTGCAAAAGCACAGTTCAGCTTCTGAAAACATTAATGTGTTCCTAAAAAGCATTCCTGAAAGTGTTTGTTTGTTAAAGCAAGTCATTCATTCGTTTATTTATTTCCATTTCTGTGCTGCTCCATAACCTGAAGGTTCTGTGGGTGGCTTACCATGCTAGAACAGCATACAGTACAGAAATAAAACAGTGACTAAAACAGATAAAATGGATAAAACAATAAAATAATAGATAAACCATCTCATAATAAAATATAGCCACACACAACATAGTAATATGACCAATAAATAACCACTGAAAAAGTAATCCATGACTAAAGATGGTTAATGGTATCGAAAGCTGCTGAGAGGTCCAGGAGAGTCAACATGTTCACACTCCCCCATCTCTCTTCCAGAAAAAGTCACCCCGCAGGACGACCAAGGCAGTCTCTGTCCCAGACCCAGGCCAAAAACCCAGTCGAGATGGGTCTGGATAATCAGTTTCCTCCAAAAGTGCCCGGAGCTGCCAGCCTACCTCCCACTCGACCAACTTGCTCAGGAAGGGAATACTGGCTATTGGTCTAAAATTGTTCGCACCCCCTGGGCCCAGGCCTGGCTTCTCAGGGGTGGTGTTCTCACAGCTGCCTTTTAAGGGGAGTGGCATCCTTGGAGGGGTTGGCAGCCTCCTGGGCACAGCTGTGGAGCCCCTCCCTAGATCTCCATGCCATGATGGGTGAGGATCGAGCAGACAAGGGGTGGACTGGACTTGCCCAAGCACCATGTCCACATGGCCGGGTTGCAATAAGTGAGGTTGATCCAACAAAATACAGTTGGACGGTGCCCCGGACCCCTCTGCTGATGGAGCTGGGACAACTGTGCTGCCAAGTTGGAGCGAATTCGAGTAATTTTGCCCTCAACGTGTCCTGCAAATTTGTCACAGCGGGCTGCCAAAGGTTCAGTGATATCTATTTGGGGCCAGAGCATAGAAGGCCCCGAACTGCCCAGAACTGCTGCGCTGGATGGCTCTCCGAGGACACGATGCAGCAGGAGTAAGAGTCACCTTCACTGCCATGGAATAGAAACATAGAAACAGAGCGAGTCAGAAGGGGTCTCCCGGGCCATCTAGTCTGACCTCCGGCACCAGCCGGCTCTGCTCACTAATAGGCCCGTTAGTGAGCACTAAGCCTTGTTTGGTCAGATTCGGCCCGAGTTCCTCCACTGGCGCTCTCGCCATCTCCCCTCCCACTTCATCGCCCTCAGCCCATGGGGTAGGGCAAGGAGCAGGGGGGCTCTGTGAGGGGGGAGAGGGTGCGTGGGGCGATCGTGTCCGCCGCCTGCGTCATCTCACTATTCCACAGCGAATCCTGGGCTTGGACAGGCGCACGTCCCGTTCGTTGCTAGTCCTTGTGGGTGACCCTTATAGTGACCTGCCCTCACGGCTACAAATGTTCTCTGGGAGCCTTCTGAAAGTGTGGAAGCCGGAGCAGCGGTTGCAGACGCAACCACAAGATGCAGCGGTTGCGGGAGGGGTCTCGATGCCGCCGCCTCTCGCCTGGCTTGGGGAGTGCTGCTCACACAGCGCCGGAGCAGTCCTCCCGTGCCCTCAGTGGCCACTCCTCCCCAAGGCAGCTCCTGTTTGGGTTGGACACTGCTGCTCACGGTTAAACAGGAAAACGTGATCCCCTCTCCATTGAAATGGCACACCCTGGGCGTTCAGACTTGACCCACCAGCTGCTGCGGCACTTCCTTTTACCAGCGGAGCGCAGCTGCAGCTGCATCATCATCATCATCATCATCTCTAAATTCGCATCTCCCTCTCTCTTTATACACACGTGCACACACTCACGTACACATACCTCGTCATACATGCATTTTATTCCCCCTTTTGTCCGCTTCTGGAGATTCGTGTGTGGCCTCTGCAATTGGACGTGCCGGGACAGAGAGGCCTGTTCTTGCTCCCCGGTGCACAGCAGGGGTGGCCAAGGGTTCAGATAGGATAAGATGCAGCCCACATGCTTCACTGGGGATGGACAGCTTTCCTTTTTGCTTCTGGGTCCGCACCGATACCTTTTCTACTCTACTGTGCGTATTTTCCTGGCACACAGATAACGTTGTGGACAAAGCTCCCTCTGCTCAGTGTTGACCCTGAACCGCACAGGAGCACAAGCAGCAAAGATGTTGGCAGCTATAGCTCAACTTCACGCCGCAAGCTTACCTGTCACCTTTGCTCACAATTTCAACCCGATCAGGATTTGGGGGCCCTTCATAATCCTTGGACCATATGAACTCTGAGGTGTCGACCACTTCAGGAGCCTCAAAGGCCATGTAGATGAACCCTTCTTCATCCACCCCGACCTCAATTTCTCTGGTGCCTACAAAAACGGAAAGGGGGATTATTTTTCTATAGGATGAGCCCCTTTTCACCTTATCTACGGCCACTGTTCTCCAAGCAAAGATTACCCCAGCCTTTTGCATTCAGGTACCCTCCAGGTTTGTTCGACTACAGTTCCCATTATCCTGTACCAATGTCAGCTGGGGGTAGTAGCTCAGCACACATGGGTGGCACCATGTTGGGGGTGGGCCCTCCCACCATGCAGATGTTGGCCTCTGTTAAGAGCAGGTACTAAAGAAAGAAACCAAGAAGCCAGAGCAAAATTAACCAAGGAAGGCAGGTGTTGTGCGAGAACAGGACCAAAGGTGGCACGGGGGAGACGAAAGCTTTTTACCTGGTTTGGTTTTCACTACCACAGGATCTGATGGCAGAGACGGGGGGCCAACCCCTGCCTTGTTCAGGGCTCGCACCCGGAACAGGAGGCATTTTCCAGTTTCTAGATCGGACAGCTGCCATGGAAAACAAACCAAGAAATAGCTGGTAACAGGACGGCTGGGAGGGAGCTCAAGTTTTAACATATGTATAGAATGGCAAAGAGGGTGGGTGGGTGGGGCGGGGGGAGCAATGGGGAATATTAGCCCAGGAAATGGACTAGGCTATGTGATACATGTGGCTTTCTTCTGTAAAGACACTTCTTGTTCTTGGTTGCTCTCCTCTTACATATTACCACACGATCACCTACCAGGAGTAGATGGCCTTCCATGCCCAGCCGCCGCCTATGCTGAGTGGATGGAAGAGAAGGAAAACATGGCGGCACAAGGAGCAAAGAGCCCAGACATCCAGCTGGTTTTGGCCCCCCTCATCTCGGACACATAGACTCCCCAGAAACAATTACCCACAGGGAGGTAAAAAGAGCTTGCCTACTCCTCCTTTAGAGGTGCCAAGAATGCTCTGCCTGAGAAATTGCTCCTAGCCTTCAAGGGCAACTAAAATTCCTTCTGGCAGTGCTAGGGTGGCTGGCTGCCCTCTTCCGCCTTGTTTGAAGGCCTCCTTTTTGGAGGGCAGCCCATTCCAAGTCCAGATTTGAGATAAATAACCAGAAGTGCTACTTCCATCCGCAGCTTCCAGACCGGCTGTACAGGAAGCCACCAAAGCTGTCCAGATTCTCCATGATGGTGAGATGAACCGCATTTCAGCTTAAATTATAACACACTGGCACCCAAGTGCATATGATTTTTAGGAAACCTCTGTCTTCTTTTGGATAGCGTTTTCCCCTTTTTCAGTGCTTCCTAAGTGGCCACCTTACAGCTGAAGTGATGACACAATGAAAACAATCAGCACGTGTGGGACAGACTCCCCTGCACAATGTGTAACCCTGCAAACAGAATGCAAGGTGCTGGCCACGTGTTCTGGCCGGCCAGAGGTTGGGTCCCCTCCACCGCGGCTCACAGAAGGCTCACTTCCACCAGCCTCAGCATGAAACAGCAACTGCAGTGCAGGATTTTTCCATGGCACAGGAAATACTACACAGACCTTCATGTGTGTGCTGGATACTGGCTGCTTGTTCAGCTGCTCCCAGCTGTCTGATCCCTCTTCGCAGGCTTCCACATAATAACCGGTGACGGGGCCTGCTCCGGTGTACACGGGCGGCTCCCAGCGGAGCATCAGCGATGTATCTCTCACTTCCGTACACCTGACATCATACGGGGGGCCTGTCCCAAGCGCAAAGGGGTGTTCAAAGGTGAACACGCAAGAAACGGAGCGGGGAGGACCGACACCCAGATCGCCCTTCATCACATGGGATGTTCAGGTCCTAGGATCTTTCTGTGCTCCCAGCTTCATTATCACACCTCCCTCCCGCCCTCGCTGCTTCAAACCCTGGGAAGGAAAGAGTGTCTTCAATGGGCCGGCTAGAAAAAGATGCCGCCCCTTTAACAGGCTGCTGGTTGCCAGGTTGCATTCTACCTTATGGCAACCCCACGGGCCTTTACCTGGCTCTGGCATCGTCCATTCTTCACATTTGAACAGGTCACTGGGTTCTGAGACCTTCCCAACGCCAACAATGTTCATGGCGTAACCGCGGAACTCATAGAAGTGTCCTTCAGTCAGGCCGGCAGCCTGCAGAAGCACAAGGCACGTGAAGCATTTCCCAGAGCCTCTTTTCAAAGTCAAGATGCCCTTTTCTGGAAAAGCTGCATTGCTGGGCCAGCCATACCTTACTGGGAGCTGAAACTACCCCACCCCGCAAAGCACCACCAGCTCTGCAGCCTGAAAGGAACCCGCAACTTTTGATGCAACTCTCACAACCATCGAGCATAGGAGATGGCAAGTAACGTGTTTTCTGGACGCTACTTCTGGAGGATTATCTTTTAGGAGTGAAATTGACTGGAGCACTGGTCTAGTTCCTATTGCTCTTCTGCCAAACTGTGGATGGTGAAGTGAGCAGTAGGGTTAGGAATTTGGGCAAATTGAGGCGTAACGCTCTGCTGCCACGGTTCGAGGCTCTCTCTGCCTCGAAGGGGGGACTGCTGGCGTTCCCTGTGCTTTGATATCCCCAGAAGCAGCGCCAGAGCCAGAACGAGACCACGGCTTCCGTACCGTATAAACACGTTGTGCGATTGGCTTAAGGTTGACCTCGTGCCAGTCCGTTTCCGATGCATCGTGTTGATCCAGGAAGTAGCCCAGGATGGTGGTGCCTCCTTTGTGTTTTGGAGGCTTCCAGCCTATGGTCATGTTGTCCTTCCCGCAGCTCAGCAAGGCAAAGCCACGTGGGGCTGATGGGCAGGCTACGGACAAAAGACATCGCAGGATAATGGCGGCTTACCATCCGGTCAGCACCAGGGGCTTCTCACCCCAGTTGCTGTTATGCACTCATTCATTCATTCATTCATTCATTCATTCATTCAAAGCTTTTCTGTCCTGTCCCCCACAAACGTCTCAGGGCAGCTTACAATAAATAAGTAGAACAAAACAAACCCCACAGCATCCAACCATAATATACAGTTAATATACGAAAACCCCAGTTAAAATCAATTAAACATTAAAGTAGCAGAAAAATAGAAAGGGTTTTGCCTGACGCTGAAAAGAATATGACATCGGTGCCAGGCGAACCTCTCTGGGGAGTGTATTCCATAGTCAGGGTGCCACCACAGAGAAGGCCCTCCTCTGGGTACGGAGCAGGAACACTTGAAGCTCCTTCAAGTGTTCCCAGAGCAGGACCTCCGCCTCACATCTCAAGGGGCACGAGGGCACATAGGGAAGGAGGTGCTCTTGTCATTTGGGGAAGGGTGCGGTGTGTGTGTTGGGGGAGAGGACTTACCGATAGCCTGTCTCACAAGGATGGCATCAGATTCAGGGGAGGGGTCACCCACACCTGCCTCATTGACACATTTCACACAGAAGACATACTCTTTGCCGGTTTTGAGTCCTGGAACAGTAAACCTAACAGAAAGGCGAAATAAAAGCAGTCTTAAGTTACTGCTCATAAAAGGAATTTCCTGCCTCCATCAAGCCCAGAGAGGTGGATCTGTCAGGGGCCATCCAGCAAGCAGGGTCAGTGGACACTCACGGCCAGAGCTGCCCAGAGCAAAGCGGGCTCCGTTAGCGCTGAACAGGGTTCGTTCTTGCTTGTCACGTTGCTTCATCCAAAAAACTGAGGCTTTTTCTTTTCAATCACACATGAATTCAAGGCCACTGAATATATAAATGAGCCTTGCACAGGATTTTGCTTTTCCCATTCAGTGGCACGTGCATTTCCCCCAGTGCAGGAGTTTGAGGGCCATTTTGCCTAATATGCATCCTTTTGCAAGCAACCTGCACAACACAATAGCATTCTGAAAGCTCGTTTTACTTGTATGTCATTGTGTGGGCCCCGCACAATGGTTCCTTTATTTGTTTATATCATGTTTGCCCACACAATATGGCACTCGAGGCCATTTCCCCCTCATTTCTGCAGCGTTGAATGCCTTTTTCTCCCAAAACGCTATTGCAAAATTGAGAGAAGTACAAATTGCAAAGGGTACCTGAGTTTTAGTCCACAGACAGAGTAGAGCCAAGTTTTCTTCGAAATGAGAAACGGGTGGATTTCTGCCTCCCATTAACTCACCGATTACATGTGACGGGCTTATTGTTGACCGTTTGCCATTCATCTGTGCCAACTTCCCGGCAATACAGGTAATAACCCAGTGGCTCTTGGCCTTCCTTTGGCTTGCTCCACTGCACAATAACAGACGTACTGGTGTCCCGAAAGGTCAAAACCTGAGCTGGCGGTGGGAGGGGAGCTAAAGGTGGGGAGGAGATAACATAACCTAAGAATTGCAGCAACTTGGCGCTTCTTCCAGGTTCGAGTTGCAAACAGATGAACCGAACTGTCAAAAACTTGCATCACTAAGTAGAATCAAAACATAGAAACAGAGCGAGTCAGAAGGGACCTCCCGGGCCATCTAGTCTGACCCCTGGCTTCAGCCGACTCCGCTGTATGACCTTTACAAGCGCTTGTAACAGACATTCAGCAGCAAGACGGGCCCTGCTTAACATTATTTTTCATCTTCCAGGTGGTCAAGGAGCCAAATCAGACTTGTTTCAAGTACGCATCAGTCCTTCAAACAGTCACTCAAAAGAATTGAGGGATTTTATAACAATGGCGGAACATACCAAATAAGTTTCTCTCACTTTCTAAGCCTGCTTGAGGGAAAGGTTTCTCTCCTGAAAACAACTCTCCACTGCAAAAGGGTGGCAGCCTAGAAACCCAAAGAACGACGGGCCATCTCAGCACCGGTGCAAATGTACCCCATGAACACGCCCACACGGAAGGACTAGGTGGCACGGAAGGAGTTCTGGCCAGGCCGCTGTGCCCTGCGCCCCCTTGCATGAGTTGCCCCTGCGCTCGCTGGGATGCAAGTCTCTTCTCAGAGTGCAGTGCCACAAGAGGCTGCACTGAAGAAGCATGTGCTCCCAATTCTTTGGGGACCTCTTGGATGGCATTCTAGCTCGAAGTCACTCCAGTTTCTTATTTGGTAGAGAGTGGCTTTTTCTGTAAACAGTCCACCTGCAAGAGGTTTGGGAATGCTTTTACGGCTCGAAGGAGACACTTCCAGAACTCAAGCAAGGATCCAGGGCCTCCGAATTCACAGAGCAGAGCCACATCATGCCATAAAAACCCAAAATACAGAGATTACCTATTTTTTTGCCAAGGGAGATGGGCTCGCTGGGTAAGGAAGGATTGCTCACGCCGTACTTGTTCATTGATCGCACACGGAAGCGGTATGATTTCCCTTTGACCAAATCGAAGACAGCCAGAGTCGTGGAGTCCACTTGTGTGTCTGGATGAACCATCTGCCAGCTGTCACTGCCTGCGATCGACTGGAGAAAGAGGAAAGTCTAATGGACATAAACCTGGAACCTTCAGATGCACCGGCCCGGGACGACTGTGTCTTCAGCATGAGGGGTGTACCAGCCCTTTGGTTTCCGGTCTAGTGGTCACATGCAGGAAAGTCAGGGGAGGGGTCTAAGAAAGGCTCAGGTCACTCTCGCAGTGCCTTCATGATTCATGAAGCAGAATGTAAGCTACCAGCCATGTACGGCAACCCACAAGGGATTCTGCAAACCTCCCCTTTCTTTTGCTGTCTGTCTGGGACTCCAAGATCCATGTGCCTGTGTCAAGCACCTGTTTGCCCCGAATGTACACTGCCCGTTTATGTATTGCCAAAAAGCAGGAACTGCATCATCAAAAGAGGACAGCAATTTGCAAGCAAATTGCGAAATTCCTAACTATTGGTGCACATTTAGAAACAAGTATTATAATGTAAATAGAAATAAAGTCCATCTGACCATAGCATGGAATATTGTGGCCAGGTGAGCCGTGTCCCTGCTGCCCAGGTGCTCACTGGATGTGGGCAAAGGTTTCTGCAGGTTCTTTAAACTGGAGATGGACAGGACAAGCTTTCAAACAGAGGACACCCTCAAATATTGGACAGTCCTCTGGCAGAATTGTCCACAGGGCCACTCGAGCACCGCATAAAACCAGTAGGGCAATTTGATGTACAGCTGAGGTGGGGTTGTCACAAATTCTGCAGGCAGGTTTTTGAGAATGGCAGAGAGCCATGGAATGTGACTTCTCTTAACTACCAGACTGGCTCAAAAAAATCAACCTGCCCATCTAATTTATCTTCTGGAAGAACCCAAGTAATTTCCCAAGCTCATTCGGGAGATCTTGCCCATCCCTAAATGCCACGGTCCCTCTGCTGTTTCCTTACCTTTTCTACAAAGTAGCTCAGCGGCTCTTGGCCTCTGGGATCTGGCTCGTCCCAAGAGAGGACCACATAATCTTCCCTGATCTCACTGGCATGGACATTGGTGGGTGGAAAGGGGATCTTGACCTTGGCTGTGGGGAACAGGGAGCCCACATGTCAGCAGACTGAATTTGGAACCGAGGAGGATTGGCGAGGGACCGCCATTTGCTAGTCACAGGAAGAAGATGGCACAGTTCTCCTTAAAGTTCAAAACAGCTCATGTGACACAGCCCTACATTTCCGGCCTGGGCCACTCATGCATGCCAGTCCTCTAATATGACTGCAGGATTTGGGGTTGTGTGAATGAGCTATGACAGCGCAGACAGCGCAGACAGAGCTTTCAAGCCACCTTGGAATGCAGTGCTTTTCAAAGGAGAGAGTCCACACACATGCAGCTGGAGCGTAAGTGCACAATACAGAGCAGCGTGACTAGCTGAGGATGATGGAAACTGTAGTCCAATATACCTGGAGGGCACTAGCCTGGGGAAGACTGGCATAGAGAGACAAAGGGCCATGTATGCATGCGGTCAGTGAAATGTCAAGATGGAACATCCACCAGGAGCATCATAAATTTACCAGGATCTCCATTTCTCTAAACTCTTAAGTGGTTATTTATTGGTCCTATGAAGAAACTCTGGGACAAAGCATTAATTGGAGGGTTACCAAAGCAGTCAGATGCCTTTCCACTCACGTTCCAGCTCATCTTTGGAAACTATAATTGTCTTCATCCCGTCATCATAAGGAATCTCTAACCAAAGAACAGGAAGAAAGCAAGAAAGAGGAAGAAAAATCTATGAGAATTCACAGTGGACATGGCAGGAAATGACCAAGGTGTTCCTTAGCCTGCACTGTGCCATACTGTGATGCAGTGCCCTTCCGAGGGAATTCTTTGGGCTGGGAAGGAGCTGGTTGCCCCCACGGGAAAGACCCAGGTAAAGAGGAGGTAAGAAGGCTGGGAAAGACCTGAAGCTTGAGGCACTGGACAGCAACCAGCCGTCAAGAGCAGACAACACTCTGTGTTGTCAGCAGACAACAGATCAGTGGACCAACTTGGTATATGGTAGACTGAGATTTACTGAGATTTTGGAAATTCTCTTGGGTGAGTGATCCAAGTGCATCTCTTTCCAGAGCTGCAGGAAAAACAGTCACCTGAAGGTTGCATGTGGAAATTTTCACTCACTTGCACCCGCAGTGAGATGCTGAGGTGAAATTTAGACGTTTCTGCTCAGGGGAAAAACTGAGGGAGGTGTAAATCCACACCAAACACACTCTTCCCTGTTAGGTCTGATAGGACACAGGCCACTTCCCGGAGTGGCCCTACAAAGCCTTCCCGCTCTTACATGCAAGGCAAGCCATTCTGTGTCTTGAAAATTGTGGTTGTATCATTTGGATTTATTGGTGAGTTGCATCTTGATTTATCATGACTTGTCTCAGGGGGTTTTACCATTTCTTTAAGTGTCAGGAATGCATTAAAATGAAGTACTTAGCAATCTTTTGGCTTCGTTCGGATCTATCATCGTCACGGGATCGCTGGCCTTCGATGGGTTACTGACTCCTGCCCGATTGATGGCCTTTACTCGGAACTGGTACGCCTTCCCTTCGGTGAGGCCCATGATGGGTGACCTGCAGGTCTTCACTGGCTTGTCATTGCAGAGAAGCCACTTGTCGGTGCCCACCTCACACCTGGAAGGAAAACACAGCATCCAGTTTCGGTGCAACCCGTGATCCGGAGCAAGGGCCCGATCGTGTCTCCACGACGGCACAGTACTGGCCTCTCAATATAATAGCCGATGACCGGACTTCCACCATGATCACTGGGCGTGGTCCAGGAAAGGATGAGGCTGTTTTTATTCACGTCATGGTACCGGACGTTGAGGGGTGCTCCGGGAGCTCCGGCTGTTTCCGCGGCAGCATCTAAAAATATCACGAGACCATGTTTGGGTGGTTCTGCCTAAATTAGGGGGTCCTGCAGGTTTGCGCTGGCTGCCCATTCCGTCTTCTGGCCCCTAAGGGCACTATCAGATTTTAGGGTCAGGGGTCCACATTTAGCCACAGTTTGAGGAGACCCCTTGAAACCACGAACTTGAAGGCAGTCCTAAGGTGCCCTCATGTCTTCTTCCGCAGAGGCCAGTCCTCAGTTGGAAGGGCTGCCCAAGGAATGGGAGCGCCTGTGCAGCTTCAGGTGAGATCAGGAAGTGCGAGAGCAGCGCCTGTTCGCACACCGACCGGAGAGGCACAATGCACAGGCACTTGTACCGTCATGAGGTGTTTCCCTGCATTGTCTTTCTGTGCAACTGCATGTCTGTTTAGATTCTAGTAATCATTTCTAGATATGCATCCAGACATATCAAATAGCATATGCACATTTTGTGTCTTCTTTTGCCCTGTTTGGGTGATGAGCTTCCTCTTCTCAGGCAAGTCAGAGGAGGCTGTCCTGAATCCCATTTGTGTCAGTGGATCCACTCAAGTATGACTAAGTCTGGCCCCGGGCAAGATTTGCCTCTGAGAGACTCCCCAACCTGGAGTCCTGCAGATGTGTTGAACGACTCTTCCCACTGCTGCCCCTGTGATGGAATGATGGGAATGATGGGAGTTGTCCAACCCATCTGCAGGACACCAGGTTGGGGGAGCCTGACCTATGATTTTGCTTTCCCTTTCTCCTACCTTTATCTCGAGGTTGTTTGGGCATCACAGGGCCTTTGTTATTTTAGTTTTTGTACAGAGGGTAGACACAGTATGCCCTTTGACATAGCTGGGGCTTCAGTTGAGCAACTTACTCCCAAGTCTGACTCAAGTCACAACAACCAACTTGTTCTTTTAAAGTTGGCTCTTGAGACTTGAGAAGAGATTTGAGACTCAACTTGGACTTGAAAGTAAAGACTTGAGACTTGACTTGAGACTTCATGTAAAAGACCTGAACATATGACTGCCCTCTGAATACCTAATACAGTCCCTGTCACCAAACAAATAGGAGCAAACTCGTGGACGCACCCCTAACAAACACATAAGCTCTTTGCTCGTTGTATCCATCTAGTGTTGGGATGCGAATGCTGTAAAAGCCTTCATCCTCTTTGTAAGCGCAAGACACCGACAGCGAAGCCTCCCGGTCCTCACATTTCATCTTCCTACGGTCAGACTCTTCCAGCAACTCACCTGCAGCACCAAAGAGAGATGCCCACTTGAGGTTTACTCAGTTGGTGCCTTGAGGCAAGAGTAGACATTTAGCAAAATTTCAGAATTTGGGGTTTTGGAGCTTTGAAAATTTCTAGTCAATATCTTCCAAGTTTCAGTTCTGAGGAACAGTTAAAAAGAGACATGTTTAGCTCTAATGGGGCCTCCAGAGGCCCCGATTTGGCCCACGAAGTGTTGGACATCCTTTGTGGACCTCTCCCTCCAGCTGAGGGCTGGGACTCGGGAAGGAGGTGGGGAAAGGTATTCCCCATGTTCTCTCTGATCTGTGATTCCCCTGAGGGCCCAATGGGATACTGAGGGGATTCCCCTGCAGGACCAAGGGCATGTGATCTGGAAGGGAATTCCTTGGCCGTCTGAGCAAAGAGTGGGAGGGGCTGTGCCAGCCTGGCCTTACACATCCCTGCAGAGTCCTCTTCCATACCCTCATCCCCGGAGTGCTCCCGAAGGCTCTTCTCCCTGCAGAGGGAGGAGCAGAGCCTGTGGCTTCCTTGACACGGACAAAGGAGCTGGGCATGGGGCCGGAGGGTCGGTAGTGGGGGTGGCTCGACGTGCCAGTGGCCTGGCCTGCAGGGCAGTCTGGCTCCAGAATCAAGAGGCGCTGCCTCCCCAGTTGGCACATCCATACATCCTTCTCCTTCACCTCAACACTTCCAGGGCAGTGGGGACCATTTTTCAAACGTTCTGCCATCTAGAGAGCCTGTCAGCACACCTGCCACAGAACTCCAGCATGCCCCAGAGGACGCTGGGATAAACTGTAGGGCGTCTCACCTGTGTGGCCTTACCATCGAGGTGTGTGGCCTGAACAGAGGACCCGCCCTTCCAACATCACACCAGGTGGCTGCAGAGTGCCGATTGAGATCAGGAGTGCTGGGCAAAGCATCTCATGGGGAATTTGTCTCTCGTGGCTACTTTTCGCCAACAAGGACCTCCACGTCCCTTGGAAAACCCAGGCCAGAAAGCCGAAATATTTTTTTTGGAGTGGGTTCCAAAGCAACTTGAATTTACTTCCCAAAATTCAAATGTTTAATCTAATTTGGAAAGTTTAACAGCATTCCTAACTGATGAGGGGAGCAATGAAGGTTGGACAAAATTGATCAAGCGTTTCTCGCCCTGCATCATGTCAAGCTATAAGAACTTTAGCATGGGTGGGGAGACAGGCTGCATATCTGAGCACTTCCAGTGGGAAAGGAATATCAGATGGGCATTCTACATACGTTACCCTGAGGCGAGCCAATTTCCAATGCATGGAGATGTCCCTCCATCGCCACCTCATCATGGGAGGACATTCCCAAGTGCAACATGCCCAGCTGCAGTCTTACATGGGGCGATCCAAGGGACATCTGCCCAGTTGGTCCTGCTAATTGTATAAAGCAGCCCTGAGTCTTGGGCCTTGGCACTTGCTGTGCAAAGCCCTTCAGAAACACCAGACTGGCAGTAAAAATCATGCAGCAGAGGAAAGAAGATGGGGATTCTACAGCAGTGAGGCATCCTAGAGAGAAAGTGGACCCCCGTCCGCAGGATCTGCCCTGCCCTGCCCTGCCCTGCCCTGCTCTGCTCTGCGTGCAGCAGCCGCTCCTTCTCAGCCGGTCCCCTCTCAGAGGGGGCCAGGCTGGGGAAGGCTGCAGGCGGCAGCCAGAGATGCAGCTGCGAAGGAGAGGCAGAGGAAGGCGGGCGTTGCTGTCCGGGTGATGCAGAAAGCCTTTTAACGCATTGCCCCTTCGCTAGGCTCCTCTCTGGGGGAACAGCGCCTTGATGGAGGGGTGCCGTCGCAGATACGAACCGTCCCTGAACCACTGGATGTCTCGCTGGTATTCCTGCAAGTCTGCAGTAAAGGTGCAGGAGAGTATGAAGGGCTCCTTCTCTCTGGAGAAGATGGGCTGCATGATGCTAGCAAAGTCGGCCTCCAGGTCCCTCAGCGACCCTGAGAAAAGAGACGATGTTAGGAAAGAACATCAAGAATTGTCCTGTCAGAGAAAAATAAAAACGCCTCTTCGTCAGCTTCCTGTCACCAGTAATGACCTCTTGGGTGCTGTTGGGAAGCAGGTGATCATGGATGCAGCAGCTAAAAGACTGGGATCCTGGAGCGAAGAGGAGTATGAAGTCCCCTCAGACCCAGTTCCATTGCAGCAATTCTGAGGCGGCCAAAATGGCCGTTCCACAGCGGTCCTCACTGGGGATGCTGAAGTGTCAGGGGATGGTTTAATCTCACTGCTCCCACAGTCCCTGTGCAACCCAGCTAGGTATTTTCCTAGTTGTGCACATTAATGAGCATGTGTGTGTGTGTGAGGGCTGGCAGGAGGAAGAGGGTGTGCATTTCCTTGCAGGTGCTGCTCATCTGTATAGGTGATCGAGTGCTACCTGACCCTTTGCACAGAGGATCAAAAAGGTTGCCCACCCCAATGCAGCTCTTACTTGCTCTTTCTCCCCTCGCTCTGGTAATTAAAAGTGGCATCTAAATTGGTTCTGCTGTAACAAGACATCCCATAGTCTGGTTCTACCGTCTCTCTGTGCTTTTGGCCACAACACAGACAAAATCCTGCTTCACATTTCCGCCCTGTAGTTTTGGCACCCAAGACTGTATGACATATGCCATATGTCTTATGCCATATGAATCCAAGCAAACAAAAACCCCCACATAAACCAAAAGTGTACACTCACGTTTGTATATCTCTGAATCAAATCCAGACTCCTTTCCATAGTATTCTATAAAACAGTGAAGGGGGTGTTAGAGAGAGAGAGATGGTGCTGTAAACTTTTGTAAACGTTTATTTCTACAGTGCTTAACCTCTATAAATAATATTGCTTGGGAGTTGAATAACAAAACATGGCTTACAGGCTCCGAAGAAATGAGAAGCTGGACCACTGAGCTTGGTTTCCCTTTGGCTGTAAGCCCTGGAGACTTACAGGGACGCAACAAGCACAAACCTTGGTGCCCAGGAGGCTCCCCAACCCCAAGAGGAGGAGGAGGAGCTGCTTTAGGAATGGCCGCTGCGGTACCTGTCATAGAAGGCTCATTCCTAGCACATCCCTGGAGCATCCAGTGAAGTCTCTGGATGCTCCTAGGAATGGGGCTTCTATGACCGGAAGCACAGGGCATGCCGCGAGAGATTGCCCTGGAGAAGCAGGATTCCTGAAAGCCTGGGTAGTCTGGGAACTGCACTCTCTGGGGAGAGGGAGGGAGTTTGTGTGTGTGGTGTGTGAGTGATGAGAGTCGCGTGTGAGTGTGGACTCGGTGTGCATGCAGCATACATGCCTGGGAAATACCCTGTCCGATTCCAAGTTAAAGGGCTCTCGGAAGTGCTGCCCATCCACAGGCAGCCAGACCCCTGGCCCCTGCCTACAGCTGTGTGCTGAAGAATGAGGGGGACTATACTGAGAGATTTCTGCGTGTGCCTCTATCCATATGGACTGGTACATGCAAATCTGAGTCCCCCTTCTTGGCAATGCATTTCCTCCTTTTGGGTGATGAATGGCCACTCTCTGAAAATGTGGGAGGAGGAATTTGCCATGCAGAACCCCGCAAAAGATGTAAGGCATTTCAGGAGGAGAAGGAAAGCAGATCCCTGACTTACTTCTGACAAACACCGTAGCAAATGAGTAGGCCTCCCCGTATGGATTTTTCACTTCGACGCTGTATTCAGCGGAATCATCCAGGGAGCATCTGAAAAATAACAGATGCCCGGCAGTGTTTAAAGTCTGGCTAGCCACCTCCACTCTCCGGCCTGCCAGAGTTGCGGGTCTGAACTCTCACTAGCCCTAGCCAGCATGGCCAGCAGTCAGAGATCCTAGGACTTCTAGTCCAAAACATTGGGGGGCACCAGCCTGGGAAAGGCTGCCTATGGGGTAAAGACACGGTCGGGTCAGTATAAACACAGAGGCCTTCTCCCTTTGGCCATGTGTTCTACCTTGCCAAGGTCTGTTTGAAGGTCCTCCTTTTGACTGGCTGCCCAGGAAGTCCTGTTCGAAGATAAAGAACCATGGCGGGGGAGCGAGAGGGAGGAGGGCAGGCCGTGGCCTTGAAGCTGCCCATCATTCATTAGTATCTGAGCAGCAGACTGAGTGGGAGCTTGCAGAGATCGCCTGGCTACAGGTGTCCACACTATGGTGAGATGTCATGCCTGTCTATTTAAAATGATGCTTTCTAAATTTGCATCTCTAGTCACAAATTAGTTCATGCAGATTGTACGTGCATCCTTTCCCCTTTGCTCTCTGTTTCAGTGGTGCATTTTTATCTCTTTTGTGATGTGAAATTGGCTACCCTACCTTCACCTCCTACTTCCCATTCCACACCTTCCAAGTCTGAGGCAAACTGTTTTTAGGGTTCTGCTTCTTCGGTTGCGAATTTCCTAGGTCCTTCCTAGGACAGACCTTTTCTGACCTTTAGGCTGTTCAGCCAATCACTGCCAGAGGATGCGCCACCCTCTGCACAAAATCCCTTCGCTCATGCTCTTGCTTTAAATCAGGGTGAGCAGAAGACAGACTTGCAAATGTTTCGCATTTCAACTTCCAGAAGTCCTTTCCAGCATGGCCAACTATCAGGAATTCTGGGAGCTGAGTTCCAAATCATCTGGAGATCTACTTTCTTCCCACCTTTGGTTTAAAGAACAAAAGCATAAAGGATGGACAGTAAGATGAGGAGGAAAATGGATGACAGCCTGATTTGGCAGGATGTCCAGTGCTTTTAGTGAATAGCCTTCCCCACTCTGGTGCTCCCCAAATAAACCGAACGGCAACTTCCATCATTCCCGTGGGAAAAATTGGCCATCGCTAATTTATCATTACGAACCTGAGGCCCAGTGATTTAAATAGGCCTGCTCTATGTATGAGCCAACCCTGATCAGCCATTTTGCGTCAAAGTGCAAATAACTCCTAATGGTTTGTTAAACAGAAGTTATGCTCAAACTTCTCTAGGATTTTTAGCAGGCCTGTTACCTGCTAATGTCCAACGTGATCATTCCAAATTCGTTTTTCATCTTATATTTCCCAGCTGGACTGAGACGGGGGTCAATCCGAACTCCATTTTTATACCTGGATAGGTGCAAATAAGGAGACAGACATTAAAAAGTGTTTGCAGATGCTTTACGTCCCTGAAAAGGATGCAGCTTCCCATTAGAGATGGATGGCTTGGCTTTCTGGATTTTGCATTGTATCATCAGGCCTTCTGCTGACCTGTACAAAATGTTGGTCTTTCCTATTTAGGTTGAATTTTCCACCTTGGCCTGTTTGGAATGGTTCTGGCCTGGGTCCTTTTTTCTGAACAGATGGCATCAGGCTCTCGGCATGTTGGAATGGTTAGAATTGCTCCTAGTACAGCTGTTGGAGACCTGTGGTGGACAATCTCTCATACACTTTGACCCATTCTCCTTATACTAAATTAATTGTGTGGAGAAGCCCAGACTTTAAAACTTAAACCCACTGTTAAAAAAAATTCTTCTGGATGGACAAGCTGATTTATACTTTAATGGGGGTTGATGATCATTTGCCATTTTTGGCTTTTTATAGCAAATACGATTCCCCTGCAGCCTCTGAAAGGCAGTACTCACAACTGCCATGATTGTTAGAATCTAGATTTGGTCCTGCTGCTTTGCTACTGGCAGACATACTGACCTGGAATTCATGTTCATAAATACTCATCAGTGAATAACGAGGATCCCCGGGATCTTAAGCAGGGATGGGACAGGAAACTGGATTGGCCTATTTTGTTTAATCAGCGGATTGCCACTTCAGTGTCAGTCAGTCCCAGGTGACTTCTGCTTCGGCAGAAACCCCGAAGATCTGGTTTGAGGTCTTGTTGGTGCCGCAGCAGCTCAGCATAAGGGTTTGTTCAAGTTGGTTACTGTTTGTGTTGCCCAGCTGACTCAGTGGCAGGAATTCCTGAGGCATTGTGTCACCAGACAGGGCTGGAATGTGTGCGTGCACACGCGTGTGCTCCTCCACTGGAAGGACAAGCCTGTCAGAAGCTGTAGCACCCGGCAGAGCAAGCTGGCTTTCTTCCACAGGAGGAAAGAGCATGGCAGCTTTGAATCTAGCTAGCAAGAGACGACAAAGGCCGCTTGCTCCCACACAAAGTCTCCTCAGCCCTGAGATGCTCTTCACAAGCCTTTCTTCAGGACCACCACCAACTGAAGTGAAGTGGGTAGAAACTCCAAAACAGGGCCTTTTAGTGCTGGCACCTGGTCTTTGGAATGCCTTCTCCAGAGAAGCCATTAATTCGGTTATCATTTCAATAGCAGAGGAACGCCTATTAATGTGTGCAGGCCTTTTAGATGTTCGGAACCTGGAATGGGTTTTAAGCAGCTTTAATATTCCCACTGTTGTGATGTTTATGTTAAATTGCTGGTTCTAATTGTTGGTCATTGTGGACTTTCCTTCTCCCACCTGATGGTGCAGTGCGGACTGTGATTGTGCCCCATCAGCCCGCAATTTAGGTGGGGCAAATTAAACACATTGAAAGGTATTTGCTATTTGGAAAAGGAAAGATTGAAGTGAGCTTGCTGGACCTTTAGCCTGCTGGCCAAATCCAACCTTCCAGGATTTCTGTCCTTTTTCCACAGGGCAGTTTGGTGATTTCTTGGCTTTTCCACATCCTGAAAGGCTGAAACGCCCCTGCTAAGACTTATTTATTGGCAGTAAATTTGCTCAATTATTTACTGCCAATAAATGCCAGCAGCTTTGGCCCTTCCCCTTTCACCTTCTGCCCTGGTCACCCCTGGAATGTGGCCCCCAAAAGTCACCCCACATGGACTGGCTTCAGAACAGATTGCATTCTTGAGAAACAAAAGGTAACCATCACATGACTCAGATAAGCTCTCCCCAGACAATGCAGTGTTTGCTCTATTTGATGGAAAGCAACTAGTCACTTCATTCTCAAAAACCTGGAAATGCAAAACCAAAATCAGGAATGAGTGGCTTGATGCCACAGCTGAAGGCAGAGAGGGCGTGGAGAGGCCTCTGTCTGAAGATGACCTCTATTTAAAGGACCCCAAGTTCAGTTTAAAGACAGGGAACCCCAAGAACCATTGCCCACCCGTGGTGAGCAACCGAGCAGCGGCTGGAACAAGTGGGCGTGTGAGAGGACACCTGCACCGTGTTGAGGTGAACTCTGTTGCTATTGAATGATCACAATTGCTTCCGCATTCGCAGGTGTACACATCACTTAGCGTGTGCAAATGCTGGAGCACAGGCAGTGCTCCTTCCAAAAGAGAAGCACCTCCTTCCGTTCTGGGAGCTCCCATGAAGCCAGAGGAGGCTGGTTTGGACCTTTCTCCCTGACTTGCTCCATGCAGGGTGGAGTATCCACACATGCCCCACCATCCTTTGCAGCCCCAATGGCTTTCCCAGAAAGGCTTCCATGCTGGGTCCCATCAGCTGGCTCTGAGGCACTGGTTCAAACTGCAGGGCGTCCCAGAACGGGTCATATAAACATCGTCACCTGCCCACTTACCAGGTCACCTCTGGCGGCGGAAAGGCCAGGACGGTGCACTCCAGTGTGACGCTCATTCGCTCCCAGACGGCGTGAGCGCGGAGAGGGATCCAGAACATCGGGGCTCGGCTCGACAGCAGTTCCATGACCTCCTTCTCCAGCTGTGCCTTTGCTTCAGCCTAGGACAAGGACCACAGGCGGCTGCACAACCTTTTATCTTCCTGCTCTATAAATACGCTGGCAGGAACAGCACGGGCACCTCTTGGCACACATCTCCTTCCCACTTCAAAACAAGCAGGCAGCGCTCTGGAACCTCTGGGGCCAAGCGGCTCTGTGGCACATGCAGGGCAGCCCTGGACCCGGGGTGGACCCTGCCAGTTGGAAGATTTCCCTTCTTCCCATGGATTTTATATGCCCCTGATTCTCCAGACACACAGAACACAAAAGCTTATTAACCTGTAAGAGGACACAGAATTGCAATTCTAACTTTGCTTACTACGTAATAGATTTTGATTTTTAAAGGCATCCCTGTCTTCATGCAGCAACATTTGGGGTCTTCTAGCTTTTGTGCGGTTTCTCCTTCACTCAAATGCCTCTCTACTGGCAGTCAGGGTGTTGAGCTGGCCTGTGCTAATATCTTGGCCTTGCTCCTTGTGCCTTCAGCTCTGCCCACCACTGGGATACAGCCCCCGAGACCTTCTCTAGAAGCAGTTTGGCCCTCAGCCTGAAGGATGTCAGGCACCCCTGCTCTCGGGAAATCCTACTGTTTATAATCTATGGTGCCGGCATTTATGCTGTCCTGAAGTTTTGAGCATCAAATATGCCTCTGTATTTTATCATGTGATGTGTTGTTTTGCAGCCTTTGCTCTTCCCGCCAAGGCAAAGAGACTTTGGAACCTGAAAACAGGAAGGAGATTTGCTGCTGGCTCAGTTATTTCCATGCACAGTTGTTCTCTCGCCCACAAATACCTCTGCATGGCCGGTCAGACATGGCTCCTCCGGGCTGCACTGTGCAAGGCGCTTCAGGTGGAGCTCTTGACAAAGCGAATTGAGCAATGTGGGCGAAAGGGCAGGCCAGCGGTTTCCCGGGCTCCATATCGGCCATGGCCTGACGTCGCCTGCCAGACTGTACGCAATGCTTATAGTGACACGGCAGCACGAGCGAACCTCTTTCTGCTGCCACTGAGTTTCGCCGTTGAGCCACCGGTTGGGCACGTGCCCAGCAGAAAGCCTTCCCCTCACCTTTCTCCGGAGAGCCTTCTTGTCGGCCCTCACACGCAGCAGGCGGCAGTTTCTAATGACAGCTTTCTCCAGCTTCTCCATGTCGTTTCCGAACCGGACCCTTTTCTGGCCCCTTTCCTCCAGCTCCAGGATGGCCACCTCCTTCCTCTTCTTGGTTTCCCTGGGGAGGACGAGGGTCAAGCACAGCACTTGCTTTGGGAGGCAGCCTGCGGGAGCCCGGCTGGGCCTGACCCGTCTCCCTTGACCCCTTCACTGCCCACCTCCCCACCCACCCTTCCCTTTTGTACTGCCATACTCTGGATCAGCACACGTGCGCAGCATCCTTGGACACCCACTGGGGTCCAAGGCCCACTAGGACTAGGGTGGTCGCCATGTGTCCTATTTCACTGAGGACAGTCCTCTGCTGGCAGGTGTCCTCTCTCCCTGAAAGGCTGTCTTGCCCAAGAAAGATAAAGAACCACAAGAGGGGATGGTTTCCACCCACCTGGACACTGTGGGTGAGACCGGAGGCCTGCACCTATTTGCGTGCTCCCAGGGTTGGCGGGGAGGGGGGCCTACTCAGTGGCAGCCCCCCGTTGTGGAACAAGCTCTCTGCTGAGTCCTCACCAATGCTGTCTCTTCAGCACCAGAACAAGACTGTCCTCTGTGACAAGCCATATGCTCAGCCCCAACTAGCATTATGTCAGGTTTTATGTCTTAATTTGTGTCTTGTGCTAACAATTGAAGTTGGGTTTTAAATGTAGTTTTAAATTTTGTATTATAGGCAGAAGATGAAAGGGAATTGCAAACATGGGATGGATTGACTCCATGCAGGAAGCCACAGCCTCAGACTTGGAAGTGCTGAACGGAGCCGTCATGGAGAGAACTTTCTGGCGGGCATTTTTTCATACGCTCGCCATAGGTCAAAGACGTCTTGACAGCACGTTATAACAACAGTATTATTTTATGATATTGCATTTATGTGGTATTCTATGTGCTCTAGTCAAGTGCCACGAGAACTGGGCTATTGGCCAGTTTAGAAATACCACAACCATAACAACAGTTACTGTTACCCACCCACAATTAGCACCAGGAAAGTGGCCAGAACAGGGAGCCCCACTGCTCTTCTATCTCTATTGCTGAATTATACTAAGTTTCTGAATGTGCATCTATGTAAATGAACTTTCACATGCAAATGGTGTGCGGGTCACCTGCTCTTTTGTCCTCTTTCCTGTCCTCTGTTGGGGCAAAAGAAACTGCCTAAGGACAAGTGGCAGATAGCTAGAAGGGGGGGGGGGGGCATTTCCATTGGGAAAAAAATTCAGGAAAACCTGTTCCTCCCCTCCCTACACATCCCAGCCTCTTCAGATGCTAACTGGATGGGCAAGGCTCTTACTCCTTTTTAGCTTTAAACTGGAGATGAACAGGACAGCCCACCCGATGGAGGAGGCCTTTAAATAGAGAACCGTCCCACTGAAGCCCTTCCAAGAGAGGACTGTAAAAGAGGACACATGGTGGCCACCCTACTTACATTGGGGAAACTTCCCATTCGTTTTCTCTAATGGAGCAAATTCCAGTTTCCAGTGGGTGGCTGTGCTCTACTACTATCATTACATTACATTTCTACAATAACCACAACCAAAGCTTTCTGAGCAGTTCACAACACCGAAGTCACCCATCCAGATTTCAACCAGGCCTGACCCCACTTAGCTTCCAAGTTTAGGCAAGAGCAGGCACTTCAGGCTATGTGGAAGCTATAATTGAATGGGCCAATGGCCAGGGAAGTAAATGGCAGCATCACAGCCCCAGAACAACTCAGCCAGGACTCAGGTGGGTGTGACACTGCATTGTTTTTAAGCAAAAGGTGGCCCATTTACAAAACCCTTGTCGTGCTTGGTTTGAAGTCTTGTTGAAATCAGTTGGGCTGTGCATTTCTTCTCTTTCTGACAAGCTTTGCATTCTGATATTGCTTTTGAAGTGACCCCGTAACTACACATGAAATTGATGATTGGAGAAAGGCCATCTGAACTCCCTGTGAAGAGCATCTAGTGAAGGTCCCGGCTCCAAGCTCTGGCATCTCCAGGTTGGACTAGGAAAGGCTTCCATCTGAAACCTGGAAAAGCTGCTAATGCTCTTTGGAGATGACACTCGGTTGCATCTACAGTACAACACAACTCCCTTTGCAACCTTAAAACGAGAATGTTCATGGGACGTTTTCAGGGTAAATCTTCAGCTAGACTCTAGAAGATCCTTTCAGGTCACGTGCTCAAAATGTCACTCTCATGGATGAGAAACTTGTCCCCCTCCCCAAAGTACTTGGACCACCATCCCATTGGATGACAAATTTTGTAGGGCAAAATATCTGGAAGGCTACAATTTACCACCTCTCTTTATATCCATCTTACATGCAGAGTTTGTGCAAATTTATAGACAGTTACATTTCAAAGACCAATGACTCTTTCTGAACCTGTCAGACTTTAGAATTTGAGGAAATATTTATCAAGTAAACCATCAAACATACCATGATTCTTCCATTGTCAATGCGAGGGCAGCTGCTATGGACAAATCTGAAAGTGTGAAGCCTTCCTCTTCTTCACTGTCACATGTGGGAGTTCATGGAGGCAAGATGGAAAATAAAAATGAATGAACGCATACCAGCAAATGTGACAAGATGTAGGGAAGGAGGCAACATTCTTAGAGAAACCTGTTGTAAAATTACTATCAACATCACAGAAACAACCATGGAGATTTCATTATTATGCAGGAGGAGTGACCCACCACCATCGTGGCCGCCCAAGCCCGACCACCGTGCCCAAGCCCGCCGCTGCCGCCTGCACCAGCGCCGAGGACCCTGCTCCGGCCCCACCCCCTCGGCATGAGTGGGAGACGCGCCGGGATGGGCGGGGAGCGGGGGGAGCAGCCCGGCGGCCTTCAAAGCGCTGGCGGTGCCCGGGGCCGGTGGCCTCGGGCCGGCGGCTGAAGGGTGGTGACGCTGTTAGGGGCTGAGCGGGGGCTGGGCTGGCCAGGGGTTCAGGTCGGGGCCAGGCTGGCTGGTTGTTGGCTGGCGGGAGATTAAGGTGGGTGTGCTTTTAACTGTTTTAACCATTTTAATTGTTTTAGTTGTTTTTAGGGGTCCATCTCGTGCTACAGTATAGTATGTTATCACCTGGGGAGCGCGTGGGTGCCACCACTGGGGTGGTGATGGGCAATGGACGTTATGGCGTTGGGGGTTTAACGTGTCCGCATAGAAGAAGGAGGGACAGATGGTTAACACCTGTTCCTCCTTCTGGTTATTCCCCCAGTCGGAGGGTTCCAGGTAGCCCTGTCAACCGCCCCCCCCCCCCCCCGGGCCTGATGGTGCTGTTGCTTAATGTCAGGTCAGTCCAAAATAAAGCAACGCTCATCCACGATTTGATCGTGGATGAGGGTGCCGACCTGGCCTGTATCACAGAGACCTGGGTGGGGGAGAGGGGAGATGTTGCTCTCTCACAGCTGCGCCCGCCCGGGTATCTGGTCCAGCACCGTCCATGCCTGGAGGGGAGGGGGGTCACTCTGGTTTATCGAGCTTCTCTTCTCCTTGTGGGGCTTCCTGTCCTCTCGAGGCCGGGTCTAGAGTGCCTCCACTTGGTGCTGGGAGACCGAGACAGACTGGGGATTCTGCTGGTGTACCATGCACCCTTCTGCCCAATGAACTCCCTGCCTGAGCTGACGGAGATTGTCTTGGACCTGGTGTTGAGGACTCCCAGGATGTTGGTCCTGAGGGACTTCAACCTCCATGCCGAGATGGTTCTGACCGGGGCGGTTCAGGACTTCATGGCCTCCATGACAGCCATGGGGCTGTCTCAACGCGCCAGTGGCCCGACCCATAAACGTGGACACACTCTGGACCTGGTTTTCTTGATGGGGCAGTTAGAAGGTGATCTGAGGGTGAGGAACTTACGTTTGACGCCCTTGTCACGGTCAGACCACTTCCTTGTGAGGTTTGAGCTTGATGGCGGCCTTTCCCTCTGTAAGGGTGCGGACCCGATTGTGCTGGTCCGCCCCCAGAGTCAGATGGATCCTGATAGATTCCTGAAGGCTCTGGGGGATTTTCCAGTTGATAAGGCTGGTGCTCCTGTCAATGCCTTGGTTGAACTATGGAATGGGGAGATGACCAGGGCTATTGACACGATTGCTCCTAAGCGTCCTCTCCCACCTGGCAGAGCCCGTTCATCTCCTTGGTATACACCTGAATTATGGGCGATGAAGCGGGTTGGGAGACGTCTGGAGCGTAGGTGGAGGAGATCACGGGATGAATCTGACCGAACACACTTAAGAGCCCACTATCGGGCCTATGCTGTGGCAGTGAGGGCGGCGAAGAAGAAATTCTTCTCCGCTTCCATTGCCTCTTCACAATGCCGTCCGGCAGAGCTCTTTCGGGTGGTGTAGGGGCTGGTAAATCTGGGCCCAAAGAAAGATCTGGTGCCACCCTCAAAGGCCCGCTGTGACGACTTCACCAAGCATTTTAGGGAGAAAATCGCTCAGATTCTTCACAAGCTGGACTCTACTATTGAATCAGATTCTTTTGGGGAGGTGCCAATGATGCCGTCGAGTCCTCAATTGTTGGATGAACTTCAGTTGCTGCAGCCTGATGATGTGGACAAGGTGCTTGGACAAGTACGTCCTACCACCTGCTTACTAGACCCTTGCCCAAGGACGGGAACGTGACCTGGATCCTGGAGGTGGTCAACGCCTCTTTTAGAGACGGCCTGGTGCCTGTCCCTTTAAAGGAGGTGGTAGTCCGGCCAGTCCTAAAGAAGGCATCCCTGGATCCAGAGGTGGCTGCCAATTATAGACCGGTGGCCAACATTCCGTTCCTGGGCAAGGTGCTAGAGCAGGTGGTGGCGGGACAAATCCAGGCACTCTTGGATGGAACTATTATCTGGATCCATTTCAGTCCGGCTTCAGACCCGGGTATGGTACTGAATCTGCCTTGGTTGCCCTGTACGATGACCTGTGCAGGGAGAGAGACAGGGGGAGTGCGTCCCTGTTGGTTCTCCTGGACCTCTCAGCGGCTTTCGATACCATCGACCATGGTATCCTTCTGGATAGGCTAGCGGGACTGGGAGTTGGAGGCACCGCTTTGTGGTGGTTCCGCTCCTATCTCGATGGCTGGTTCCAGAAGGTGGTGCTGGGGGACTATGGCTCTGCACCATGGCAGCTATGCCATGGAGTACCACAGGGGTCCATTTTGTCCCCCTTGCTATTTAACATCTACATGAAACCGCTGGGAGAGGTCATCAGGAGGAGTGGGCTGCGGAGTCATCAGTACGCTAATGATACCCAGCTCTACCTCTCGTTCTCCACCAATCCAGGTGAGGCAGTGGCTGTACTGAACCGGTACCTGGCCGAGGTAATGGGCTGGATGAGGGCCAATAAACTGAAGCTCAATCCAGGCAAGACGGAGGTCCTGTTGGTGGGTGGTTCGGGCTTTGGGGTGAGGGACTTGGGCCTTGTCCTAAATGGGGTTGCACTCCCTCTGAGGGACAGGGTTCGCAGCTTGGGAGTGCTCCTCGACCCTGAGCTGTCATTAGAAGCTCAGGTGACGGCGGTGGTGAGGAGCGCCTTCCTTCAGCTTCGGCTGATCCATCAGCTGCGTCCCTATCTGGAGAACGACTGCCTGGCGACAGTGACCCACGCGTTGGTAACTTCCCGACTAGATTTCTGTAACACGCTCTATGTGGGGCATCCCTTGAAGACAGTCCGGATACTTCAGTTGGTGCAAAATGGAGCTGCCAGGCTGCTGACGGGGACTGGGCATTGTTCTCATTTAACCCCAGTTCTCCGTCAGCTTCACTGGCTCCCCATTGAAGTCTGGGCCCAATTCAAGGTGTTGGTTATGACCTATAAAGCCCTTAACGGCTTGGGACCTGGTTATTTAAAGGAACATCTGTGTCCATATATGCCCACCCACCCCCTACAATCGGCAGTGGATGCCCTTCTTCGGGAACCCTCCGTGAAGGATATTAGGAGGGTGAGTACCCGGAGGAGGGCCTTTTCTGCAGTGGCACCCCACCTATGGAATGCGCTCCCCAGAGAGGTCCGCCTGGTGCTGTCATTATTTGCTTTTCAGTGCCAGGTGAAGACCTTTTTATTTAAAAGTTATTTTAACTGTTAATTTATTATTATTGTATCTATAGATTTTAATATATAGCCGAGATGGGACCAGTTTTTAAATTATTGCTTGTATTTTATGTATGTTGTGAGCCGCCCCGAGGCTTTGTTGTGATGCGGGCGGCATAGAAATGTTTTACATAAATAAATAAAATAAATGTTAGGATCTTTAATAATGAAAAGCAATTCATTTTATGTTGAAAATTATTTTCATCAGAAAATTATTATTATTATTATTATTATTATTATTATTATTATTATTATAACATTTCTATGCCGCCCCTTGCCGAAACCTCGGGGCGGCTTACAACATGATAAAATACATTGAAAATTACCAATTTCATGTAATGGCTTTGGATTTTAGCAACTTTTCTTGGCTTTAAAAGACTCCTAGACTGCACCTGCTCCTGAATTTAGCCTGTACTTTTATTGTTTTATCTTTTATCATGAGCCATTTTAAACCGAGATGTCGCCCCCCCCTTGAGAGTTACACACAGAAATGCAGGATTGAAAAGCCAGATAAACTAGGATTGTAGTCACTTACTACACATTTACTAGGGTGTAAGTGCCATTGAGCTCAATAGGATGTACATCTGAATAGACATGTGTAAACATTTTGCCTGTAGTACTATATACACTTACCTGTGAGTAGGTCCCATTGAAGTCAATGGAATGATCTTCTGAGCATTTATTTATTTAAAGCTTTTATACATGGTCCACTAATGAGGTTTCGGGACAGTCTTACAATAAAACGAAGTGGAGCACAGCATCCAAATAGATTTTCTATACAATAAAATCCCACATTAAACACATTAAAGTGGGGATGCATACTTTGCCTGGGAGGCCCAGTTCAACAAGACCCCATGAAATGGGAGTTTGGGGTTTGGAGACAGCCTGAATGTTCCACTAGGGCTACTGGCAGAGTCCTGTCTTTTATGGGAATGGAGTTGTGGGTACTAGCACCTACGTTGCAAGGTGACTGTATTGATGGCTCACCATTTTTCTCGAGACCTCAGCGTGGCTGGCGGAGTTCTCCTCCACTCCATTTTTAACCTCGCAACAACAGCCCTGCGAGGGAGGCTGGGTCAAGCGTCTGGGAATGGCCCGAAGGCACCCCGTGAGCATTGTGGCTGAGTGGGGACTGGAACCCAGACCTCCTGGTCTCTAGTCCAACAAGTTAACCACCACGCTGACTCTGTGAGCTTAGGCAGGTTGCTGGTTAATAGTCCGTGGTAGGAGGTTGATGTTCCATCCAAAAGGAGATAATGGATAGGAGACCGTTTCCTGGCAGGTAGGAGATGTATACGCTTCCATGGTAATCCAGCCTCTCTCTCGTTCTTACATGCACAGAGCTAAAGGGAGCAAAAGAACCTCTTCGAATGCCTTTGAGCCACTCACTCTTTAGCAGCCTGACCTACCTTACAGGGGTGTTGTTGTGAGGGTAAAATGGTAGTGGCCGCAGCAAGGAACATGTAATAAACAACGCCTTGCCAGTTAAGAGAGTGAGCAGACATTTCAATATACATCTATACATAGGTGATATAATGCACGTTGCACGTGGCCCCAGATGAAAAGAAATGACCAGCCATCATGCAACCAGTTAATGTATCTTATATGCTTTGCTTTTTTGAAATTTATACACTAAATGCAAGGCTGCTCATTGTTTATTGGGTTGTTTTTCAATTCAGAAAAAACAGAATTCCTGACAGTTAGGACCCCAAAGGCATGGAATGGGCTCCCATGGGAGGTGGTTGAGGCCCCATCAGTGAGGGTGTTCAAGAATAGGCTGGACGTGCACTTGGTAGGCATGTCATGAGGGAAGCCAGCTAGAGCCGGGGGTCAGACTAGATGGCCTGGGAGACCCCTTCTGTTACTATCTTTCTAAATGCAATTTAGAAGTTACAGGTATTTATCTCAAATTTAGCACATAGAAAAGCTGGCATTTCTGGTTGATTTTTGTAAATGTCCCAAAACATGTAGTAGCAACATGTCTTAGTTTTCATGCATTTGCCTACAATTTTCACAAAAAAATATGTTTACATTCTCTAAATTGTGGGGATTTGCTGCAACATATACCATCACTTAAAAACACCAACACTAACACTGGGTTGTGTTATTTCCTTAACCCATTGGCGCACCTGGTCCTAAACTTTGCCTTCCTTGTTCTAGAGGACATTTGAAAATCTCGGTGTCTCTCTTCTTTTTGCTCTTCCTCCCTGTGATGGGAAAAGGTCCGGATTTCCATGATGGCCGCTCGAGAGGAATCAAACCTGCCAAAATGACGACATCAAACACTCCGTAAGTTCAGCTTTCAGAAAGAGCAAAAAGCGGCTTCTCCCCTTTCCGTAATTATACAGAGCATAGTATTTCCATGGTGATTTCTGTTCCCTTACATCTGGGTTGCTGAACCTCCTGAAGCCCAAGGGCTGCACCAAGAAGCTCTCCGGGGCCCATTCTGGAGGTGGGAGGGCCAGAAAGGGGCGTCCCATTCATTGCAACTTGGTTGAGCTCGACAGGTGCTGAACTCCACCCCCCAAATAGGTTCACTGCCAAGGAACAGCATGGAAAGCTCAACATAAAACCACCAGCCTTTCCTGGACACTGCCATAGTTCAGTTTAAAGCTCTCACTGCCAATTGTTCAGAGAGGCATTTCAAATTTTCAGAATGGGAGGAAACCCACATAGCAGCCAGGAAAACATCAAACTAACTGTGATTGAGGGAGGGGGTGAGGCCAGAGAAGGGTGTGAGGTGAGCCAGGAGATTCGGAGAAGATAGGATGCCTGAGGTTCAAGACCCCTGTCTGAAAGCCTTTTCCAACCTGGTGCGGTCCAGAAGCCATTGGCTATGCTGGCTGAAAATAAGAGGAATAACAATCCCGCACATCCAAAGTGCTGGGGGAAGGCTGCCTGGAAGGGATTTGACATTGCCTCAGTGATGGAGCGCATCACTGGAGACGGGTTTCCTGCCCTCCCTTGGCACCAAGCCCCCAGTCCAAGCCCCGCCCCCATGAGTGTTCTGAGTCCAAGAAAAATACATGGCCCTCCTGCATCATCTTTAGTTTTGCCCTTTTGAAATACGCTTTCTCCTCTGAAAGGCTTGCCAGAGTTAGGTTTGTAATCAGACCCTTTAAAAAAGAAAACAAAGACATTTTCCAATTGTCCTGAGCCGTGAAGGTGGAGCAGGCTAAAAGTCCAAATAACTGGAGTGAGAACACATGCTGAGCAATTAACGGCATCAGAATACTAGGCCTAGAAAATGATGGTTAACCTCCACCGCCAGCACCACTGGACAGCATTCCAGGATCACCTTCCTATTTAAAACTCAAGCAAGAGAACAGCCGGAGTAATTACAAAAAAAGACTCAGCCAACCACGTCCCTAGAGGTGGAACTAGGGAAGCCAACAATGCCGCTCGTCTTGGCTTACGTCCATTTCGAGTTTTCCACTGCCAAAAGAGAGCAGTTACCCTGCCCTTTGAGATCATCAAGAGCCTCCTTTTAGACACTGCTCGAATGCCCAGGGGATTAAATGCAAACAGCTCTCCAAAGTACTCCTTGACCACCCCAAAGAATTCCAGAATCCTGTTCAGAAGAGCAATTCTAGCTCCGCTTCAGTGAGCTTCATCTATAATAATAAAAGTGAGTGCCTGTCTGTCTGTCAGCACCGACGCGACAAGATGCCTGAAAGTTGGCGTGGGCGCACAGTGAGCCCAGGAGTTTTGGGTTTTTTCTTTAGTGTTCAGGTAAACATGTCCAAGTCTGAGGCCTACAGTGACGTCTTGGACTCTTAGGCAGCAGACAACTCTGACCAGCAAACAGCTTTGCATTCGCAGCCCAGAAAGATTAGTAGGACAAAGGGTTACATGGGGAGATGGTCTCAGGCCTGGCAATGGAGGGGGCGGCACCTGGGAGCTTGGGGTGGGGGGTGGAACTGGGGGAGAAGCCCACCAAAGCATTGGGGTCCAGAGGGGAGGGATCGGCCCCTCCCATTCGAGTGCAACAGCAGGGCTTGGCCTCCCTGCCACGTGCTTCTCACTCTTTCTCTTTCTAACTTCTGGGGTATGGGTCCTGTTCCCAAAACAGCATCGTCCACGCACAGGGAGGTGCCTGTGGGGGCCACGAGTTTTGCAGAAGCATAACACATCCCCAGAGCAGTCCGTGGGGCGCTGGCCGTCAGCGGCCACGGGATCCTGACTATTGAGAGGGAAACCAGGTGTGGGGAAGGCAAGGGGGCACTGGGAAGGAGGGCACGGCTGGCCGGCTGGCCGGGGGCACCGGGGGCACCGTGCTACATACAGTACGCAGCACTGCAACGTTTTATTTCAGCTCCCACTTGTAATTCCTGTGCTGGGACACTGTGCCAGACAGGCACACTGACAGAAAGAACGTTCTTGGGAAAGAAAGGTGGCTTACACTTTGCAACGGGAGAGCCGGTTTGGCTGACATGTTGGCCCAGTACGGGCTACTTAACCCTTGAGGCGCTGCGGCATGTGCCAGCTGCTGTTTGAAATATGCAGCCCCAGCCAGGGATTGCCATGTTGTGAGAACCCAGTTGGTGGAGGTTACTGAAGGATCAACAATCCTTGCAAAAGCAATGGCTGGCCTGCACTGCAGCTCCTCGTTAAGCTATAACTCGCTGTCGTGTCACGAGAAGCGAGCCACAGAAAATACCTTGTCCCCTTTCTTCTAGTGGCTTATCCTAAGAAACATGCAAGCGGGCAGAGAGCATAGGAGAATTTTCAGAAATGGAACTCCATGTGCAGGGACCCATCCTGCTATGTCCTGAGTCCCTACCCTGTGAGTTTTCACACTTTTAAGCAGATGTCTAGTTGGTTCTCTTGACTGATCTTCTCTCCCTGGAAATCCTGAAAAGGAGTTGAAATTAATACCCTGAAATTTCACGACATACATCAATCCTAACAGATGACCATCTCAGAAATGGTTTCGCCCAGCCCTCCCCAAGCCGGCTCACTCAACCATTAACCCCAAGGACTTTTGGAGAGCCAGTGTGTCACCAGCGATTAGAGAGCCGAGTGGGTAATTTTATTTCTAGCTTTACTGCATACTCCATTTCACATTTGGAAGGTGCATTTTCTATTTTAATTGTTACAACTGGGGCTAATGCTTTTAATAAACTGTTTACCCATGAATGCAAGCAGCAGGTTTTAAAATAGCCCGTGTGTTAAACTGCTGCAATGAGCAGCCATAAACTATTCAGGCTGGAACACACATGTGCTCCCATCACTCTCACACCCGCGGTGCTCGGCAGGGAGAGCGATTTCATCCCTGCAGCAGGAGGGAGGTTAGTAATCCCAGTGAGTAGAACAGCAGCAGCTTGAAACCACTGTGAGGAGGATGCAAATACATTGGAGGATTTCCCAGGGTTGCTTTTGAGCGATATATCTGCAAAGAAAAACCACTGGACTTTTTCAGCATGCAGTGCCAGTGCTGCTTGTCTAATTGGCGTCTTCCCTGGGAGCTTCTTTTGGGTGATGCATTTCCTTCTGTTTTAGTGACCTATGAGTGCCCCCCCCCCCCGCCCAAACTGGGGCCGTCCTTTGGCCTCTTGCAGGCCCTGCCCACTTAGCTTCTGAGCATCAGCACCTGTTGCTTCGCAGTTGGATGAAGGCAGCCCATAATCAGCTCTTCTGGGGCAGGGGCACGCTTGTGCCATGCAGTCTGATGAGGGCAGATACAAGTTTCTATCTGACTATGAAAAAGATTTCACTTACACATGCATAATGCCAGACGAGGTTTCGGTTGCACCATTGCCCTGCCTCATTCATATCGACCTCTCCTTGCAGCCCACCCGTCTTTCCCCACTGCCTGTTATTTTTTCCTCTTAGAGAAGAAAGCGCATTAAGGAGAAAAAGGTGGAAATGCTCCATAGCACGGGGGGCATTCTGTTTGGAAACACCCTGGGTTGCAACTGGGACTGTCGAGGACCCGTTATATAAACATTCCACTCTCCATAGAGTAATAAAACTAAAGTCCTTTAATGTTAATTGTCTACAAGATTTACAATACTATAGATAAGTTCCCTAATAGCGGTCCCTGCTAGGCAGATGTCAGCCCTATAACGGCTTCTCTTTCTGAGCCCACATGGGATCATTCTCCCAAGTCACGCCTTTCCTCTCTCTTACGCTGCCTGCTTTGTATTTGTTCAAATCTGCATAAAAGGCGTCTGTTTTCAGCTTTTGAGAAATCCACGACACCTATTGTGTCTTCTGTTTCTGGCTCGGGGAGATCAGCGTCAGGAGGGGAGGAGGCAGTTTGCTCTGCCTCTTTCTCATGACTCTCTGTCTCTGATAAAGGTCCAGGCGTTTGCTCAGTGATCTGGGGCTCAGGGGAAGACGCAGTAGCTGGTTCAGCCGTCCTTACATTGGGTTGTGGGGTCGACTCTTGGGCACTGGGTGCCAAGTGCAAGGTCTCCTCGTGAGTCACTGTTTCTGTCGGAGCTTCATGCACGACAGGGACTTACAGGAACCTGGGAAAGGAAATCAGGCCTGGCAGGCCGTGGGGCATAGGCAGCAGCTGTCAAAGCAGAGGTACCAGGACCAGAGCCTAGACTTTGGATCAGAGGCTGAGGCATGGCGAAGAAACAGGCCCAGGCCAGGAACCAGCCTGGCTCTCGGAACAAGGCAAGGGCACTGCCATGAGCAGGACAAAGGACAAAGGGCAGGGAGCAGGTGCTGCGGATGGTGGAACCAGGCAGGAGGCGAGGCGAGGCGAGGCGAGGCGAGGCAAGGAACCGCATCAGGAAGATGCAGGCACCAGAACTGCTGTAAGAAGACCTGCATTGCTAAGGCAGCCTCTGGAGGGAAGAGCTGCTCTTAAGTAGTATCTTCCCAGGCCTCCCAGCTGCGGCTCAGCAGGAGGCTGAGCTCCACCAGGGCCTGGGACGAATTCTGCAAATACCGCAGTGGCTGCTCTGGTTCTGGCCACCAGTGGAGGTCTGGAGGGGCCCAGATCTTGATGCTGCTTCCATGAGGAATATGGTGCTTCAGAGGCTGCTTTTTCCGGTTTTTTGGCTGGCTGTTTCAAGGCTTTTCCTTTCTGCTTTTCTATATGTCCCTGTACATAACACAAGGTGGTGCTGTGGTATTAAGCAGACATGCTGAGATTCCATAGCGAATAATGGTGCCATCCAGGAAAATATCGCACTTTCTTTGCCCTAAAAGAGGTGTGAAAATGGCCTCTGGAGGGTGAGTCACCACAAGTGTGAGATCATGAGCACACAATAAATGCCTTGGGTAGAGAATCCCAGCATCAGCTTTACGTTCGATTACAGTGTCCCATTCAGAGAAAAAGCCAGCATGTGACCTTGCATCCAGCAGGCGACAAGGGCCAGCACGGAGACCTGTGTGCTCTCACAACACGCAAGTGAAGTCTCTGCGCATGTTGCCATGGGCCGGAATGGGATAGGACCGTAGAAAGGAGGTCCTTTCTAGCTCCAAGAAAGGTTTAGGCTTTGGCTGTAGAAATACCTCCACAGGTAAGTGCTGTTGACAGAAATAAATGCGTTAAGCTTGGAGGATCTGCTGTACACATTGCTGGATGCTTTAGCAGAGAAAGCCTAGTCCAGAAGGAGAGGAAGCTGAGCCCTGTTCCTTGGCCCAGCTGCAGGGTCACCCTCTGCCCAGCCCTGTCAGGGTCTTCTGTCAAAATTTCCGAGGGCCTTGGGCAGAGAGGAGGGGAGGTGGGGAACAGGCTGAGAGATGGCCAGGCATCAGGAAAAATCCAAGTGTCAGAGAGAGGAACGGCTCCCTGAATCAAGAGACACACCTCTTCTGTATGGGCATATAATTATGCGTCATATTATTGCATTAAGTACGTTTGTTTTGATTTTGTATTGTGGCTAATATTGTATTTGAACTTGTATTTGCTTTGATTAGTCTACTGTACGTATACAGATTTTGTATTTTTGCCTATCATAATTGTTAAAATCACATTATTGTATTTGTACTGATTTTGTACCTTGCCTTGTTGTAAGCCCCCCAGAGAGCGCTAGGGCCTACGGGGCGGCATGCAAATGTAATAAATCAAATCCTTACTACTTGAGATGTTCATGAAAGTTTTCAGTCTGTTTCTGTCTTCAGAGCTGATGTGCTTTCCCCCCAAATTAAAGACTTGAGGTTTTAATTGTTCTGAAAACTCACATGGTTGTACAATAGCACGGCAACTTATTTGATTGTGACATAATCCGCAATCCTTTCTTATTTCTAAATCATGTCTCTGTGCAGTGTGCTCTGTGATGTTCTTTCCTTCTTTAGTCTTTTAACAGCAGCTTTGTAAGGTAGGCTAGGCTGAGCTCTGGTGGGTCGCCCAGGCGATCTGGATAGCTCTGCACCTGCAGGAGGCTTTGAACGGGATGCTCTTGCACAGAGCACTCGCGTGCAAGTTCTCAGGGGTTCCAAGCCAGCGCAGCCATTAAGCCGCCCCAGCCAGCCAATCTGGGGGTCAGAGAAAGTCGGCACAGCACTGGCGATTTCTATCATCATCATCATGAAGATGTCCTCTGCCAAGAACAGGGCAAGGCGCTTATGGTATTTTTTAAATCTCACATACCAAAATAGCGTTGGCTATCACGCACGTGTGTGACATTTGCCGCCCTGTCTAGGGCAGCAGCATTTCCTGGGCATCTTCCAAAGAAGTGAAGCATCTTAGCTTGGGGGGCCTCTCCCAAGTTGCCAAAGCCCTGAAGCCCCAGGGGGGGCAGTTCCTCTTCCCCCTACCCCAGCAGCCAATCAAAACCACTCCCCTGGCCCCAGGACAGTTCTGGAAGGATTAGCACCCACGGATATATTTCCATGCACTAGGAAGAAACTGCAGCATATCAAGATCCCATGGCATGATAGGTCTGAAGAAATCTGGGGAATATTGGCCCCCACACTGGGAGGACAGAAGGCACCGGGTGCAAGTCACGTGACATGCCAGGGAGTCAGGCATTACCAGGCCTTTCAAAGGGCCTAGTGCTAGTTTCAGGCTTTCTGGAGCAGAAATTTTATTTTATAATAAAAATAATTTTATTGTATATTTTATTCATTACATGTTAGCTTCCAAAAAAAAAAAGTAATTCTATTTACCCTGAGGGCCATGCATGCAATGGGCGGTAGGGGCCTCAGTCTTCCAAAAAACAAAGCTGAGGTATGGTAAAGGCCTGCAAAAAACGGACCCATCATCCCCTCATGGAAATCAGGCTTGAATATTTTTTTAAACCACCAGGAAAATGTGGCACTACTTCACATTTGCGCTAATGTGAATGTTGTTCTGTCTACGCTAATTCAGATTCAAGTAATGTGAATTAATTCAAATCTTGCCCAGAAGTGGGTGCAGGAAGCCAGTCCCCAAGTTCACAGGATCCCATGTCATGCCCAAAAAGTCTCGTGTAGAATCCACAGGTTGGATGGATAGGACTTTAACTGGAGACTGCATGCCCTTTCGGTTTTGCTGCAGGACTGTAGTACACAAGAAGCATTTCCTTTCCTGCTTTTCTACCACATAACCTCTAGGAGGCACTGTGACATAGCAGTACAGTGCAAATGCACAAGTGGAAACAGCATTTTCTTTGGCTTAATCTTCCCTGCTCTAAAAGAAAGCTTGCCAAAATGGCTGTGGGAAAACAGAAGTGAAGCTGGAAGGTCATGGCAATATTTGAAGAACCTGTAAACAACCATGAGTAGGTATGACAAGCACACAGTGATGCCTGTGAAATCCTTACTTCAAAAAGGTTCAAGAACTTCTTTTCTGGACAACAGCAGCTTGATTTTATCGCTTCCCAGTCCCAAAACTTGACTTCCTCACTAGCAACGTCAGTCTTCTTTTCATTGCATCATGGTTCATCTGGTTTGAATGTGTGCCATAGGGTTACAATTATGCAAATGTTTAAATGCCCAGGTTTGTTGCTCCTGAGTACTCTTAGGGGCCTGCCCTTTGCGGGGATAACATGGCAGAGTTTAGAATGTTCAGCCCTTTGCAATACAAGTGCCAGGTCCGAATATCTACTGTTGTTGTTATTATTTCTATGCTGCCCCTTAACTGGAGCTTTCTGGGTAGTTTATCCATGAAGTTTACTGGAACAATAGTAACAGCGTTTCTTCTAATCCCCAACCAAACTCGGGCATGAATGAGCTCTTTGGGGCTGGAGCATCTTCTCCCACCATTCCTTGTCCCTTGCACATGAAGGCAAGCAAGCAAATAGGCTAAGGTTTGCCCTGCAAAGTAGGACAGCTTAACGTTAACTAGGATTAGATATTGCCATGGCTTGCCGTCTCAATTGCTGTATGTTTCACTTCGATTTTAAGTTGCCTTAGGTCTCCCTTCCCTTCCCTTCAACAAATTTAAATCACCATCAAAACTCCCCACGGCCACCCACGATGGCTTTTAAAGACAGATGTATAAGACTTAAGTACTTTACAAATGATAAATGGTGACAATTTATGGAGACTTGAGTTAAATACCTTCTGGAACCTAATATAAAAGTCATATTCTTTTCAGCTTGAGGATAAGGAGAGACTATTTTTCTTCCAAATGAAAAAAAAAACAAAACGATTAAATCAAACTGAAACCAAAGCAGACAATTCTTGTAAAAATGAAAAGCCAGAAAGAAAAAAGCAAATGTCTGACACAAGACATACTAAAGATTAAAAATACTATCAAAAGCAAGATACAAGCTTGGAAGAGGGTTAAATCCACATACCTTAGTTAAACAACTTTGGAGGAGAGAGAGAGAGACCTTCCCAGCGGCTTATGCTGTAAATTGCTGTTAATGCAGAGAAAAGCTAGAGCAGGTTGGCTAGGGTGGCCGTCCCGAAGAAAGACAAAGAGGTGATGCCTCCCCCCTCTGCTTGATGGCATCAAGAATGACTGTCCCGGGAAGAATGTGTCCAAGGGTGAACTGCCCACCCTTGCAGCCTTAAATATAGCATTATCTCATGACATTTCAATGACAATGGAGAGAACCATCCAGGATTTATGATCTCCAAACAGCTCTCTGTATGGGGAAACCAAGATCATTTTCCTAGGTCAGCCGTATCAATGCCCATTGTCGAACCAGCACAAGAAGGAATAGTTGCAGACAAGATATTCCGGGCCCAGAATCCCCAGAGTGCCCTTGTGCCTTATATCAGGGTCCAGGGGCCTGCTGGGAAATTAAACTGCATCTGCCTCATTCACTGCTTCTCTTCAGACTACTAAGCTGGTAAAAACAAAAAGAAAAACCGTGCTGCCTTTTTCAGAAAGAAGGCAGGCATCACCCTGCTGGAGCCACCAGGCCCGTGGGCTGCGGTGCTTGCCCCACCTCGCTGCATGCAGGCATCCAGGTTTGTGCTTTGCAACTGGGCAGGACCAGCTCCTGCCTCACCTGCAGTCCCCTTGTTACTCAGCATCTCACAGCACTCCTAGATCATTCCTGTTGTGATTGCCCCAAGCAGAACCTGGCCCACTTGTCCTGGTTTTGCGGCTTTCCAGGCACTTGGCACGGAGCCGGGTTTTCTTGCCTGCAGAAAGGGGAGATTTAGCAAGCACTAGCCGGCCACCACATACAGGGAGTGGGCCAGGAGTGCGTGCATTTGTGGCTTCACGGCACACATGATGCACAGGGGTGCCAGAAGGTGTGTGCCCACGTGCCTTTCCTCCCAGGTGTGTCTCTGAATGCAACCAGTTGGAGGCTTCCACATCACATCCTAACACCGGTCCTGGATTACTAATAGGCCCATTTACAACTTCCTCTAGGAGAAATTAGTATCACTTTCTCGAAGGGAGAGTAATCTCTGGACAAGCAGGGTAGTGGACACTCTCACCCTTCCGCCTGGCAGTGTGTCAGGATGGAGAAGGCTATTAGAAAGTGGTGCCTTCCGCACTGCAGGGGCTCCATTTCTCACCTCATGCAGCTCCCACAAAATGGGCCGAAGAGGAGGAAAAGCTACATGAACACTATGGGGTGCTGTGCAGGTCAGACCTACTTGCAAAGCAAGCTAAATTTGGCCCATTTTGTGTTCCTGGTAGCATTAGAACTGCCTGCTGCCCCCAAGAGTGCAGTGTACAGGCCACCAGAAGTTGCCTGCCCTGTCTTCCACCTTTAATCTGAACTGGTCAAGTCTATTCCACTTGGTGCTGCTACAGGTGAGGCATGTGAGGCCACTGGCTTAGCTGACTCCTTGAGTCACAACTGCTCCTGCTGAAGGGAGTCTCAGCATGTGAATTTCCCATCCTGCCTCTGTTTTCCCACGTAGGACCGCCACCGGAACATGCTGTTGTGCAGTACACTGGCCAACACTTCAATTCAAGGGCATTAACAGGCAGAGGAACCTCACATCCTAAGAAAGGAATAGGAAATTCCATGAAAGAAAAACAAACACGGCCGTGCTGATAGCTCGGTAAGAGGACCAAGTGCACTTCCGCAGACAAGGTTAAACGCACTGCCTGGTGCAGACTGCCGGCCTCACCAACCGTGTGGTTATCGTCGTTTGCTATTTGAACTAGAACCATGTGGAGAAAAGGTCTGAGGCCAGAACAGTTGAACCCCGGTGAGATGCAAGGATGCCGGCCCGTTTAGCCGGAGGCATGGGCTGCCTTGGCTGCACCTGACGCAGCTGGTGGCTGAGGTTCTTGCTGCAGGGGAGAAGGGCTTTCCTCCGCGAGTCCCAGGGATGGCCCATGTCTCCGGTTTCCCTGTCACAACACCAACTGGAACGAATGACGCGGTGGCATTTAATGGCCAGCATCACCTGGCCTGTCAGTGACGTGGGATCGCTGGGCAATCGCTGGGGAGAGCATGCTGCACCAAGGGGCTGGAACACTGTCTCTGGCAGGAGAGCAGGGCACCCCCGTTAAAGTCCTCTTGTTCCATCACAGCAGCAAAGCAACGGATGGGCAAGCTCCTGCCACCCTCCTTAGCTGCTTCCCTGACAAAAGAAATGGGAGGGAACTGTTTTGGTTGGTACCTGTTGGGAATGAAGGAGGCAGTTGTACTTGCATGAGTTTCAAGGGCAGGAAGATCCGAACTCTTCAGATGGGGAGGACGGGCCCTGGGAAATTGGGCCTCCAGATATCGAGCTGGGAGAACTGGGGGGCTTATCTCAAGGCTGTCCTCTCCAGGAGTTTAGGTGGGCTCCGAGATCAGCCAGGATCTGCAACTTCCAGGAGGGAGTGTAGGACGGGAGCGCCAGGATCCAGCCAAGTCTGGTGCGACTTGTTCTCCCGATGCAGTGTCAGCTAGAGGGGTGGCGTGCAGAGAGGAGGCTGCCCCCCTTCCTGAGGGGCCCTTCCAGGGGGAGGGGGTCCACGGTTACCCAAACGGAGGGTCTTTGGACGTATTCGCTAGATTGGGTTCAACAAAATGCTCTGATGCTCAGAGACTCATTCTCTTCAATAAAGAGCGTTGGCTTTTGTTTTTACTCGTGTTGGTTGGTTGTTCTCTCTCACACTCACACATGAGGGCTGTGGCATCTTCCTCTCCATCTCCCCCCCCCCCACTCCATGTGTGGGGCAGACCCAGAGGCAGGTGAGCAAACGGGTCACAGTGGGGAACTGGAGGAATGCGTCTGGGGAGTTCCCAGGGCACTGCTACTGGGGAGTGGGCTCCTCCCTGGCCAATGGGCATGCCAGCTGGGGATGATGAGATGAGCGGTCCAACAGAACTGGAGGCTGCCGGCAGACAGAGGCAGACAGGTCTCTGGCCTCACGTCTCGTGGCTTCTCATCTCACAGGGAGCCACGGGGATGCGGAGGTGACGAGCACTTCTTCGTGGTCTCTGTCCATCACACATTTGGGTGCAGCACCTGCGCAGTGTCTGCATTTGGGAAGATTCTCCTAGCTAAGCCTAGAATTTTTGGCAGGTGCTGTGCCCCACTTTCCCCTAGCAGAAATAGGTGGGGCCCCCACCATTTCCCCCAGTTTGCTTTTGAGTGCCGTTTTGAATGCCTCCTAGCTTTGGTATTTTTCAGCTACTTTTACCTCATGCTTTGACTATTTACACCATGTTTACCTCATGGTAAACCACCTCATACTTTCCCTCATCCCTGCTGATACTTTTTTCCATCCCTACTTCCTCCTGCAAAAACAAACAAACCTCCCCCCCCCCGCCGCCGCATTCCTACCATCTACTTATCTTCTTCCTTCATTTTTTCTTTTTCCACTGGATAGCTCTCAAGGCCACTCCCACTGCTCTCCATGAGGGCAGTCCTCTGCAAGACCTCTGGAAAGCGGCCACCTGGTCAACACTGCCAACATTTGTGATACATCACCGACTCAATGTCCAAGTCTCTTTCGGCCCCGTTTTACCAGCATTGTAAGGGCTGTGTACATGAATGGCAGGACAGGGGTTTTTCCACATTTCATCTCTGGTGGCTGTCTGGAAAAATCCAGAAGAAAGGGCAGAGGGCTTGTATTTTCCACAAAGAATAGCAGTTGGGGGGGGGGGGGTCCTATTTTTTCTTCTATCTTGGTTTTTCCTGCTGCATTTCTTTGCTTGTGGAATGCTACAGTTCAAGATTGCTGTCAAGGATGGCTGAGGGCTGACTTAAGGATGTGTAGTAACTTTGCTCTGCATATGCTCAGAAGCACCTGCCCTTAGTTCCACCAGCTCAAAGATTCTAGTCCTGAGAATTGCCTTTGGAGCTGCTTGCTTGTTTTCCTCTCTCTGAGCCCCAGTGGTTTCAGGGTACTTTCTTGCCCTCTCTCAATCTTTTACAGCTCCCACCCACCAAACAGTTCTCTCGTTCACCCTTCCTGGGTAAATTCTTCAGCTTCTTGCTCTTTCCCACCTATCAGAGTCTCATTCATTCATTCATTCATTCATTCATTCATTCATTCAATTTGTATGCAGCTACATTAGGCCATATTTGGGCTCTCTGTGCAGCTTACTCAACATAACCACACAGCTTTCTAAAATCAGCATATTCAAAACTTACTAACACCATAATCCAAATGTAAAACATATCAAAATCAAAATATTATATAAGATATGAGAATAAAACAATTTAAACTAAATTCCACTAAAACTGTCAGTGTCTGGGGCATGGGTGGCTGGGAATCAGGTCAGCCCACCAGGACCCAGGCCAGTCTGAATAGAGCAGAGCAGTCAACGCCAGTCAGGAGTCGAAAACCAGAGAGACAAGCCGAGGAGAAGCAGTTACCTGGAACTAGAGCAGGTGAAGCTGGGCATGGTTCAGAGGCAGGAGCGAGACAATGGGCAGAGGTTCTGGAAGTGGGTTCCAGAAGGTACAGGGAGCTCCAACGACATCAGGACTCTTTGCTGCTGAGGCCACAGGGCTCCCAGGTGGTGCTCATAACATCCCAGGGGGCTGTGATTGAGTGTGGACCTGGTCCTGCAACTACCAGGGCTGCTATATTGGTCTCTGGCCAGAAGAGGGAGCCCTGGTACTGCTTCACAATCTCACAAAAACCAGAAATGGAGTCAATTAAAAAACAAATTACAATTAAAATCAGTTGTTAAAATAGCTGGAGAACAGGACCCTAACCCTAAACCTTCAGGTACCCAAGCCGTTTAGGAATTTACATATAAGGGCAAGCACTTTAAATTGGGCTTAGACTTGCACAGGTAGCCTGTGCAGCTGATATAAAACTGCTTTAATATGGGCCTGTGGACAAGTTAATAACCCTGCAGCCCTATTTTGAACCAGTCGAATATTCTGTTTCAATTGCCTGGTGAACTGTGTTCCGCATCATGAGCAGAATGCCCTTCCATCAGATCCGGGCAGGTGGTCCTGCAAAGTCTTCAGCCCTAGCTCCCTTTGCACTGCATTGGATTTTTGGCACCCAGTGTCCCACCGAGACCAGAAGGCAAGAAAACTCCCTTTTCCTCAGAAAAAGCACTCCCCCCACATGCTCACTGCTGAGCGGCCATGTCCCCCTCTCGCCCTGCAAACTCTGCTCTACCCGCTGGATTCTAAATAATGCTGGGGTAGAGGTCTCTGTTCAGATCAGCTGAGAAGATGGCTTCTGCCAGCTCCAGAAAGGAAGGGGAGCGGAAACACGCCTCCCAGCCTCCGTTTCCTTAACACTGATTAGAGTCTGAGGTGATGACAAGTAACGTTAAAGAGGAGCTGGTGCTTTTGAGTCTGTGGAAGTTCATTTCCCTGCTACTCAGTCATGAAAAACATGCAGACTCTCCCTTAGCAGCAAACGGGAGTGTTCTTCATTTACTTTTTATTTCATGAAGCACTGCAATTATATCCTCTCTTTTTCCCCAAGGAGGATTCCATCCTCCTCTCCAGTTCATGCTCTCAGCAATCCTGTGGAGGAGCTTGGGCTATCCGTCAGCGCCTGTTCCAAAGTCATGGTCATGGGAGATCACAAGCCAGTCTCCCAAATCCCAGTCTAAGATGGCCAGCACTCCATGGGCTCTGCTCTAGATTGGGGCTGCACCGTTGCTTTCCAGTGCCCCCTGCTTTGGCCCCTGCCCTCTTCCCCTCCCAGGACTTCCTCCACTGCTCCACCCAACCTGCCAAGAATTCACTCCTGATAGAGAATGTGGAGGCTCCATTTCAGAGATGGGTGGATTAAGGGCGGAAGATGTTCTATTCCCAGCAACTTTGCATTAGTGGAGGCCATGCAACCTTTTAGGTTGGGGAAACCAGGCAAAAGTGGGAAACGTATGACATGACATAGAGAAAGGGGTGTGGCTCTGTGGGGAACCCCAGAGGGTAGGACTAGGATCTTGCAATTTCGGTATCACTCCATCAATAAAAGCTTCCTTCTTGAGGCTCCTGCCTCTGTTGGGTCTTGTTCATCAAGCAGTGATGAATTCCCCCTTAATTATCCAGTTCCGGTACTCTGCAGGGCACTGTAGACTTCAATTACCAGCTCGCTCTTACTATGCTCTGGTTTTGGAAAGGCAGCGATGCCTTTCCTTTTTTGACTGAGAGAAGTTGATGCAGAAGCTGCCTGAAGGGAACTGTGATTCTCTCTCCCCACCACTGCCTTCTTTTAAAAAGGTGTTTTAAAGGAAGAAGGCAAATGCCACATTAAAAAATTATTCTGTGTTGACATCTTCCTGCTGGGCAACAGATCAGAAAGATCATTTTCTGATTCGGACAATCTAGTTTGCAATCCAAGGGCAGTGCAAACCTTTTCAAAAGACGTCATAGCAACTGTTTCTACAATAGAGGCGATATTACCTTTCGATATTACCTCTCAGTTCCAGGTGTCTCATACGCAGTTAAAACTCCCTCTAAGGTGAGTCAGCCATTGAGACTGTGATTTTGTAGATGCTCAAGAGGGCAAACAACACAGGAAAGGATGTGATCAAATAATTTCCCACATCCTTTGGATTTGTTGAAAGCTTTTGGAAAGGATGCATCAGCGCCCCTTGCAAAATTGAATTCCAGGAAGTTAATTAAGTAGTGAGAAATGAAGTTGGAACAAGACCTCCAACCACAAAGATCTGGTAACATGAAGAGGTTTATCAGGAAGGACAAAAATTGAATTATAACCCATTTCATGTCACTTTTACGGCCCTTGTTTAGAGTGTGGACAGTTACAAATCACTCTAAAAGAGGACAAAGGAGGGTGGGGATTTGCCTTAAATTTGCATGTGATCATTTATATCTATGATTATATTGTTGGAGAAGATGGTGTCTCCTTTGTTCTGATAAATACAGGGTTAAAGAGAGAACTCATGTGGATATAGCAGTAGGAGAATCTGCTCCTAGATAAGAGAGAACAAGAAGGAACCAGGCCAAGGATGAATGTTTGAGCCACATCTGGAAAGGTAGATAAGGTATGAAGGGAGGGAGGACAATTCCCAGTCTCTGGAAGGGAAGGGCCGGGCCCAGTGAGAAAATTGCCAGGGGATGAGGTAAACCATAAAAGCATTGTTCTGAGCGGGTACTGCGCAGTTTCAAGGTGTTCCATCTTACGCATGTAATGATTTGTGGATTGTCTTGCTATCCCACTATTCTTAATAAATATTGCTGATTTGCTTTTCTTCAATCTGTTTTGGAATGTTTCATGCAAGATCAAAAAATATGCATTAGAGATTGTTATAACTGAAACAGAAATACAGTCATCTCACCATAGAGTGGAAGTTTGTGACCACTTAATCTGTTGACTCCAATGGTTGATAGGATGGTCAGTTCTTATGAATGCTTCTCTTTAGACTGGAATTAGACAGAACAGTCCTTCAAACAGAGGATTATCCCCTGTAAAAGGACACAGATGGCCACCCTATGAGAGAACGGCTCAGTGCTCAAGTTATTTTCATATGTTGTTGTTGCCAAACCTATTATTATATTGGTTTTTATTTTGAAGTTTTATTCTTTGAAATTGTTTTATTTATTTTAAATTGTTTTATGGCAATATAGAAATACATTAAATAAATAAATAAAGGGGATAGATAAAACATGGCTATTAAACAATTAAGAGCATTAGCCAGGGAGACAAATTACAACTCAGTATCCACAAACATAAGAGTCACCAAGTGCCCGTGTATGGCTATTTCAGCATTTTGTTGTACTGGTCTGTTGTATGTTTATGGAGAAGGCCCCAGATGTGCTTCACAGAGAGCCGGGAGCGTCTTTTCTGAAAACTTTAAAACTTTGCAGTCCTAACCAGCACTTGTGCTAGAGAAGCTGTCGAAATGCGCGGGGATTGCTGGATCCATGAAATAGGCCCTGGGCAATAGCTGAGGGTGGCGCAGCTCTGGAAGAACCGGTTTCGAAGCGCTCTTCCACTACGAGTTATCCCTGCTTTGCATATCCTCTGGCATTGTGGCCCATCAGCCATCAGATTATGGATGGAAACTTAGAACTAGGCATTTGCTTTATTTGAAAGGCTTAAGGGATGGCATTACCAGAGAACTAAGATAATGATCTGATAGAGACCTCAGACTTCTAGGAACTAGGCCTTCATGAAGTCCTTGCCCTTTTGGGGCCAATGGCTGCAGTTGGAATTCTGAGGGAACCCAATGTCTCTTCATTAAACGGTGGCCATGGCAGGTCTCTGAGCACATTTTCCAGAACGCACAGTGGCGAGACTAAAGGACAGGTAACCTTACCCAGGAATGCATGTGCAAGCGGCAGTCCAAAGGGTGCCCTTGAGAGGGAGAGCAAGTGCTTCCTGGCATCCAAATGGAACCTTGGCTCCCTGAGCTTTGCTCCGTTGGAGCGCGTCCTGCCTTCCTCTGCAGGGGAGAACAGGTCTCTCCGCACCTCCATGTGACACCCCCTCACATACCTGTATGTCGCCAACAGATCTCCTCTGAGTCTCCTCTCCTCCAGGCTGAAAAGACTCTCGCCTCATGCGGCTTCCCCTGCAAACCAGCCACTGACCTTGTAGCCCTACGCTGCACTGACTTTGATATCACCATCCTAAACCATGTAAGGTTTTGCAGGTTAAAACCAGCTCCCTGAATTGGAAGTGGAAGCCTACAGGCAGACAGTGCAAGTGGGCCAGAGCTGGTCTGATCTGCTCGGACCTGCAGGCCCAGTTATTGATCTGCATCAGCTGCTGCTTCTGAGCCGCCCTCAAGGGCAGCCCCACATGGACTGCATTGCAATAATCCAGTTTAGAGATTACTGGCGTGTAGGCGACTGAAGGCAGACTAGGAGCCACCAGCCAAAGTTGGCAGAAGGAACTCCGAGGCAGCGATGCCACCCAAGCCTTAATTGACGAAGATGGTTCAAGGATCACCCCAAGCTATGAAGCTGCTCCTTCAAGGGAGCTGAAACCCCATCTAGAACAGAGTGAACACTGCCCACCCCCCAAAAACATCTGGTCAAAGGAAACACCCATCAACAGCATTTCAGTCTTGCCTGGACTGCATTTCAGCTTGCTGACCCTTATCCAGCCCATTATCATAGCCAGGCACCTGTTTAGCTCATCCACAGCCTCACCTGCTGATGATGAAAGGAAGAGACAGAACTGCATGACATCAGCAGTGTACTCCAAAACTCTGGATGACCCCACTCGGTGGTTTCATGCAGATGTTGAACGGCATGGGGGACAGAACAGACCACTGGGGAACTCCATGGAGGACTGAACAATATTTCTCAAGCACCACCCTCTGGAGGTGGCCCTCCAAGTAGAAGCAGAACCACCGCAACGCAGTGTCCTCCACTCTTAACAGGCATAGTCATCCCAGAAGGGTACCATGGTCAATGGTATCAAAAGGCACCAGCCGTATGAACAGGATCGCACTCCCCCGGGCTCCTTCCTGGTGTGGGTCATCCTGCAGGGTAACCAAGCTTGACTCCCAGCCAAAATGGGTCCAGATAGTCAGTCCCATCCAAGAGTGCCTGGAGTTGACTTGCAACCCCCCTTTCCAGAACCTTCTCCAGGAAAAGGATGCCTGCTAGCAGCCTAAAGTTATTAAGACCTTCTGAGTCAAGGGAGGACTTTGTCAAAAATGGATTCACCGCCACCTCTTTAAAACATCATGGGTTATATCTATATGGCAAACATAAAATCAGTATTAAGCTAGTTTAATTAGCGTGTGGAGCTTCCAGATGGAATGCTCCTAACACTACCAGTGAGGAGCCACTGTGCAGCTATTCTGTCTCTTCTTTCTGAACGAATTTTCTGCAGGAAGAGAAATGACAGAAGAAACAGTGGGAAAACACTGGAGGGTTAGGAGCTGAAGGAGTCGTTGTCAGGACTCCCCAGTATATTCTGAGCAGGAGGCACCTTGTCTGGGGGCACCATGGCATCCTAGGACCTAGCTGTGTAAGATAGTTGGGGACAGCTTGCCAACTTCTCTGCTTCTCATTTACTCCTGTGCTTTTAACAGTGGTTTGTTCGGTAGACATTATGAGATAATCAGGTTTATCACCATGCCTTGAAAAGCATCACCTGATGCCTTGAAGAAGCAGCTAGTAAAGGGACAACAAGCAGGCCAACCTGAGTTTCTCATCCTGATCGGCACCCTGTGCTGGGGATGGGCAAGGATTCCTTGTTAGAATCTACACAACCCGTTTGAGAGGAGTGGGATTGCCTGGGAAGCATCGTGCAAGCATATTCTGCGTGCTGAAAGTGTGAATCAGCCATATGAACCCTGTATGGGTTTTGCCTATTTCTTTTTTTGTTAAGGAACAGAAGTGTGATTCACACAGAGGAAACAGAGGCAGATGGGATAATAGGGCATCCCCTTCAGTTCTGTTTCGGGACACATTTCCACAGTCCATGCATTGCTAATACACTGCGGGGGTTTCATCTGACCCATCGTCCCATTGCAACTTCAGTTCCAAATCTCTAAACAGGCCCGTGAAGAGTTCATCGTTGGGAGCAGAGTCCACAGTGTCAGGGCCTGTACCAAAGGAGGCTTGAGCTGTGCAGTCACTCATTTGGACACCCAAATGTTGGTTGTCAGTCCAGGCGAATGATTCCCAGGCCGCCCACTGCCGCAGGTTGTGGTCCTGAAGAAGACTGCTGCGGTCACAGGGTGAAACTGAGGGTGGTGGCAAGGCTGGGCAAAGTGGACCACCTTCCAAGATGGTGCTTTGGCTGAGCTCTGATGTGGCTGGTGGCAACTGCACTGCCTGCTTTCGGTAGCTTCCTGCTCTTTCATCTGCTGTGGCTGGTGCCCACAGAAGCTGCTGGGCTATAGTTGGTGCATCTTCCTGAAGCAGCAGAAGTTGAGCATCTTCCCACACCATTGCTGGCTGGCGTTGCGTCCTGCCTTCCCATAATTCTCTTTCAGACTGCTCTGGTTTCTGGACTTTGTAGGGTGCATTCCTTATAGAGGCCCCCAGAGAAGAATCAAGCTTCATCACTGGGTTTGGTGGCGAGGTGGTCTTGCTGACGCAGCTGGTGCCATCTACACACATGCCGTACGTTAAGGTTGCAGGACTATCCCCTAATGCGCGTGGAGGGTTACTCCTGGCCACCTGCGGAGCATAACCTACAGGAAGATCGTCCGCTTGGCTTACGGGTTGGGGGGTTGTCTGGAATAATGTCGTCTTAGCCTGTTGCTGGTAAACAGTTTCTGTCCAACTGAGTGATTTCTGAGGCTCCAGTGCGTCCAAGAGATGCTGGCTTACCTGCATTGGCTGGATTTCTGGACAGTGCTGGATAGACTTGGAGAAATTGTACACAGTCCAAATATGCTCCATATCTGGACAGAGAGGTTGGAAATGTAGAGAAATGCTCTTGAAATCCTGTCAGGAAAGAAAGATTACAATTACTCACGAGCGATGATCATCTTCAGGAGTGTAGTCAGCTAGTGGCTGACTGATCGTGAAGCAGGAAGCTCCTAGTTCTAGTCTCAGCTCACCCCAGGTGGGCTGAAGCAATTCACTCCCCGTCAGCCTCACCCGCCACCTGCATTCATTGGGGTTCAATCATGTTAGTCATGTTAGTCAGCACGGCTGGCTGGGGGATGCTGGGAATGTGTACTGTGCAGGCTCTACCAGAGGAAAAGGGAGGAGTTTCTTAAGCTTCAACCGGTAGTGCAAGGGAACCATCCCAGTGTCCAAGAGGCAGGATGGTTCCCTGAAGGATGCCAAGGCCTCCAGCTTCTTCGGAACAGCGCCAGAGAAGATGGTCTTGATGCCGCCTTCCCCAGACATCCTGCAGAAAAGCAGTCAAAAAGAATGCTCTCTCTTACTTGAAGAACTTTTCCTCAGAAGGGGGAAGGAGCCAGTGTACATCTTGACGGACGCTGCAATAGCGTAAGGGAAGAAATTTGTAAAATTCATGGCCGAAGCATTGGCTAGGGAGAAGAATGCATCGCCTGCCCAGGCAGCGTTGGAGGCCCATGAGCATCCCTCGGCCTGTTCAAGGAATCAATATGGCCACCAAGAAGGGGAGCATAAGCTTTCTCTTTCTCCAACCTTCATGACCGCATTCAGTGATTGTATAGCATCTTTGGCACAGGTAGTTTGTTTCTGCCTAACATCCTTGACTCTAAAACAGGGTTCTCAAACTCGTGGCCCGCGGGCCAATTGCTGGGATGGGTGGGGCACGGGGCAGGGGCCCTGCGGCCTTCAAAGTGCCAGCGGCACCTGGGCCGGCCTCCGGGAGCAAGGCCCACCACCACCGCGGGGGTGGAATACTTGATGTGGCCCAGCCTCACCCAGACTCTACTTCCAGCGGCCCCCAGGTAAGTTGAGTTTGAGACCCCTGCTCTAAAACATGGTCCAAGTCCCCATGGTTAAAATGGAATGATAGGGTTTTTCCCTGTCTAGACATGCATAGGGTTGAGGCAGCTGGCAATCATGAAAATACAAAAAGAGCGAACATAGTTAAAACAAGAATAAAACCAATACATTAAAACACCCCCAAAAAAACAGAACCCAACTCGACAGACAGTCTTACAAATGGGAAATCTCCCTGAACTGGAAAGGGACCTGACTCAGCTTCTTCAGCAAGGAGCTCCATAACCCAGGAGTGGTCACCAAGAAGGCCTCTCTTGCATTACCACCAATGGGCCTCCATTGAGAAGGGACACCATCTGCATGCTGGATCCTTGCCTTTCCTAAGAGGGCAGGCTGGCTGAGTGGGTAAGGAGAGTGGGCTTTGGAAGAAGCACAAGCCGCAGAGAAAGCACTCGCCACTCCCCTGAAACCTTCACACTAGCCAAGAAGAAAGTGGACTCTCCCAGACACCATATATTATGCTGAGTAATCCCTGCTTTAACACAAAGCATTTTGGGGTGGCTTGGTCTTCAGCAGGTAATTAAGACCAATTAGCTTTACAAAAGACCTACAAAAGGCAAATACAATATACAGAGAACTGGTTCACAGGACATGACCTGGTTCACAGCCCACCCTGGTTTATTTTACCCAAAGGATGGTCACACAGCGCCAGGTACCTGCAGGTGCCATGAGCCTGTTGGCTCCTAGTTGCTGTGGTTGTCACAGCAGGCAAACCCAGGTGACGGGATGTTTCAGGGTTGAGCCACCGTGGGCTGTCATGACATATGAACACACACGCATGCAGAGCCGTCTGCATTTCTGAATGTCCTGCAAGGAATAGTCTGGAGCACCTGTTGAAAAGGCAGACCGAACAGGTACATACCAAAGATGTGGGTGGCCATGCAGGGCGTCGTTTAACATACTTGTAGGTCAAGTAGTACAATGTTCCAAAGATTGCTACTGCCGTAAACAGGACCAACCCAAACAAATACGGCAACCAGGTCTTGTCTGCAGGCAGAACAAACAAAATGTTAGCAGCATTAGGATATAAGGAAGAGTCCCAAATTGTCCAGGCCTTCTTCTTGGAAAAGTAATCATCTCTCTGGCTGAATTCAGGGGGACTGCTATCTCTTCCATCTTTGCAACCAGCAAAATGTCCTCATTATGGGGGTGGGCAGAAGAAACGTGAGGCCAAGACGCAAGGGTTGCGTCTCACATAACTCTAAGCCCTGGCCTATGTTAGGCATTGCTTGTTGCGTTAATCATGAACTGTCTTCCAGACAAACTGCGGTTTGTTTTTGTCTGTAATGCAAGTTGCCTCACAGGACAGACTCACATTAGCCCAGTCTGCATATCACGCCGATCAACCATTTAGCGCACCGTGCGCAATCCAGCCTCGAGCAAGCCTGGCGTTTGCAAGCTCCCCACCCATCGTCTCCTCCTAGTGCACGTCCGGGAAAAGGAATGTGAAAGCTTCTCTTTCCACTTTTGGTGGCCTGTGGCTTGTTATGCCCTCCTAACCGTCAAAGAGAGGCTACCATTAACTCTCCTCAGTTTAAAACAACCAGCTTCAAGCTGTGGATTCTGAATTTGGCTTTAAATGAACAACAGTCGATGTGAACCACACTTCTGCATCCAGACAAAACCATCTGCTGTGCTTCATCAAATGCGGAAGTAGAAGCTTGTGAATTCCTTTCAGCTGCACACCAGGAGGAAATGAGAGGGGATCTCGCTGCAGTGTGTTTGTGCTCAGGCACATTAAGTTGAAGGAATGTTGGACCTCTCCAGCCCAAGGGCTGCATTCCATTCCAGAGAAGTTCTGGGGACCTAATTCCAGCAGCAGGCAGGGCCATAAGCAAAAGGGGCAGTGTCAAAAAACCAACCACGCCAACCTATCGTAGTTCAAAGCTCTCAACTGCCAGGACTTAAATTTTAAGAGAGGCATCTCAGCCTTTTAGAATGGGGAAAAAGCTGTGCAAAACTGGGAAACTACTATATGATCGGTGGTTGAATAAAGACAATGGGGCTGGGGAAGAGGGCATGGCCATTTGGTGAAGCTCAGAGGGCCGGCATGGGAGCACAGGTGGGCTGGATTTCACCCTTCGGCCTGTGGTGCTGCAGCCCTGTGGGAAACCAAGATCTGCCATATTGTGCAAACCGGCCCATTTTGGATGAATCGCCCACCGTGGGTGCCGATCCTTTCTGAGACGTCCCTGATTTGATAATAAACCAGAAACAGTGGCACTTGGGATCAGATAGCGTGACATGGTAAGAGCCTCACCAGGTACTGTCCGCACTCGAAACACAAAGGGTTGGCTGATTTTGTCTAAATATCTGATGTGTATCGTTCCGTTGTATTCGGTGTCAGGAGCCAAGTCAGGGATTTCAAATTCTCTGTTGGTTTCACTCTTTGTCCACTATATTCAGACAGAGGGAAAGGTGTATTTTAGATGCGCTGATGTGTCATTCGCTTCACCACTCTCTGGTTTCAGAGAGACAATTTTCAAGGGATAGATGTGTTGCTTCACTTAGGTAGCCCTTCTAACTTTGTGTCCCAGTTCTTTTCCGACCGCTGATTTGGGTGCTTCAGGTTAGTTCTTAGCATTTCTTTTTATTTTACTTCAACTTTCCTAAAACCCTAAACTTACCCTTTTAACCTCAAAAACTACATCCTACTTGTTTTTTCCCTATCAGCAACTTTATTCCTATCCTTTCCAAAAAATAAACAACACGCTCACTCACACACATCTATCTTCCTTTTATCCAAACGCTTCTTCTATTCCTCCCCCGATGGCATTCAAACTGGCATTCAGAAATTGTGCCCGCTGCCGCATCAAAATGCTGGTCATGGAGAGGCACTCATGACACAGTTTTTGGATGCCTGTCCTTGCTGCCAGTCGTGTAAAGACAGCAGGTCAGCTCACAACTGAAATGTGGACTCTTGCCCTCAGAGCCATCACATCGGCTGTAACAGTTCTGCCCGAGCGCCCCGAACTATCTAGGGCAGCTCACGCTAAAAGGGTCCCATCTGTGGCTGCCAGGGCACCCTCAGCTGCACTGTCAACGCAACCTGAACTTGGGACTGCACTGAGTGGGGACAAACCCACATTGCTCCTCGTGAGGAACCTGAGCTGGCTTGCACGGTTCCGTTTTAGCTCAGAGTCGGTGACCGGCCCCACACCGGCTGGTGTGCCTCCAGGAATGGTCCACATGGCAAATTCCATGGGAGCCGCAGGACGTTTCAGCTTCTGTTAATTCTAGCCCTGTGCTATTACGACTGCAGCTCCACGCAGGGTTAGGAGGGAAAAGGTCCTGCGAGGCAGAGCGTGTTCACTTCCCCATCTGATCAGGCACGGGATGCACAGGATGTCTGTGCGGCCAGTTTGGCGTGCTGCTCTGCGACTCAGGCAGTCCGGGTCCTGGTCCCCGCTTGGCCATGAAGCTCATGCGGCAAATTGGGCCAGGGTCAGACTAGCTGGCCTCAGAGGCCCCTTCTGACTCGTTTCTACGTTGCCATGAAGCTCATGGGGCAAATTTGGGCCAGGGGTCAGACTAGCTGGCCTGAGAGGCCCCTTCCGACTCGTTCTGTTTCTACGTTGCTATGAAGCTCATGGGACAAATTTGGGCCAACCTAAGCTGCCTCACGGGGTCGTTGTTGTAAGGATAAAAATGGAGCGGAGGAGAACGATGTAAGCCTTCCTGGGTCCTCAAAAGAAGGAAAAAAAGGCAGGATATGCGATAATGATGGTGGTGGTTCTACAGGCAGGAATGAACACACTGAGGAGACAGTTTAAAGGCACAGGAGCTGGCAGGCTTGCCAGCAGGGGCCATTTCCAGGACCTGTCCCCTGCTCTTACCTGCTGTTGCGTCTTTTGGCAGAACACTGTTATTTCGTACTGGACGAGAGCCCCAAACTGGCTGAAAATGTCCACCACCGTCAGGGTCTGGTTCTCTTCATCTCTCAGAGGGGTGTCAGGAGCCCGCACAGAGAACTTTATGGACTGGGTCCTGGGGGTGCAGTTCACCTCAGGCACCCCAATGTTGGCTAGGAGAGAGAGCACAGGGGTTTTGTTTAGGGCTGGCGGCAGCCAAAACTGAGTTTAGAGGCAGTTGCTTTGGGAACGTACATTTTTTATTCTTAACCGGACAGGTTTCCTTCATGCTGACTTTTCATCACTAGCAGTCTTGCAACTGAGATCAAAGAAAGGTGGATTTTTGAACCAACAGATTTGTTAAAGCAGTTTAGTTCCAACTGATTCCACCACTAAGTTCAGTGCTCCCTGAGAAGTGAGGATTCCTGTCCTTTAAAGAGCCCTAAGAAGACAGAAGTTCTACAGGTGCAGCTCTTTCCACAGCACCATGTTATGGAACTGTGAGAAGGCTGTCCCTGTTGACTATCACAGACCCCATAATTCCCATGGGCCATGCTGAGATGGAAAACACAGGTGTCCTGCCAGGAAAAAGGTGGCAACTGAAAGGGGGAGATCCTCCTTTTCAGGAGAACGCATTTTCAGGTTTTCTCAGGACTCTCTGTTTGCAACATGAATCCCTGGAGCCACTTACTGTCTTCCCGGGGGCAGAACCTCGGGGACATGGCCCAGCTGGAAGCCGGAGAACCAGGGGTGACGGCCCTCACTCTGGCATGGTAGCGCTCCATGTAGTTTTCAGTCTCGTGCGTGAGGTCGCAGAAGCGCTGCGTGATGTTCTGGCACTCACTCTTGTTCTGCCATGCCTCTCCATACCTATGGGAAGACACAATTGCTGTTTCCAACGTACCGCATTCATGTACATTGGGTGTGGATCAGGTGTGCAAAAACGCAGGCTCACAAACTCTGCCTGAGCATCCAGGTTGCACCCCTGGGGTTCCTGAGCCAGCCATGGCTCCAGTGTGCCGACGTTTGGGTATTTTGACTCCTCCCCCTTTACCTTTGGCCCCAGCCTATTTTGCCTTTCCGCCAATTCACCACTAGATTGTGGGCCCCCAAGAGCTTCCCTGAAACCGATATGGTCCCTCGGGTGACCCATCACAGCAGATCAGCATATGGGGAGCCCCACGTGTCACCGATGAATCGCAACAGAAGGCAGATTTGGACCGAGATGACCAACTTAAGCGTGCGGCCTGCCCTAGTGTGCCCTCCAGCACAACTCTGAGATGAAAGTGCAAACCAGCCTTCAGCTAAACTTCACCCCGTTAGGGTGCGCTGGCATACCTGTGGCCCTCCAAGTGTGGCTGGACGCTGATCAAGCCTAGCTCGTGTGCAAGCTGAGGCCCAGCAGTCTGGAGAAGGTGACCAGACCCCCATCCCTGCCCTCCGCTTACCTAACAAAGCAACCGGGGCACCTTTGCAGCTCCCCGAGTGTGCCTCCCACATTCCTGACTGGGGAAACTGGCTGGCAAGAGGGCCCCAAGTTCCTCGCACGGGGAGCTTCACTGCTGGGGCACATGAGCAAGAACACTGCAGCGATGCCAAAGAGTGGAACGCGAGGCAGGCCCCTTTCATCACATGGCCACAGGATGGGATTCCTATAACAGTATTTTGCTCCCGTCCCAAAATTTCAGGACTGCAAATTGATGCAACCCCCAGTCACCAGCGGGAAGCTGAAGTCTCCTCACCTCTTATACTGTACTTCATAGACGGTGCCTGGAGGCATCTTCTCCCCACTTGTCCATGTGAAGATATTTTCAAAATTTGTGGACAAAAATCTTGGCTGCAGAATGAGTGGAGATCTCTCTGCCAGCGAGTTCTCTGCAGGGTACAGTGAACAGGCATGGTTAGAGGGATTTCTGTGCAAGACATTTATTGTGTATTTGTGTTTTTTTACTCACAGGAGTGTGCGGGGGCACTACATAACATCATTGTCCTCCTAAACATTTCTCTTCTGTTTTTTATAACCAGAGGTAATCTGGGAATCACGCTAAACTGTGATAAAACCTGGATATTTGAAGGAGCACCTCTTTCCATATAAACCTGCTCGCCCCCTAAGATCCGGATCAGAGGCCCTTCTGCAAGAGTCCTCTTTAAAGGAGATCAGAAGAGCAGTGACCAGAGCAAGGGCCTTCTCTGTGGTGGCGCCTCGGCTTTGGCACTCGCTCCCCAGAGAGGTGTGCCTGGTGCCGAAGCTTTTTTCTTTGCGGTGCCGGGCCAAACCTTTTATTTTCCCATTGTTTTAAATGTTAATTCATGTCTTTACTTAGGACTTGATGTGTTTAGTGGTGCCGTACCATATTTATATTTATTTATTTCACTGTGTTGCTACTCTGAGACTTTGTGAAGGGCGAGATACAAGAACTTTAAACAAACAAGCAAATAAATCACGTGTGTGTTTCTGCAGTTGCCCTGTACTGCGTCACCCCCTTGTGGCTAAGGAATAGAAAAGGAAGAGAAAGAAATCCACATGTGGGGGATGCGATTCTTACTCCTGCAACATAAACAGAAGAAGCTGGATTAAACAGCTTATGCAGAGAACATACGTATTAGAAGCGAGCTCTAGCAGAAACTGCCGCCTCAAAACCTCACTTGTTCTAAAGTCCGTTTTCTTGATTTCTTGTCTCATTCCAGCGGCACGGCTCTGGGAGACCGTACTGGGGCAAACACAGGAGGAAGACATCTGGGGCTGAGGCCCTTTCTAATACCCCCTCCATGCATTATTTCCCAAATGAATGCAAGCATTAAAAGTACCTGCTTGGACTTTTCTTGCCCTTGCTTTCTGTTTGGGGGATTTTGTTTGGGGGATTTTGAAAACTTCGATATGGCCCCATCAGACACAGAGGAACTGGTGGGGCCATGGGCAGCCATGCTCAAATCCAGCACCATGGTGCTCTCTTACTGGGGATGCTGGGGGGTAGTGCACTGTGTCCCATGGAAAGGTAGAAGGCCATGATCCAAGGCCTGGTTCTTGCACACAGCAGAGGACTAGTAAATGAAGGAGATCGGCATAATAGTTTCCCGGAGAAGGGCCTTTTCGACAGTGGTGCCCCAACTGCGGAATCTGCTTCCCAGGGAAGTTTGCCTGGCACCGTTGCGTTCGTCTTCTTGGCACCAGGCGAAACCCTTTTTATTTTCCCATCATTTTAATGTTTAATTGGTTTTATTCTGGGTTTTACGATTGAGGTTGCATGCAGTGCCTTTTTTATATTTTCACTGCTGCTGCTGCTCCTCCTCCTCCTCCTTCCACAGCCCTTCAGATGGACAAATTTCAGAGCTGGAGACAGAAGCTGACGGACGTGCACTTTTCCTTGGGCCTTAGATGGAGGCTGGGCCCCAGTGGAGAGGGCAAGCACATGGGCCGTGGCTGCACTGGCTAGCAGTGTGGCCGCGTGTCCTCCTTTACCGAGGACAGTCCTCTAGTTCAAGGGCTCCCCAGGACCATGCCCCATTTGAAGGTGGCTCCTATTTGGAAGACAGTTTAATACTGGTTTCAAGATAAAGAGCTGTAAGAATTTTTGCCAGCGGTGCTGTGGATCCAGGGCTTGCTGGGGTTGGTAAATGCCTTGGCAAAGAGGGTGGTCTTAACCTGGTGCCAAAGAGTTAATACAGTTGGCACCAGGCAGGCCTCAGTGGGGAAAGCGTTGGGTAATTTGGGGGTTGCTCCTTGTTGTCATCACCCACTGAAACTCCCTTGGAGGCGGCACTTGGAGGAAGGCCTCAGATGTGGAGCGCCGGTGGGCAGTGGACTGTGGACGGAAGAGACATTCTGTCAAGAGTTGTGTTGGCAAGCCAGGCAGGACTCCACAGGCTAAAACCAGCACCCCGATTCAGGCTCAGCCGCGTACAGACAGCCGAGGCAAGCAGGCCAGACCTGGAGTTCCCATGCTTCCCCTGACATCGTCATTTCATACAGCCAGAGAAGGTGTTTGTTGCACGGATACCCAGCCTTTCCTCTGTTGAGAAAATTCAGATAAATCCTGGCAGAAAAGGGTTGCTTATGTGGCTTTGTGTTACAAAATGCCTGCACCCCTTTCTCAGGAAGCACCCAAAAGTTCCAAGCCAGGCCACTGTTTGGTGCTGCTGTTACTTTAAGAAGATGGAATTCTCTGGACTGAGAAGCTGGACTAATAGGCTAACGCTATTAGTGAGGAAATACTTGTGTTCTCATCAGCTGCAGAAAAACTGGAACTACGGTGCCCATTTGTTTCTGACTGGACCTGCCTAAGCATCTGGTCCCACAGAGGCAAGCCCCTGCGGAGTGTGGTTGTCCGATTTCCTGAATGGTTCCTCCATCAGGAACATTTGCATGTTCAACCAGGATCCAAACTGCAAAGAGGTCTACTCAATTGACAGGTCAATAAAGCAATCGGTATTGTTTTCCGCACTATTGATCCCAGTATTTCTGATTGGTTTAGGACATTATGTCATGCCTAAAGACACCAGGATGCTATTGTACTAAAATTATCTGGAAACTCAACACCCTGTATTGGTGTATGTGACTAGCAGGTTATAAAAGTGTCTGTACAGGGGCTGTGATTGTGCAGTTGGCAGTGAGAAGCTCTAGTAGCAGGAGTCTGCAGGGGCCCTGGGTGATCTTTCAAAAAAACTGCCGCGGTTCAAGGCGAAAGGGGTCTTTCCTGGCTGAACCTGGTGATCCTGGTTGCGGCTGCGATTGAGGCTTTCCCGACACCTCCAATAGCCCTGAGTTGGGCTGCCACTTCTGTCCGGCCTCCTGGCTTCAATGCCTTGACATCTACCATGCACAAATTTAGCCCCAGAGCTCTTCTCACAGCATGGTCAGCGGCAGGGAAGCCTCAGCTCAGGGGTTTCTCTGTGCCAAAGAGGCCACAGAAGGCAGGGCAGCAGGGCCAGGAAGAGAGATGGTGGCAGCGCCGGGCAACGCCTTGCCTTGCGCTTTACGAACTACCGGCAAGACCTTCGGCCTGCATTCTGTCCTGGGAGTGCTGAGGAAAGCAGAAACTGTGCCAAGGCCATGAGGCCTCGTATCATAAGTGGGTGTTTTCTTGATAACTGGAGATAAACAGGGAGAAACCCTGGCACTAGGGGAAAGGCAGCATATTCCCCTTCGCCGGGGGTATTGCTAGCGCCAGCCCATGGGGCACAGGTCAGGGCCCCCCCGGCCCAGGAGGGCTTCAAACAAAGCCCTCCAAAAGGCAGTGCCGCCACCACCTCCTCCTGCTGCAGCACTGCCAAGGCAGATATTTATTCATTTTATTTATTTCCGTCCTACATGGAAATCGTCCCCGGACAGCAGCAGACTGCATGGCCAACACCTGTGCTCCATTTTAAAGAGGAGCATTTTTATGTGCTGATGTTTAGTAGCAGAGACCTGATCCAGTTAAGAGGCCGTCTTTCAGGCAGGCACAGCCCAAAGAGCACCAAAAGGGCTGGAAGACCTCTGCTTTGCTGCTCTGGTTGAAGCCCCAACGCTGAGGGTGTTCAAGGACCGGCCGGACGTGCACACGGTGGGCATGTCATGAGCGGAGCTGGCTGGAGCCGGGGGTCAGGCTAGATGGCCCAGGAGGTCCTTTCTGATGCACTCCATTTCTGTGTTTCTCTGGGCCCCTCATGGGCCACCCCACCAGCAAAGCACCCCTGCCAGTCAACAGCCAACGCTTACGTTTAGTTAGGGGAAGAGTCGGCCAGTTCCCAGCATCCCCCAGCCCGTGCGGCGAGTCGGAGGCCTCTTTTCTGCCTTGACATGCACCGGGGGCGGGGGGAAGGGGGGCTCCATCCTCCTCAAAGGCCACTTGGCTCTGTGTTGCTGACAAAATCAGCTGCGCTCGGGAATGGAGGCATTTCATTTCATGCCCGGTGGTGGAGACTCTGCTTCCCCTCATACTTGGCAGCCCTTCCACCTGAACCTGCTGCCCCCCCCCCCCAGAGACAGGGTTCGAGAGTGGCCTGCCCGGACTGGCCCCCGAATCTTTCCTTTGGAGCCCTGGGGCTCTGGGAAGCCATCTACCCCACCATGAGCACTTGCTGAATGAAGGTACAGGGGCCCTGGTGGTGAGCTGAACTGTTGCCCTCAGGAGTTTTGCCCCCTGCTGCCCTGCACCGAATCTTTCTGCCTGGCCTATTTTTCTGAAATGAATGTCTCCCCCCTGTTCACACATCGCTTTTGCAAGTATGGTTGGCCTTAAGAGACCGGGCCCTTTGATGGCACATGCACACACTCACTAAGCATATGCCCTCGATCTTTTCAGTATGATCATGCATGCCCCAGTCCAATCCCCTCCTACTGCTCAGGCAGCCACCAGCAAACCCACAGCCACATGGATTAGAAGCCTTGTCACAACAACCTTGTGAGGTAGTTTAGGCTGAGATAATCAGTGACTAGTCCAAAGGCAGCCAGGAGTTTCATGGCCAAGAAGGGACTAGATCCTGGCTCTCCCAAGCCCCAGTTCAACAATCTAAGTGCTACGCCACACTGGTTTGCTGTCAAATGCAGAAAACAATGTACAACCATTTTCAATGTCCAACCTGCACAGATTTTAAGGCTGCAATGTTATGCACACTTAGGCCCCATTGAACTCAGAGGAACTTACTTCTGAGCAGACCATGTACAACATTGTACTCTGAAAACAGCAGTGGCAACAGAAAAAAGGAAAACAGGGGGAAATAGAAGAATGAAAGTCAAAGACTTATAAATACCATTTGGGGATGCTTGACTCTGACAGAGAAGTGGTGTCCACCTCTGGCTGCAGTCCAGCAGCACAACACGCACAGTCCCAGACAAACCACATTTTGTAAAAGACTGGAACTGTCATCTTATTGCTACTTCCTACTGTTCTGCA